TATATAATGATAATAGTCAATTGCCATGTTCAATGCTAATGATGAATGTTCAATTGTTTGATGATGACATCGTTCAAACTATGACATTGTCAATCGTTTTCTCTACAAGCCATTGCTACAAAGAAAAAAACGATGTACAAATTATGAAAACTAATAATAATAATAATAATGATGATGATGATGACCAACAATAACAAAATTTTTATAAACTAACATATAAACTCAAATAAAATGACCACCACTACAACCATAATGAAATTGATTGAATTCAATGAATGAATAATGGATAATGTTTATGGATACGGGCAAATGTTTATGTACTACAACAACAACAACAAAAAATTCAAATATTCAAACTATAATGACTATATAGAGTTTGTCGGCTGTTTTTATTCTTATATAATCATCATTATTATATAACAAAGATTTTTTCTGGCCATGTCCAAATCGAATATAAATAAATAAATAAATATAAATTGCTATAAATAGCTGACATCGACTATGATGATGATGATAAAAAAAATTTTTGCAAATAAAATAAATGTCTATGTAGATGTGTGAATGTATGTATGTGGTCAAAGGATTCACCCATCACTCAATACTCAACAACAACAACAAATGACCATAATCATTGAATCATTGAATTTTGAATAAAATTGAAATTGAAGAAATGACCATTGATGATGATACACCACCCGGGTTTTTTTTCTGGACATCATTCATCTATATAGATATTGTAATGCTTTTGCTGCCTAAAGCCAACAAAAAAAATAATATTTTTATTTATTTTGAAGATATAAAAAAAAAAACAATGATTTACATCTTTTTGTTGAGAGATATAAGAAAAAAAATTTGTCATGAACACACACACACACACACACGCAAACGCATATTACATACATCATGAATGAAAAGAAATCCAAGATTAAAATCTTGTTTTTTCTTTTGTTAATGATGATGGATTTCAATGTGATATCAGTCTTGATCATAACAATAATTATGATTATAGCGAAATATAGTGACATACATTACCAAAGGTAAAATGTTTTTTTTTTTTTTTTTTTTTGACAATGTCCACTATAAAACATATGAATTTCCATTGCTATGGTCATTATTATCATCATCAATTGATTTTGTTTTTAAATTAGCCAAAGATTCATCTTTTGGGTTTCTCTCTCAAACACACACACACATCATTCACATGTGTATGTTTGTATGCAAATAAAACACTTTTCTTTAGTTACAGAAAAAAAATTCACATTGCTTCAAGGTGAATTTGTTTAATTAAAACTTGCTTGAAAAAAAACTAAACTAAACTATACTAAACTAATTTGATTTGATCTGTTCTGATTATTATTATCATTATATAATGGCCATATTAAATACTTTTCAAATGTAATCTGTCTGTCTGTGTGTATGGAATCTTCCTCTCTCTCTCTCTCTCTCTTTCTCACTGTAAGTTGATCGAATAAATATAAAAAAAAACAATTGCTTAAACAGCCCCCGAAGGATGGAATTATGATTGATCACACACACACACACACACACACACACACACACTCACACTGATCGTAAAAAATACTTTTCACGTTCTAATACATTCCCACTGCATTATTGATATAGAAATTTCAGAGAATAAAACAATGGAAAAAAATTTAGTAAATTTTGTAATTTTTATTTGAATAAAAAAAAGCAAAACTTCGCTTTTCAAAAAAAATATCAATATTTTCTAACACAAATCATCACAAATTCGATTGTGTATCATCATCATCATCATCATCATTGTTAAAGGTCATAAACAGACTAGTGATTTGTTTGAAAAATAATTTTGAACAAATTTTTTGTTTTTCGATTACAAATTCAAATTATAATATTAATCACTTTTTCTAAATCAATAGATTATATTTGGACCATCATCATCAATAGATAATGCTGTTAAAAATATCACATCTTAAGCAATATTTTGGCCATAATCTGACAAGTCAGCTTCAACAGAAGTAGCTAGAAGATATTCGCAACCAAAAAAAAAAAAAAAAAAAAAAACAATAAAACTAATAAGCCTTGAAGGTTCATCATCATCATCATCATCAATAACTAAAGAGATAAACGAAAATGAAATGAAAATATCTTGATCGAAGTAGAAAATAATTATGGCAATATTGTTCCAAAAAAAAAAAAAAAAAATACTAACCATTATCTATAAACCCGTTGTGTTTGTCAATAAAAATCTATTTATTTTTGCCTCCATCCACCCATACTGCCTCCGATTGTGGATATATTGTTATTGTAATTGTCCATCCTTCATCCACATTCGATATTTTGTTCGTTGAACCCAATTTTCAATTGGATTTTTTTCTCTGTGTGTGTGTGTGTGTGTTTGTGTGTTTAAGTGTAGTAGTCATCCATTTAAATAAAGAAATTCACATAAATATCTTCTTTTTTTTCTTTTATAATGAGAGTTTATATAATCAATGAAAATCATCTTCAGAAAAGAAAAAAAACAACAACTATGACAACGACAATAATGATGATGATGATGATGATGATTGAAAGACATTAAAGACCTCACACAAGGTAGAAAAAAGTGAATAATTAGCCTGAAACAAAAAAAAAACGGTTATTGGTGTTGATGATTTGGATAATAATCATCAATGGAAATATAAATCTATATCTGGTGAAATGATAATGATTGAGCTAAAATTGGAGTCTCATAATCCCAAAGTCTCATCATCATCATCATCATCTGAATTTACGGCAAGTATTTTTTTCTGTTGTTGTTTATTATAGATAAAATTGTCAATTTTTTTCCATTGTTTTTGTTTCTATGTATTCACAATTGGATTGACAACCAGGATCTAGTTTATTATCATCAAGAAAGAAAGAAAAAAACAAACAAACAAACGCATCATCATTATTATTATTATTATTATTATTGGACCATTATTATTCATCATTATTGAGTGGATCAAAAATAAACCTGCACACTTTTTCCACATTATGATGCTCATTACGGAATGCAGATGTGATTGTAGTGCTTTAAAAGTGAAATATTCATCCAAACAAACAAGAAAGTGGACACCGCCCACAAAAACATTTTTTTTTCTGAAACAACTAAACTACTGATATATTCAATGATCCGAATCGGTGCAAAACAAAAACAAAAATGAAAATTTTTTTTTCTTTTTCTGTATGTAATAATTTGAACACACAGTGTTGAAAAAATTTTTTATTTATGTATCTCTCCAGTGGCGGATCTACCATTGGGCCGAGTGGGCCCAGGGTCCGGAGAAATTTTTCTTTCTATTTTCATTCAATGGGAGGCCCACCGTAGCTAGTGCAAGATATTGTTAGTGATATCAGAATTTGGCCGGTACACTCATCGTGACATAATCATCTGGATTGAATTCAAAATCAATTCATTTTTTCCTGAATAAAAGTCGAAAAAAAAATCTGGAATACAAAAAAAAAATAAAATTTCAACAACAACAACAAAAATCTTTGAGGAAAGAAAAAATATCCGAAAAACTTGAATTTTTCTTGAAACAAACAAACAAGCACACACACACACACACACTTTCTTCTCTCACATTCCAAATTATTCAAAGAATGAGAAAAAAAGAAACGAAGCTTTAACATTTATGACGACGACGATAGTTAGACTAATTTTCGAGTTAACTGGATCGGAATAAATACGTGCAGTCTCTGTTGTTGTTGTTGTTGTCTGGCAGTCATCATCATCATCATCATTTTTAAGACTCTCAATAAAAAAAAAGAACCATGAAGACATAAAAGAAATAGATAGGCGTTCGCTAAAACGCCATATTTGTCACTTTGCCATTTTCTTTGTCTGTGAACACATATTGTAATGTGTAACGAACAAACAAGTGAAAAAAAAACAAATACTTTCAAGATTTTTCTTCATTCTTTTTTATCATTCAAAAATCATTTGAATACACACTATTTTTTTTTCAGTATCAACAAGTTTGTTTGTTTGTTTGTTTGTTGATTACCGATAATCGGGTTTTATTATTATTATATGGTCCACAAACAAACACGCACACACGGCCACCAGAAATGAAATTTTTGAAACTTTGTTTTTCCAATATATTTATAGGTTTCAATAATATTAACTATCAATATAATAAATTTATAATTGACAAATTATTATTTTGTGCTTACTTGGTATAATTTTATATTTTCATTTCATTTGTTTTCATGTTGTTGAATAAATGAATGAAATGAATAAAATATATGTTCATATATGTCAATTACTATTTGATTGATTCGAACGAATCATTTTGTTTTGTTTTGATTAAAAATTTGACTTAAACCTGAACGAATCTGATTATATAAAAAACTTTGTAGCCAATCTTGTTTTGCCTATTTTTACCGATTGTAACAACTCTCTCTCTCTCTCTATTTCTTTCTCTCACTCTCTTGTATTAATCTTCATATAATTTGAATGACATAAGGATGCCAAAAAAAGTGCTTTGTTTTTCAAAATAATAATAATGACAATAATATCTACCGATTCGAATTGAATTACTAAATTTAGATTATTATTATTATTATCATTATTATGATTATCATCATTTAGTAATAATCAAATAGTAAAGTGATCATCCATGTATGAACCGGTTGATTGGCATTGCCGGTCGATGAGCCATTTTTTTTTCGTTTTGTTTTGTTTTAATCATTGAGCCGTTACAATTGCCAGTTAGTTTAAGCTTTATATATTTTATATTACTAATATAAAGCTTGAAAATAACAATCATTTAATCGAATCAAATGATCAAGAGTTATTATAATCATTTATGTCATAAACGGAAACGGAAGACTTTGGTTAAATACCGATAATTTGAATTATTATGGTTTTGGTTTGAAAATTTTTATTTTATATGATCATAATTTAATCGATTGTATCGATAGTTGACTATTTAAAAATTTCTTCTTTTTTTTGTTTGTATTATTTGTTTATTTTGAAAAAATAAATCAGATGATGATATTTTTTTTGAAAAATTCATTTCAATAAGTGGGAGTTTCCATTGTTAGACAAAAAAATGGCATCAATTCTGAAGAGATTAAATTCAAAAATCGATATAAAATCTAAACATCATCAACAACAATCGAATCTACTATTAAATCCACGAACGCCAGATTGGTTCGATCATTATTCGGACATTTGTACACAACTTTGTTTCGCTGTATTCGAATCAAAATGGTTCAACGATATTCATTCGGATGTTATCCGTGATCTTTGTGATGATTCACTTGGTAATGAAATACATTTGCATTTGTTATCATTATTGGAACAAATGTTTCCATTGTATGATTATAGTGAAAAGTAAGTAGTGAATAAATTCATTCGCGAATTAATTCAAATTTTCATTTTCACACTGACAAAGAGTTGAAGAGACATTCCATACATTGTTATCGTTGATTGAACGAAATAAATCCCCACAACGAATTATTATAATTGCCCGTCTATATTATTGTGCAACAGCTTTGTTATTATTCTTCAAAGAGTCGGTAAATTTTTCTGCAACATTTCAATGAATGTCATGAATTTTAATTGTTGAGTCGCGAAATAGATCATTGGTGTTGATAATATATCCAAATCGTTCACGAATTTCATCCGGACATTGCTGGCTAAAAGTTGTGATCAACAATCATTTGAATACGATATCTGTCTAGATTGTCTTCGAGAAATTTCCGCCACTTATCCTGTATGTATGATTTTATTTCATTGATGATAATAAATTTCTCAACATTATTCAATACTAGGAAATGTTAATCGAAATATCGAATGATTATAAACCGTTAAGGACACCAAGAAATATACGAGAAGCATACTGTATGTTACCGTTATTTGATTCAGAAAATGATTTGGAAAAAATTCGTAATCTCATGCAACAATTTGATTATACACCGGATATAAAATTTTATCATATCTGTATGGATGTTCATCATTTGATATTATCCGGACGATATAATACCGATTCAATATCATTGCTTATTTTACGACCATTTTTATCGAAATTTATCATTAGTAATCAAATTCATCAGATACAATTTGCATTAAAACTTTTAATCGAATTTGGTTTTGATATCTTCAGCTCAAGAGAAGAAGAATTATTTTTACGACAAATGGTTCAAGCTTGTACAATGCCATCGATACCGGTCGGTCATCGACTACTATTGTTGGCTTTCATCCGTATTGCTTTCGAATCTATTTATGAACCACCATTGAATTCACCACCATTATCATTGTTAAATTCATTACATCCACTTCTGTTTGATGGCCCGGATACTCAAGAAAAAAAACTGCAGATTATGAATCAATCTGCATTCATAATATCGGACGATGAATTTTTCAACATGTTATATCGACTTCATCGGCAAAGTTCGATGGATAAACGAAATTATGAACGTGCCGCAAACGGTTTGTTTCATCTGATGAATCAGGCATTACGAAAACGGACACAATTAACCGATCGTCTAATACAATTGTTGTTGGATAGTTTTTTCATCACACAATATCTACATTATATTAAAAGATTTTGTATATTCTGCCGTGATCACAAAGAATTGGCACAAGAATTGGTCGACAATTTCATTGCCAAACTAATGATGATGACAAAAGAACAGGATAATAGTAGTGTTGAAAGTTTAAAAAATTTACCGGTTACCATTACAAGTTATAAAGTTTATATCGTTTATCTGGAATTCATCAATTGGTTTCTATCAGTAGCACATCGTCAAATTCGTTTGACCGAATTCCAAATAGAATTCCTTATTAATTTTATTCATCGAAATATTTTTCATTATGCCGATTCATCGACAATGGCATTACAATGTTGTACATCAATCCTATATTATCAACGTGTAACACATAAAGTTAAAGGAGCACTATTCAATCTATTAGAATGGCTAAGAAATGAACGAAAATCCGACCTGGAAGCATCCAGTTTAGCACAGATATATCTATTAGCATTAAGAACGTTAACGGAAGCATCAATCAAACAGGTGTTTACATCGGATGAAGAGGAATTTCTACTCCATCAAACCCCTGAAATATTTGAACAATATCTATTGAATGTGAAGAATACTTTGCCACAATGTCCCATTCGAATCGAAAGATCCGCTAAAATTAATATCAATCGACAGATATACAGTCCACCACCATTCATCAAAATCATTTCGTTTAATGTATCATTAGATTCTCGGAGTAAATTCAATCGAATATTTGCCATAGAAATACGATTTTCATGTCGACAAAATGATAGGTATGAAAAAATCATACAAATACCTTACATTGAAGATAAACAAAACCCGATTGGAATTAATCTGCCAATCGATTTTCTCATACATGATACTATACAACTTTCGATTGAAATGAAATTTGTTGATATGCGTGGTAATATCTATGATCATCTTCAAAATCAAATTGAAACAATTTCTTTTGAAGATTTGTTGATTGCATTCGCAATCGATATTGATCAAATTGCTGTAATCAAAATGGACAATATATTGACAAAACATTCGGATTCGATTCGATCAATAATCTGCGTACCAGATCACCATACAATACAATCATTTATCGATTATCATCAATGGCTTGAACCATTCATCATAACTGATTTATCATCACAGAATTCCACATTATCGTTTGTAATTGCAACGACACCTGATAGAATTACCATAGGTTCCATCCAGATAATCAATAATTGTGTAAACATTGAAATCGAAAGTAATCATTATGGCCTAATGCCGGCATTATTTTCAAGATTTCGAAGAAAATCTATTTGATGTTTTTTTTAAAAAAAAGATTGATTTGATATGATTTTAATCAGGTAAAAAAACTCTGGATTTGTATTGAGAAAAAAAATCTTATTCTGAAACAAGAAAAAATATCAACAAACATGGATCCACATATTCGAAAAAAATGATCCAATCAGTTCATCATGTTCATCATATCGTTGTTACATGGAACGCTTCCTTTTTGAAAATCACTCAATTCACGACGAAATGTTGATACATTCTGTGTAAATCTACATGGGAAATCACCAAAATGGTTATCATTAGAAAATCATCATTTTTTATTTTATTTTTGTTTTTGATTTACATACCGATCACGATTTTTGGCCAATAAATTTCGTTCAATATCTCTCATAAGGTAATCAAACAATCGATTCATTGTTGTTTGTTTTTCAATCGGTTGTTGTGAAATGATATTTCTACGTAGTTCATTGAAATAATCTTCATTCAATAAGATTAGGCCAAGTAGTGGTCTTGACATTGACCATTGATTACGGCAATCTTCAAACATGATTATATTCATTATTGTCGATAACATTTGTTGAAAGATTTCTGGTTTCAATTCCATTAAACAATTAACTTCATAGGATTTTTTCTTATTCTGTTTGGATATCTCTTTGAAAATGTATGATACGATATGATCCAATGCCGAACAACAAGATGTGCATACATTATCCAATGAATTTAGGCCTTCCGATATGGATGATATGATATAAAGGAAAACAGTAGGTTCGAGATTAGCTAGGAATTTCATATGATCTTGAGCAATACATTCAAGTAGTACATAGTATGATTGGCTGAGTTTTGGATATTCCTAGAAAGGAAGAAAAAAATCATTTAGAAATTTTCTAAAATCCAAAGAAAAATAAAAAAAATTACCAATATATCAGTAATTGAAATAGAAAGAATCAATTTGATGAACGTACTGAGAGCATCTTTCAATGCTGTATCACCATATAATTCGAATACACCAAAATTTACATATGATCCACTCAATGCTAATTTCAATATGGAAAAACAAATTGAAATGCCTTTCAATTTCATAGCATAAAGACGATCACTCGGTATATCACGAATCATGAGGATTTTCGTTCCATAATTGACCAACAATTTACTTGCATCACGAAATAATAGAATACCGTTTGGCGATGATATATCGAATTGAAGACGTTGTGATCGATTATGTACAAATTCAGCATATAATTTCAATACCGGTGTTGTCACCTGTGGATCATTGAACCAAAGATCGATAGCTGCATGGAAAACCGGTGTATATGTTGGATATCTGATTAAAAAACAAAAAAAAAACAGAAAAAAATTAAAAACAAATACCAAAGAATTGAGAAATATAGATACATACATCCAATTGAAAAATATCATTATATTTGATCTGGAAATAAATGAATATACTAGGCCACGTAGATCACGAGATATTCCAATCAAGGCTTTCTGTGTGTTTCAAAAATTGATTAATCAACTAAGAAAAGGGATTAGAAACTTTTTACTTACTTTTGTTTCTTCTTCATTAAACATTGATTTATTATTGAGCATATTTTTCAACGTATCCAATGAGGCTAACAAAAAGAATCAATTAATCAAATAAAAAAAATGTTGGCAACAACAAAAAAAAACTCTTACAAGTGATTGGTTGCATAAATTTTTCAAACTTATCCTCATCTTCACCCGAATCGATCATGAATAATCGACCTAATGATGTATAGAATATTGTACGGCACTTCATATATTTTATATCAAAAGAATTGCTTAAAAATGGAAAATGTTCGGCCTAATGATCAATCAATCGAATAATTAATCAGAATTTAGAATTCTATTTTATCATTATATTATCAAAAGCATACAGTATGATTATTCAATATGAATTGAATTTCTTCCAATTGGACCAATTTTCGAACACTTGAATAACCGATGGATAGATCGTTAAGAATCTGTAATGTTTTCGTAACAATATCTTCATCGTTTCCCCAATATTTTAGATTGGTTATTCTGTTAACAAACAAATAGCAAGAAAGATTAATTAAATTATTTAAATTTAACTATATATTATTTGAAAACATCGACGTACATTTTACGTATGAAAACACTTAAAACCATTGTCTCTTCACTTAGACCGAGAACATCGGATAGACGTTTATAGACAGTAGATGTCTTTTGCACTTGATCACCAATATAAGTCTTACGGAATTGTTCAAAAAAACTGAGAATGGCCAGATCAAGCTTTTTACAGAATCCACCACGGGCTAGACGTATGTCGGTGAAATTCATCAATTGTAAAACACGAAATGCTAGTTCACCGTCCATATGATCTTGTTCGTCATTACTATTGAGAAATACTCGGCCTCCGATAGCCGCGCCGATAATATAAACAAGCCAAGTGAGACGATTCTCCTGTATCTCAACTTCAGCACAGGATTGTGGCATTGTTTGCATCAAATCCTGATATGTTTTTGCAGCTTGATCAAACAGATTAACCAATATTGAACAAGTATTTTCATATTCACAACGTGCTATAGTTGATAATTGTTCTAATTGCTGTTGTACCATTCCAATCTCATCAAATGGATCTTCTAAACCGTTCATAACAACTTCATTCACCATTTCTAGTCTTGATGTTATATAAGCTCGTGTTACTTCTGGTGCGAAACGTTCTAATAGATGTGGTTCAGTTGCTTTTACATATGGTACAGATGTAACTAGTTTTTGCCATAAGGTTAATAGATAATGAATCGAATTGGATGCAACACTCCACATCTATAGGAAGATATCATCAATATATTATTATCATTAAATAGGATTATTATCCATTTTTAATTTTGACCATACCCTTAGACTGGTGATCGTAAAATTTGCAATCAATTCCAACGTTTTAGCATAATCATCTGCCTTGACTAATTCACCTAATTGATAATTAATTTTTAATCTTGCTAGTAGCCGACAAAATTCATGATAAGCACTTGGTTCGGAAAGTTTTGTTGGATTTTCCAATATAATTCTTATGCCAGAGATCAAATTGTTTAGGAAATTTACCCGTTCAGTATTTGTGAACAATGATCGACGAACCGATGCTAATTGTACTAAACATGAAAGTGACTAATGTGAAACAAAACAAAAAAAAGGTTTTTCATTTTCAATAGGTAACATTCAGTTAAGATGTCATTATTACCAGTGATGATATATTGGCCGGTAACAGATGAAATAGATCAAAGTAAATTTTGAGATTATTCATGTCAAGAAATGCCGGTCGCCAATTAGTAGGAATTTGTACACCTAGGGGAAGAGAAAAAATTCAATTTTCAAATTATCTTTTAAAATATTTTTTTTTTGCTTACAGGTTAGATCGTCGGATGAATCATCGGACGAGGCACCGATAAAATCAAATGAAAGGCAATTGATTATCAATTTGAGTAGATTACTAATCAATGTTTGTTCATCATCATACAATATTTTATTCTTTTTCAATTCTTCAAGAGCACTTTTTAACAATCCTTGTGCTAGTTGAAAAAATTCATATAAATTCTTATCACGAAATGATGATGCTATTTTTCGATGACGGAATATAGAACGATTTGCTTCATGTGCGTTCGGTTGACTATGATTTCAATTTCATGAAATATTAATAATCAATATAAATCATAATTGAATCGAAAATATTTTCATCAACTTACTTCATTTCAATAACAAGTGTGGAAATTAATTGTACACCAATATTACAATACTCTACCGTCCCCTATTATTTAAGGAATTTAATTTTGTCAATAATTTTTTTTTCACAATCAACATGGTTTTACATACACCAACAAAATGACTGATGTGCGGTATGATATCACGGAAAACAAATTGATCATTTTTCATATCAACCCATCCTACTTTTGTTATACGAGCAAATAATGTGACCAATGCTTGCAAAACGAATGGTGCTAATTTTGGATTTGATGCCAGATAATTTAGAATATAATTACGTATATCCAAACGTTGATCAACGGAAAGACCGGTCGGATTACGTGTAATCAATTTAGTCAATGTGGTTGCCGCTAATAATTGTGCGAATGCCGACTAAAAAAATTTTAATAAATAAACATTTAAAAAAACATTTAAAGAGAATTGATTGAATCACATACATCACGACGTTCTAATAATAGCTGACATTTTGGTAGACAATCCAACGAATTCGAAAACATTAACAATGCCGATTCGGCTTGTTTACGTTCATCAGAGTCGCTTGATTCATATAATTTTTTACATAATGTTTCCAATTGGACCAATTCCTTTTTTATGAAGAGAAAAAAGTGGAGAATAACAGAATTAGAATTTGTTAAAACTTAAATTAAATAAAAAAATACTTGTTCGTCACACATGATGTTAGAATTGAAGATATTTTGATGATTTGAAGGAAACTCAAATGATACACACACACAAATATAAAAAGCGATTTTCGAATTTCAAATTCAAAGAAAAAAATTGGCCTAAACGAATGGCCGCAAGCCCAAAGAGAAAGAAATCAAAAATCTTAATATTTTGATACGATAATTTATTTTCGAATTGATCATCGAAATAGAAATACAATCGCCAATGACAATCGAAATTTCTGGATTAATGACAATCGAATGATTGACGAGATCTGTTTTGATTAATTGAACAGCGATAATAATGATGAAACACGAGGGGAGAATTTGGCGGAATTTACACGGGCGCCTTTATTCATTGATTGCTGTTTTTTTTTTATTTTATTGTTATTGTTGTCGTCGTCTTCGTTTTGTTTATATTATTTGGCCTGTGCTGCTTGCCTGTTTGACTGCCTGCACACAACACACACACACAGACACAGACACACAGACTTGATGCATGCTTGAGCACACATCTCTTTATTCCATTCCGTTCATATTATTCATCATTCAATATATATTGAATTTAACAACTTTTGTGAATTTAGCCGTTTTTGAAATCGAAAATTTGATTTTTTTTAAATCAATTTTTCAATGATATCATTATTGAATAAAAAATGATTGATCTATGGATGAATTCTGTGGTTGAAATAGAAATCGAATACGAATAAAATGAATAGAATGAGAAATTCATTCCATTTTTTCCGGAAATATGATATGTAATCTATGCAAATGAAATTATTGCTATATTCAAATATTTATTCAATTTTTTCTTTGAATCATGTCGAACATGATTGATAAACTTGACATTGGGATCAATCGTGTCATTTTATTTTAATTAATTACCATTAATTGATCGATAAATCTATTCTAATCTAATGATAAATACTTTAGTGAATAGCCGAATAATATTTTTGAATGAACATTTCATTCTGGTTATTTTGATTAGTTAATTTTAATCATTATTGTGACTTGCGCCCTTTGGATCGATCCATTCGTTCTTCATCTTCATTGTACCAAGCCCAGTGCAGTCTTTTTTTTTGTTCTCTCTCTCTTTCTATCTCTATGTTCGTCATTGGCTCAACCAAAACACCAACATGAACATTGCGTGATGCTGCTATTGCATCTGTTTTTGTGTTGGGACCTATATACAAACCCAACACATGAAGACCATTTTATTGGATCAATCGATAACAATCCAAACAGTTAGCCAAATTGATAATATTTGTAGTCTTTGATGGAAATTTATTTAATTTTAAATGAATTTATTAATTCTTGAAGAATATGATGCATAATATTGAAATTGATGATACAATGATGACCATCAATATTAATGATGATGATAATGATTGTGAAGAGGATGATGATGATGATGAACAAATCAAGATTATTCAACAACAACAACAACAACAAAGTAACCCAGATAGGAATAATAATGAAAAGAATAAATGTTTCAATATATGGCCATCTTTATTTCGGTAAAATTTTAAATTTTAATCTGATTTTTAATTTCAAATTCTTTTTCTTTCCATCAGACGATCAACCTATTTAAAACGTTATAAAAGAGGCCATTCACATTCGTTAGAAAAACATCGTAGTCGTTATTATTCACAAAGTTTTGGTTCATCATTGAATGATGATAATCTTTCACTATCATCATCAAAGCCGATATCATCGAATGTTCCATTTCCGATCACGGATAAATATCTAACACATGGTTCACCAATTTCACCACGTGTAAAAAATTTTAATCTTGATATGAAAATTCTGGTATTATCACGTAATGATAATCCGTATCTAAGTAAACAATTAGAACGTTCAAATTCATTAACATCAAATAATTCATCAACCGTAACAGATGAACAGGAATATTTTGCTATCGATACACCACATTCAGCGCTACATACGCCCATATTTAATCGTCGCAATTATCGGATTAATAATGGTCGTTCATCATCATCAACCGGGCAACATCAACATCAACAACAACAACAACAACATCGATCAACATTATCATTTACATTTGGCTATGATAATCATAGAGATCTAGAGGATGGAAAAAATCTTCATGAACAATTAATCCGTAGTCCACCTCCGAATTTCCCGGAAAAACTAAGTGAATTTTTATTCACTGAAAATCTGATCAAAAATCTAAATAATCAATGATATTTTCAAAAGATGTAACCCTTTTTTTTGTTTTTTTTTCTGCTGCTGGTCAATCAGCCAAAAGATATAGAAAAATATTTTATTTTCCTGTTTTAATATTGCTGCTGTTGTTGTTTTTGTTGTTAAAATTCGATATGAATGAAAATCAATAAATTGATAAAAATAAAATTTATTTCCAACAAGTGATTCATATATGAAAAATGGCCATTATCATTAATCATTATCAAATCATGGGTTTGTCGACTGATTAGAAAAATCGAATCCTTATCAAAATGTTTTGATTTCATTCGAATAATCAAACTTGTCATATAGAGTGAATACTGATTCGTGGCCAAACAATCTCTACAGCCAATGTTATCATCATCTGAGAACATGGGTTGTATTATTATAGATATGATGATGCGAGGGCGGTATTCATTCAATGGTGGTAGTATTGGATGTAGGTAGCTTGTCTTTGAATCTAACAATGATGATAGTTGATGATGCATTATAACATCCTGTCAATGAAAGATTTTTTGTTTTCTATTGCTACAAACACATAATGAATGTAATGGTATGTTGAATGTAATCGTGACTGGATTTTTTTTTTTTTTTTGTTGAAGCCGGCGTGTGTGCATGTCTGTGTTTGACTGTGTCGTCGACTTTATAAGTGTAAAAATATATCGACAATGCTTGTTTGAACATACGATGTATATTTTATTTTGAAAAACCTTAAAACAAAACATTCTTTGAAATGAAATGATGATGAACAGATTATAGATTTGTTTTTCAGTCATATATCATCAAAAGTTTTTAGAACATTGATGAATTTTTTTTTCGCCAATGTTTATGATTCTATTTTTATATATTTGTCATCATCATTATCTTTCGTTATCGTATCATCATAAATATATTCTTTATATTTATACAAAAAGAAACGGATTTTCTGTTCCTTTTTTTCACATACGCACACATTACTGAAATACACGTCATCATCATCATCTTAAAGCCACATAAGAATAATACAGATATTTTTATTGCCATTAAAAACAAATCTTCCTTGATATTATTTCATCTCTTTATTATTATCCATCAAGAAAAAAAAACCAAAGATAAAGATGTCTTCTGGTATGTAAATAATCGATAATTATTATAATGATTGGAATTTTCAAAATAATTTTTTGTTTTTGTTTCGAATTATAGAAGCATTCGTAACGTTAGCTACAAACGATAATTATGCTATCGGTGCAATGGTATTGGCATCATCATTACGACAAGTTGGAACACAAAAACATTTGTTCATATTGATTACCAATGGTGTTTCCGATAATATAAGGTTTGATTTTTTGATTCGATAAATTTAAACTTTTATTCAAACAAATTATCAAATTTAAATTCGAATATATTATAATTTGTAGGGAGGTATTGGCTAAATTCTTCGATACCATACAATTGGTAGATCTATTACATAGTCCTGATCCGAAAATTCTTCAAGCATTAAAACGACCTGAATTGGCTGTAACATTAACAAAATTACATTGTTGGAAATTAACACAATTCACTAAATGTGTATTTATGGATTCCGATACATTGGTTATCAAAAATATTGATGAACTATTTGAACGTGATGAGCTATCTGCTGTACCGGATGTTGGTTGGCCTGATTGCTTTAATAGTGGTGTTTTTGTTTATCAACCTTCCGATGTAACATTTAATCAATTGATTGAAATGGCCGCACGTGATGGTAGTTTTGATGGCGGTGATCAAGGTCTATTGAATCAATATTTTTCCGATTGGTCAACAAAAGATATTGGCCGTCATCTTTCCTTTATTTATAATATGACACTTGCATCCACTTATTCATATTTACCAGCATATAAAAGGTAATCGTTATTAATGTTGATTATTGATTAATTTAATTTTGAATCTCATTTTTTTCTGATATTATAAAAAAGATTCGGCCAAAATGTTAAAGTTATTCATTTTCTTGGAGCTTTAAAACCATGGTATTGTTCATATAATGCTTCGATGGGTAAATTGAATACATTCATCGGTAATGATCAAGCACGTGATTTCATTGAAAAATGGTGGCAAATGATGGTTGCCAATGTTCATTCGGCCATCGAACAGGTAATCATCATCAATCGATTTATTTTTCTTCCGATTTATTAATCGATCTGATTAACATCCAAACACTTGCAGTTAAATCTGGTTGGATCAATGTCCAATATGGTAATTGATAATCCTGCTGCTATACAACAGCCATCATCAAGTAATGAAGATCGATATCAAGCATGGCAACAAGGACAAATGGATTATCTTGGCGCTGATAGCTTTGAAAACATACAAAAACGTTTGGATCAATCCATTCATGGCCAATGAACTATCCCAAAGAAAGAAGAGAAATATTTCTCATCATTGTCCATTTTCAAATGAAAAACCAAGGAATCAAATCATGTTTATTGAGTGAATGTTTCGCAATCATAATAATGATAATAATCTATATATTCAAAAATCAATGTTGCAAGAGAAACAGGTAATAATAAAACAAAACAAAAAAAAATCCAAATGTTTCAAATCAAACCGGAAAATAAAACAAGTTGATCATAGCTACAGCTGCTGGAACGGTCATGCATGTCTTCGATCGATGGACATCATTCGTCATTGATTAAAATCCAATGCCAAAACACGTAATATAGATGCAATATTACAATTCTAAAAACAAAACATTGCAAAAAAAACAGAACGTTTTGGCAACGTAGTCACTTTCTCTATCTTTCTCTCTTTTTCATTTTTTTTTATCCATTGAGCTAACATTGTCTCTGTGCGTGTTTGTATCCTTATATATGAAATATAATATACACACACACAGCTGATGAGCTCTCTCCTCCATAAACATCTTTATATTTTTTTTCCTTTGACTCCGCGCTTTTTTTGCCCCTCATTATACAATCTTCTTATTATTAGTTTGTTTTTTCTTTGTTGTTGCCAAGCTAGTCTCAAACAAACTATAAGAATTATTATTATTCTTTATTTTTCGTTTATTTTGATCTCATTTTTTTTTTGGTTTGGTTTTGTTGATCACATTACAACACCATTGACGTTGAATTGACATTCAAATTTGGCGGTTATTCGACGAAAACAAAAACAAAACAATTTACAATCATTTTAAATGACAAAAATCCACCGAAAAACATTGGCTTTTTGAATCAGCCATGGATTCTTCACTATCAACCATTTTTGATTATAATGATGATGACAATCAAGATAATCACCATTTTCATCATCATCATAATCATCACTCTACAAATCATCAAAAATCATTGCTACGAAGACAAAATTCGAATCGTTTACGGCGAACAGCAACGACAACAACGACAGCAAAACGATCAATAATAAAAATGGATAAATCAATTTCAACATCAAAATCTCATCATAATCTTTTACCAATTGATAATGATTCGATTTTACCACCTGAACAGGAACAGGGAAATGTTGAATATAAACTTAAACTGATTAATCCATCACCAAATCGTTTAGAACATCTTGTTACTCAGATGAAATGGCGTCTTGAAGAAGGTTAGATTGATTGATTTGTAATAATATTTTTGGTCTAAATTTTCGAATTTTGTTTTTTTTCGTAGGAGATGGAGAAGCAATCTATGAGATTGGTGTTGAAGATAATGGTGGCCTTAAAGGATTGACCGAAGATGAAATCTCATCATCATTGCAAACACTTCATATGATGGCCGATAAAATAAATGCATCCGTATCGATAACACAGGAAAAATTGATTGAATCAACAAGAAATGATAATAATCCACGAAAAGCATTAGAAGTATTGGTTAAAAAAATACCCGCTGATCGACAAGCGGTTGAAATACGGATTTCTGTTTTGGGCAATGTTGAAGCGGGAAAAAGTTCATTACTTGGTGTACTAACACAAGGTGAACTTGATAATGGAAAAGGTTAGTTTTTTTTTTATTCATTGATTAGGATTTTTTATTTATTGGAGTGAATTGGTTTATCGTAACAGGTCGAGCACGACTAAATCTTTTCCGTCATCGACACGAAATTCGTTCAGGTCGTACATCAAGTATTAATAAAGAAATTCTTGGTTTCGATAATCGTGGAAAACCGATCAAATATTGTGATTATCAAACTTCTGAAGAAATTTGTCAGCTATCATCGAAAATTATCGTGTTTATCGATTCGGGTGGCCATCGAAAATATCTTAAGACAACCGTATTCAGTTTAACTGCAACACATGCTGATTATGCCATCCTAGTGATCAATGCATTGAGTCCATTAGATTGTGGTACAAATCTTTTACATTTAAGTTTAGCCATTGCTCTTGAAGTTCCCATCATGGTCGTAATCAATAAGATTGATCTATGTGATGATCAAATGATTGATCGTATATTGAACAATGTACGAACATTGATTGCATCACCGTTTTGTAAGAATAAAATACCGATAACCATTCAAAATGGTAACGATATAATAGCCTATAGTAATAATAATAATCGTAAAAACATGGTGCCTATATTCCTGATCTCATGTGTTAATGGTGATGGGCTGGAATTACTTTATGATTTTCTACATTTACTCGAACCATCAATGGATTCATTCAATCGAGATAAACTAATCAAACAAAATTGTACATTTCAGGTTTGTTTGTTTTTCTGTCTTGTTTTTGTTCTGTTTATATTTATTTCTTTGATTTTTTTTCTTTTCGATCGTAGATTGATCAAACATTTAATATACCAAATCTGGGTGTCGTTGCCAGTGGTTTTCTTCGTTCAGGCCTTATTGAAGAAGGTTCAGTACTGAAAGTGGGACCATTGGATGATGGACATTTTGTCGATGTATTTGTTACGAGTGTTCAACGACATAAAGTAAATCGACGTATAGTTCGACCTGGTGAAAGTTCAACATTAGCATTGAATCTTTTTACGAATTCTACAATATCCGTCAATAATGGTCACAATGATGATGATGATGATGATGTAACCGACGATAACAACAATAATTCAACAATCCCATTGTCAAAATTATCCGTAAAGGAATGGTATTGTTAAGCAATGTTGATCCAGATTCAATTTGTCAATATTTTCAAGCTCAAATCTACTCAATGCCACATTCATCTGCTGTCATATCGTTAGGATCGTCAGCCATTGTTTACATTGAAAATGTACGTCAATGTGGTGTAATATTAGCGATCAAACATAAGGAACAAATCTATGCCGATGAATCCGCTTCTGTTATCATACGATTTATTCGTCGTCCAGAATATATTCGAAATGGATATCGGCTATTATTACAATTTGAACGAGCCAAAGCTATTGGTCATGTGACTAAAGTTTTTTTCTAAAATTATTTTGAAAACAAGATAATATTTCTTTTTTCCGACCCCAAATTAACACTATTTAGACATTAAGTTATTATTATCTTTTGAGTTTAATTTAGTTTGAAATTTCCCACTCCTTTCTCTTATTGTTGTTGATTATTTATTTTATCATTTCTTTCATCACATATCATCACTATTATGAACTGTTCAATGTGAAAAAATTAAAAAAATTTTTATTCAACATTTTCTGAAACGAATGTTTCTTGTCACATGTCATTTGATGAAAGTTTGCCTGTTTATCGATGGTTATCGATGTGGGTGTTTATCATAGGACATTCTATTCTATTCTTTTGCACAGAATGAATGTAACGATCGATTGCAAATTCTACGGAACTATATTTACCTTGGCTGGTTACCGGAAATTTGATGATAATCGTCAGAAATTACAAGCAGCAATTACAGCCATTACAGATGAAAAGAATCATCCTCGATTCATTATTGACCATCACCAACAACAAAGTGAACAACGAAAACAAAAAGAAAATATTTTCAATGATCAATCTTATTGTTTTGAATTGTCCGAATCGAAACCGAAACCCGAGTATGTAATTTGATTGTGTTTGAAATGAAATTGATTGAGTGTTTATTTGATTCGAACATAGGCCATTGATTGTGGTTGGTATCGATTTTGGTACAGCATATACCGGTTATGCATTTGTATTTCGAAACGATATTGATCAAATTCATTATATGCGAAAATATTCTAGTCTAGATGGACATGAAGGCAAAGTACCGTAAGTTAAACAAACAAAAAATTCGATCCCAATTTTTAATGTTTGGTTAACAATCAACTATATGATAAAAAGAACGTCATTATTATTGGATTATCGTCGAAAATTTCATTCATTCGGACAGGAAGCAAAAAATTTCTATTATAATCTTAAATCAAGTCAATGTTTCAGATATGGTTATTTTGAAAATTTTAAAATGAAACTTTATTCGAATGGTGAAAATCAAACGAAAATCGATGCAAATCTGAAGCTAAAACCAATAAATCAAAATTATGAGATTGAAGCAATGGAAATTTTTTCAATGTCATTAGAATATCTTTGTCAACAAGCAAAAGATGAAATTGGTCAAAAATGTGGATTACGTTTAACACATGATGATATTGTATGGGTTATAACCGTACCAGCAATTTGGTCGGATCAAAGTAAACAATTTATACGATTAGCAGCTGAACGTACCGGTTTGATATGTGGTGAAATGCTTCGCATTGCACTTGAACCCGAGGTAGCATCATTATATTGTCGAAAATTTTTATCTAATGAATTAAGAAATTCTAATTCAAAAATTCAATCAACATTTGAGCCTGGAATTAGCTATCTGATTATTGATTTAGGCGGTGGAACTGTTGATGTAAGTCGTTGATTTTAGTTGTTTATTGCTTATAAAATTCTGGATATTAATCCAAAACAGATAACAGCTCATCAAATTCAACAAGATGGTTTCATCAAAGAACTTCATAAATCAACGGGTGGACCATATGGTTCGAATGAAATTAATAGGAAATTTGAAAAAATAATCGAAAAAATTTTTGGTTCGAAACGATGGCAACGTTTTCGCAAGGAATCACCAAGCACATATCTCGATTTGATGCAAGCATTTGAATTACGAAAACGAGAAGCAAAACCAGATCATCATACACCATATAACATATTGCTTACCTTTTCATTCATCACATATTTTGGTGGCTCAAAAGAACTAACCAAACTCTTCGATAAAAATGCACCAAATGGTTTATCGTATTCACCGAAATTGGGTATTATTAGAATTGATATGATTCTAATGAATCAATTATTTCGATCTGTTATTGATCCATTGATTGATATATGCCGTCAAATACTTGAAGAACAGAAATCGAACAATATTCGATATATGTTTTTGACTGGTGGTTTTGCCCGTTCAGCTATGATTGATCAACAAATAAAATTGATGTTTGAATCAAAATTGATGGTTGTAATACCATCACAAGCACATCTAGCCGTATTATATGGGGCATGTCAATATGGTCTGGATCCTACATTGATTCGTTCACGTCGTGTACGGCAAACATATGGTATAGCTATTATGGAACGATTTGATCAATCTATTCATCCTCATTCGAAACGTATGGTCAGTGCACAAGATCAAACAGAATGGTGTACCGATGTATTCGATAAATTTGTCGAGATGAATCAATCGATTGGATTGTTTGAATCGATAAAACGTCGGTATAAACCAATATTTTCCACACAAAATTCGTGTATATTTCATATTTATTCGACTACCAATATGATGGCTAGATTTGTTACCGATCAAGGTGTACAAAAATGTGGAGCACTTTATCTAGAACTGGATACAATTCAATTTCCAAACGGTGTTAATCCAGCCATTCAACAATTATTACAACGTGAAATTGAAGTGGAAATGTTTTTCGGTGAAACCGAAATCAAGGTAAATATGAATTAAATGTAATGTCATTTTTTAATGTTTCTCTAAATTTTTATATCTAAAAGATAACGGCAAAAGATTTACAAACAGGATATGATGTCAGATCGAATATAGATTTTATATCAAATCTAAATAAATGAATAATGACTAGGTCAATTAAGATCGGCAATATCATCAAAACTATATCCATCATAACCACGATATGCTCGGAATGCAATCATACAATGATAGAGACCAGGCACTAATGTGATAAAGGCCAATGTTAGGAATGTAAAATTATCATCCGGTTTGAAGGCGATCCAACCAAAATTTGAACAAATAAAAACGATAACGATAACGCTACCAATCAACGTGAGCGTCAATGCCAATAGGATACCTTTCCATGGAATGTGATCAAATTGATGAAATTTTTCATTCGTTGCGTTCCATCTATCTTCATCTTGGGATCGCTACAGAAAATGAAAACATGACAAAAATAATTAAAACCATTAAATAATGAAAATTGAACCTGTGTTTTTTCAAGCAAATTCTGACGTTCATCATCATCATCATCATTATTGTTGACAGATGATTTTGTCAATCGGCGATGATGCAAAACTGTTTTAGTCATGACCATCAATAATACAAAATAAAAATTTCTACAACACGAATTCCAAAATAATAACAACAATGTTAATGTTAATATAAATACTGGTGGATTCAAGCTAATCATGAATATCTTCAGTGCTTCCATCTGTTTTCCAATTGAGTTTAGATTTTTATAGAACAGATGGCAGCACAAGGATTTTTGACAATTTCATCTCCAAATAGGATAATGTCCGATTGAAATTTATCGATTTTATCATTTATATAAGTTTGTTCGTAAGTCCAAATGTCCATAACTCCAGTACTGTTTGTATTATCGAATCAATATTTATTGTTCGTATTAAATATTTATATATATAGAAATGGACACAATCAAGAGAAAGAAATGAAAGGAAATAGATAAAGAGATAAATGAAATGAATGATAAAAATAATAAATGAAGAAAAAAAAATTTCCTCAAACGAAAAGAAGGTGGTTATCACAAGTGTTTATGTTTGTTTGTATGTATGTATGTATGTATGTATGGAGGATGTGATGATCTTTTCAACATTTCTATGGATATTCATTATATAGCTATGAATACAAGTGCAGAGACTATGTGGGTGGACAGGATGTGTCATGTCATTATCATGGTAATAATTATAAAATAATAAGAAGAATTGATAATTGATAATAATTAATACTAAAAAAAAAAAAAATCAATCAATCAATGAAGAATTCGAAATGAGCATATCGTTATTGTTGTTTTGTGACAAATTTTAAATTTTGAAATTATTTATATAAGACAATCGGAAAAGATTGACAATTAAATCGGGAAAATCATATGAATTTGTGACTGTAAACATTGTGTATACTACTATTATATTGTATCTGAGTGTGTGGTGAGGGATAGAAAAATTTTAAAATCTGATTTATGACTTTCACACAAACGTATGCGGGTGGATGAGGGGTTGAAAAAAAAATTGCAAAAATTGAAGGAATGAAACAATTTTTTTTTTACAAAAGTGAAAAAAAATCAATAATGAATTTTTCTAATCAAAGCCTGAATCTAATTCTCGAATAAATTGCATTTTTTTCTTCTTTCATGAAATCGAAAACAAAATTGGCTCATGGCTATGTGTGATGTGGTTGTTTTTTGTCAGGTCAAAAACACGTACCATTTTTTCTCGGTTTAATCGAAATTTCAAATAGTTCCTGAGAGTGCGGTCATCTTATTTGTTATTATAGCACAATGATTGATTGTTTGATTTGTTTGTTGTTTCATTATTCGTATCGGGTGTAAGAAAATCCCATATCAAAATTGTATCATCATGTGAACTGCTAACAATTTGGAAATCATCAAATTGTAAACGAAATACACGACCAGTATGTTCGATTAATGTACGTAAACATAATGTACCGGATGGTGATCGTGGATCCAATGCGGCAGCTAAATCCCAGACTTTGATTTTACTATATTAAACAAAAAAAATCGAATATATAAAACATAAATCAAAATACAATCACAACATACCCATCATAAGCACCGCTAACAATTCGTTTATTATCAAATCGTATACAGCGAACCAATTCATCATGACCTTCCAATACGCGTAAACAGTTACCGAATTCAATGTCCCAAACTCTACAAATCATCATTATGTATATTAGTGGACGAAATAATCAAATTCAAATTCACACATACCTAATCGTATTATCTGAACTACCACTGACCACTAAACGATCACGATATTGGAGACAGGCAATACCACGTTTATGACCATTCAATGTTCGTACAAATTCACAATCAGATGTTTTCCATACTTTGATCGTACGATCACCGGATGCAGATACAATATATTTTTCGTCAAAATCTACAACATTTACTGCGGCACGATGACCAACCAATACCCGACGTAAATTAATCTCAGTTGGTGATGTCATATCCCAAACGGCAATAGAACGATCTTTCGAACAGGTGACCATCATACCATTATTAAAACGAAGATGCAATACAGCTTCACAATGATGTATTAAAGTTTTGATCATTTGTCCAGTTTTAATCTCCCAAACGCGTACAGTTGCATCGCTTGAACCGCTTATAATTACATGATCATCATATTGTAGACAAAGAACCGATCCAGTATGTCCAGTTAGAACCTTTAAAGAAAACAGTGTCATAAGAATCAAAAACAATTTTTTTTAGTTCACTTACATTTGAACAGGCCAAATCTTTACGATCCCAGATTTTAATTGTATTATCACGTAGACCGCTGATAATTTTCTGATCATCATATTGTAAACAATAAACACCTTTACTGCCTTCACTACGGCAATTAATACGATTCAATGTATGTTTTCCTGAACGCCAATTATTTTCTGTACAACGAATATCCATAATGATTGTTGGAAATAAACGTCGATAGAACATATGATCTGGATGTGATTCATTTGGTTGTGGTTTGAATAGATAACGTATCCTAAGAGAAATAAAAATTCGAAAAATAAAATCAATTCTTTAGTAAATAATACTTATCAAAAACGGAAAAACAAACATACCAACCACGACGTTGTGCAAGACCACGCCATAACGAATCAGTATTTACACGTGATTCAATCAATTTCTTCCATAACATTCCTTCCGAAATGAAACGATGCCATTCTTTACATACTAATTCGGCTGCACATAATGATTTTTCATCCAAATACGATAGAATAGTTTCGGCTACATGATCTAGACCTTTTTCTAAAAGTGAAAAAAAATTTCATCATAAATTTTAAATTTAAAAGACAAACAAAACAAAATCTACTCGGTAGTAATGAAATAAAATCCCGTTGTAACATTGGTCGTAAAAATGTATTGATTCTTGAATGTTGGTAATGTGACATATGTGATAATAATTGTTGTACGAATGAATCCTGAAATGTTTCCGACCATAGGCCAAATGTTTTAAAGAATCGTTGATATTTTTCATCATTATTGAATAATTGCATTGGATCGGATAATGAACCATTAAATCCATTTGCAACGGCGGCCGTATCATTCATAGCGTTCATATCTTTCAGGTCGGTTATCATTATTTTTTCATTCAGGGCAACTTCCTAATTTTGTCAAAAGAATTTTTCAAATTAATTGAATTATATTATTTGTATCCATAAATAATAAACATACCAGATCTTCAATCATATCTTGATGTTGATCCATCATTTTGTTATATTCTAAATTTATTATTCACCATATACAGATTTTGTATAGATTTGAAAAAATTGTTTTTATTTACTTTTTCTTTAAAAATGCGATTTTTGAAAAAATTGAGAACGATCAATTTTTTCTTGGATGATGCGTACTAAACAAACAAACAAAAATAACCAACAAAACGATTGATTGATTGACTGTGGGTTAGGGGTTTTGTTATCGATTTTTTTTTTGAAATATGATGATAATGATCAATTTTATATCGATATAAACATATTTTTCTCTAATATCATATTATTTGTTGATTGTGTCGAGTATCAGCATTTGTATTTGTAAATCTTCCAAGATTCGATGATTTCAATGAAGAAATGATGATGAAGAAAAAAAAATTAGAACATACACAGTTTTGAAGACAAATAATAATTTATTAATTAATTTGAAGAGCGGTATGAATCTTTGATCAATAAAAATTAATCAAATTTCAAATCAGAATTTTTTTTCGAATATTTTTTCCGCATTTCAAACTCAAAAAAAAAATAATTGATATCTAAGTTTCGAACGATGATGATGATGATGATGATGATGTCGATGTTATGATGAAATAATAGGATTTTCTTCGTTGATGACGATTTTACCTTTTTCGCTGATGATGATGATGATGATGTCTGTTTTGTCTGTGCTCATTTTTTCATTCTTGATCGCCCGTTCATATAGTACGTGTCATATTTATTTTTTTTCGAATCTTTTTTTTTTGTTCTCTGGTTCCCAGACCGAACCAATGTAATTTCGAATCAATAAATAAACGATAAACGATTTATTTTTATTATACCGTGTTTACAAACACATACATACACACAAAACGTAATATATTGTAAACGATATATTTTATTTTTGTTTCAATTATTAATGAAATGAAAAAAGAAAAATGGAAATGACAATTATCGAATATTCATATATGTGTGAATGTGTACAGGTACAACACAATGCAATCTATCTATCTATCTATTGTATTTAAGTTATCTATTAACTGATGATGATAATGATGAAGATTATCCATTGGCTATCTAATATTACAAATGAATCGGATAGAATATAATATCCATAATGATATTTTGGCCAAACTCGCTCGTGTATCGATGATGAAGAATAAAAGTATTCAGAATTGAAGAAAACCAGAACAGGTAATATAGATGAAAAAAATGAGTTCGAATGATGATTTGTAAGTGTATTTGATGATGATGATGATGACGAAAGTGAGAGTTGATTGATGATTGAAAAAAGGGCAGTTTATTATCATCATTATTATTATTATTTTTATTAGGTTATGAATGAGCCAATGAAGTTTTTGGCTATGATAAAGGCTATTTTGTTTTGTTGATTTGAGGCTGCTGCTGTACACAAAAAAAATGATGAAGATGATAGATTCGTTATTTAGATGAACATGTATGTAATATTTTTTGTTTTGTCTATATATAGCCTGTGGTATTTTGAAAAAATGTTTTTCTATTACATGGCTATTGATAATGTGTGTTATTATAAGTAGGTTGATTTAGTTGTCCGAGGTGTTGATAACGGGATTTCAAAAAGAAAAGGAAAAAAAAGACGGATGAACGCTGAATATCATTCAATCAATCGATCATACAAAATAATGCCATTGAAAGTACCATTCCGATGATCAGAATGCAAGCAATTCCGATACCGATACCGCCCACTAACATTGCATGACCTTTGACGAAATTTTTCATTCTATCATAACAATCCTGATAATGAGAAGAAATATTTTTTTTTTCGAAAATGAATTTTTGATTACACACACAATAATATTTATAATACTCACATCATGATAGGTATGTGTAGGATTTTCCGGTTCCATCATACATCTTTCCACTGATGATTCATCACGTAGATTTAGACAACATGTACGTGGTACTCGTCTACGATTATTTGATCCAAATATCGGATTATTTTGTCTATAAATAGTATAACCATGTTGGCCATCCAATTCAATACCACAACAATGGAACTGGATATTTTGGTAAGAAATGGTAATATATTATATTAGTAAAATTTAAAATCATACAATAGAACATTATTATAGAAAATGATGATGATATTTACATTTCGTTGAACAGAATCCCAAGCCTAAATGATTAAATAATAAAAAGGATGACAGTAAATTAGACAACAAAAGAAAAATAATTTGTACTATATGCTTACATCAGTAATGGCAGAATCATTACCATAATGGCTAATGGTAATTTGCATTTCACGTTTCATACGATCATCAACTTGATTACGAAAAACATAGCCAAGTATACCGCCCAATAACATCAATATGAATATAAGAAATAATAGAACAAAAATACCAACAACATAAATCGTATCTCTTTATATGCACCCAATGAACCAAGAAATGATATGAATGATACGATTACACCGGCTGCAATTAATAATGATGCCGATGTTATATATAGATTCGATCCTAATAAACGTTCCATAAATGAACGATCGGCTAATGTCCATACACCGATAGCGAACACAACAAGACCACCAACCTAATTAAAAAAAAAAAATTACAATTCATCCAATCGTAAAATAATTTTTGATGAAATGGACACTTACAAAAATAACGCCATTAGCTGCAAACATGGCAAATTTAATGCCTTTACCCACACCACCGTCTACCATTTTTTACGTTATTATTTTTCTGCTGTTTTGGATGAAAAAAAAATATATGAAAATACAAATAGAATGGATGATGACAGAATCAAACAATAAGAACAGAAACAAAAAAATCAAAGCAATTTTCCAATCTGATTGATTGATTGATTTTTGGATTTGATTTATTCCCGACTATATCGACATTGATTGATTGTTTAAAAAAGGGAAAGGTAATGTACTGTTATTGTTGTAGTCGTTGTTGACTAGGAAGTTTTTTATTTTCCTATTATTAAACACCACAGTTTCGGTTGATGAACTTTTCATTTGATTCTTGAACGACAAAATAAATTCAAATAACACATGTATATTTAGCATATAAAACCATTTGATCGAAGAATGTAGGAATCTCTGTCCGTTTCTTTCACCATATGATAAATTTTAAATTCAGATTATCATCGTCATCACAGATTTTGGTATCTTGTTGTTGGTATTTACAACGTACGAATATTTATCCTAAAAAATGTGTGATTTTGTAACACACACACACATATACACACAACTACAATATCATCATCAAATCCAGGAAAAAAATCGGGTTCCAAAAATAATTCGACGACATATATCGGGGATATTAAAAAAAAGGTAAAATTTTGGGCGTTGTTCTGGAATTCATTTCTTTTTCTTTTATGTTTGGCGCCCAATTTTATATCACATTTACTATATATGTATACGTTATATATGAAAAACTAGATCAAACAAACAGCCTTGCTGAATGAAATTAGAAAAGATGATTGGATTGTGAATCTATGTAATTTTTTTTTCACTTTTGATTTAAAAAAAACAAAAATACCTGAACCTTGATTATAAAGCAGGTTTGAGTTGAATTTTTGTTTTATTCATTTTCGGTACAAACACAGACACACACACACACACACACACACATCGTTATATCGGTTAATACAAACAGCACACCTAGAAAAATTATATATGGTGATGCTGATGTAGTATTTTGTTCAACAGAATATTGGGTGTGGTTTTTATAAATCAGAAATGAAGAATTTTTCTCATTTTTTTCTATACGAATATTTTGATTCATTCATGAACTTTATTCCATTGAAATGAATAAATGAAAAGAAAACTGGAACAACAAAGCAAAACTATAAGCCAACAACAACAACAACAACAACCAATAATATCATTTTGACACTATTCATATGATGATGATGACATTCATTGATGATGATTATATGACGATAATAATGAATGTCATCAATATATGAATTTTGGTTTAAATATACTTCACACACACAAATACAAGCATTGTGTGTGTGTGTGTGTGTGCATGCATGTGTTGTAAATTTCAAAGTTCAAATATATATTTTGAAAAAAAAAAAAAATGTTTGCAACCAATATTTTGTTGTCATGAGTTTTTGTAAAATAAAATTTTATCAAATAAATATTTTGAGTAATTGAAAACAAAACAAAAAATTAATTACCGAAATGTAAACGTGACACAACAACAACAACAACAACGAAAAAAATGGGACAAATAAAACAGTTATATCGATTGATCGATTGATTGTATTCGTAAAATATCGATTTATGCATCAAATATTTAGAATTTTTTCTTGTTTTTCTTTGTGTTTGTGTGTGTGTGTGTGTGGATATTGCCAAGGAAACCTAATAACAAATTGAATAATAATAATTTGAATAAAAGGGGGGTTTTTTTGTTGAAAAACACAAGAATAATTTTGAATATGTTTGGAAAAATATTTGGTAAAAATAAAATCAATTTTTGAAAATAGATGATAAGCAAAATTCGAATTCGTGAATTTTGTGAATCAAAAATTGGAAACAACTTACCGATGGAAGTATGGAAGTTTAAACAATGGACACACACACACAAAAAGTTTTGGATTAAGTTTTGTTGAAAAAAAAATGATAATGACGTTTATGGAATCACGAAAATAAAAAATGAACGCGCGTTTCATGAATTCGAAATCCAAATCTAAATTCAAATGACAACTGCGATTGAGTGACTACTCACACACACACACAGACAGGAAAAATAAATTGCTCAAAACGAAAAATCCGATGAGAATGGATGGTGGATCTAGCGGAATATCGCAAACACACACACACACACACACACACGCATAAACTCATACAGAGATTACATACTTTTTTCATCGGTCTTTTTCATATAACACATTGGGCAGCTATATGTGTGTTAGTGTGTGTGTGTGTGTGTGTGTGTATACTGACTTTATTAGTTATTTTTATTATTTATTATGATATTTACAACCGGTAATATGGTGTGAAAAAAAAAATTATCTGGACAAAATACTTGTGTGTGTATGTGTGTGTTTTTTTGGAATCCTAGGAGACCATAATCATTATCAAATATGATAATATTTGTATTTCAAACCTCATAATCATAGTCATAATTACCTGGTAAATCATTTTCGGCTTGTTGATTCATCTTTGATTTGTTTTTTTTTTCATTCTTTTAATTTTAAGGTTGCTTAGGTTCCCATGTCTTTGACATTTTGCCGCCATGAATATTATTATATATGATGATTATTTATGACGGAAGTAACTATTGCTTTATCAATATCACCAATGTTTATGATGATGATACATTGTATTGCAATTGGAAAAAAATGATCAATTAAATGGCAGTAATTTCGTTTGATAATAATGGTGATTTTATAATCTTGAAGATTTATTAGTAATCATCATAACATTCGAATCTTATGGCTGAAATTTTATTGCCCACAGACAGATGGCGCCATAATTTGAGAATTTGTTACACATGTTTTCATGATCAACATCTGATTTCGAATTCGATTATTGTTTTTTTTGAATTTTTAGACATTTTTTTTTTTGGTCAAAAATTTCAAATAAATCAAATACAATGCCCGCATATGAATTAGTTTTGTTGATCAAAAAACTACAAAAACCTGAACTAGCATCATGTATGAAACGTGCAGCCAATTTTATTTTCGATAATAATGGTATTTTACGAAAAATGGAATATTTTGGCCTACAGCCATTACATTTTCGTCTATCCTCATCGATACCGAATGCTAAACGTTTTAATCAGGCCAAGTAAATCGTTTTTTGTATATTTCTTTCTTGTTTACTGACATTTTTTTTTTATTCATCATTTCTTTTTTTGATTAATAGTTTCCTTTTATATCATCTGGATCTACCACAGGAATCGATGAAAAAAGTATTCGAAGATTGTCGTTATGATACGGATATAATACGTGCATATTTTGTGAAAAAAGAATCCAATCTACCCGATGGTTACCATTGTACATTGAATGATGAATTAAAACCACCAGCATTACGACCATCGGTAATGTCATTAATTGAAGAGGGAAGAAAAAAGAAAGTCGATTATAATATGGGTGATTCGAAAAATGTTCGACAAATTTTGTAAAAAACATTTTTTTTTTAATTGTCTTCGAAACAAAATACTTGTACTTTCACACATCGTAGTCATTTGTCATTTGAAATAAATACAACAAAAAAAATACTTTTTTGTTTTGTTTTTTTTTGGAATTTGGTCAAATGTTTTTTGGGAATTATCGGATTTTGAACAACTGAATTTAAGTTAATATTTTTGAATATTCGATAAATAAATTCCCATTATTTATGTTTGTTGAGGTTACTGTCAAACTTTTTGAGCAAAAAAAAAAATGAATATTTTGATTCTGACAAAACAAAACATAAAAAGGAAAAAAAAATATAAATTGGATTATGATTCAAAAAATAGTTTCTCTTTCATAGAATTTAAATAAATTCTCTTATCGTAGTGGGTTTTTGTTGTTGTTGTTGTTGTTGTTTTTGAAACTTGAGAAAAATCGAAATTTAGTTTTTTTTACGAATTTGAAATAAAAATTAAGTAAAAAATTTGAACATATTGTCAATGACGTCCAACATCGACGACAACAACGTTTTTTTCTCTCTCTCTCTTGTTTCACTGTTATTTAAATCAATGATGATTAAACCAGAAAAACAACTATTTTTGGCCAAAATGATAATGGAGGTCATGGGATCTCATAATTTCATTAATCTTTAAGCTAGAAAAACGTCATTAAATGTTTGGTTTTGTCTTACAATGTTCGATCAATATAAGAATGGTTCATTAGTTCTGTATACAAGCGATTTAATAATGTATATATTGAGATAAGAAAAATTCCAATTAAGATTCAGCTACTGTCACTGGCCACACTGGCCAAGAAATAAGAGAAAAAAAGAGATTAAGGGTTAATTAGACGATAATAATAATAATAATAATAATTTCAATGTGGTCAATGTTTTTTTTTATACATAAAAAGGATTGACAAGCATTCTAGGAATGAACAAGCAGCAGTCCAAAAAGAATTTAATATCCGGTCAACCTAGTTAGAATCTATAGAATAAAAAAATTAATACCTTTAGTTGGTAAATGTTACATCAATATTTATATCATTGACTATGGTAATCATCATCATCATCATGGATTAATAATGGACCACATAATCAATATCCTAAGAATAATAATCAAAAAAAAAATGTATTGCATAATGGAACTTGGATTTTGTTGTTGTTTCTTTATTCGAATCGATTACCACTACGATGGCGACGACATTTATTGACCCAGAATATGTTTGTTGAATAAAACAGAATTACAGAATCTATCCAGAAATTTTCTAGAGAAAAGAAAGAAAAATGTAGTTCAAGTTTGTAAGTTCATATATGAATAACGCTAGGATTTTTTTTTGTCATCTACTAATAAATGAATAGTAATTTGAAACAGATTTTTCTAATTATGTTTAAGGTGTTTGAAGTCGGTCATAATGTTAAAGATTGTAAATCCAAGTTTAAGTGTTCTTTTGCAAAGGTGATCATGCTTCAGTTATTTGTAAAAAGGAGAAAGATAAAAAGGAAATGTTAACAATTTGGAACAAGCTTCGATTGACACTTGCATGATTCCGAGATTTTAAACTGTTAAGCCCTCCAGAAAATTTAATAAAAATCAAAATTAAATTATATGAGAAAAGATTTATTGGCTTTGTATGACACAGGAGCGACTATTTCTGCAATTTCTTTAAAGTTATGCAATTTTATAAAGGCAAATGTTCAAGAATCTGATAAAAGTATATCTCTAGCAAATTGTGTCAAGACAAAATCTTTCAGGAGGGCTATCATTCCAGTGTCAATTAATGGAATCTGCAAAGAAATTTCTTTTGAGATTCTAGAGAATCTGAAGCATTCGGTTATTCTTGGTTTGAATTGCATCAAGTCTTTTGGTTTGGAACAAAGAAAAGATCTTCGTGTTTATATGAATGATGTTGTGATTTTCAATGAATATAAATCTTCTTCAAATGAGATTCAAAAGCTTGGAAAACGAAAATTGGTCAAAATTGTTGATCAATTTTCCGATCTTTGAAGGAATTGGAAAGAATGAAAGAATATTTCATAGTATAAGTCTTAACGTCAGACAAAGTTATCAGAACAGATTTTTTCTTTTGGTTAAAAATTCTTTAAAAATCTAAGCCATATATAAACATAAAACAAAAGCGAATATTCATGGAATGCAAACCTCTTTAGGATGGTTGGGTTGGCAAGATATTTGAATAATGTTGATTTCAAAAATAATTCCATTTGCCAGTTTTAGGATGAAAAATTTATCTTTGTTTTGTCTTGTGTTCTTTATTTTAAAAATTATCTCTTATTTGATGCCGTGCAAAAAATTTGAGTTTTTTTTGGCTTTTGTTGTTATAAAACAAAAAAAAAATCTTGAAGTGAATTTCATTCTACTGTAGAGTGCATCACAGAGTTCCATAGTTATTGTGTGTGTGTGTGTGTTTGTGTGTGTAAATCATTTTCAATTTTCAACTTTGTTTTTATCATTATGGGCCATTTTGTAACTGTAATCAAGATGATTTTGATTCTTGATTCTTGATGATGATGATGATGATAGTAGCATTGTTTAATGAAATTAATTTAATTATTATTGAAAACAGAAAATTATTCTGCATCCAATATATGAAATGAGTTTATTTATTTTATTTTTTTTTTTTTTGACGTCATACCACCAACGACAGAATCGTCGTAACTGGTCTTAGGCCAAAAATTGTTGAAATTTCTAAAGAAAATTCCTAAAAAGCAAGGCAAAAGAAAAACAAAAACAAAAACAAAATTTTAATCGAAAATGACATTTGGTTAACTTGACTAGATAAATTCGATTTGAACTTAGCTTAAATTTAACGATGATCACCACGACGACAAATCATTGACTTGGCCAATCGTTGATGATGATCGGGAGTGGTGGTAATTTGGTAAAAAAAAAAAAATTTCAAATCACTTGGCCAAATTGTCATCATCATCATCATTCTCATTCACTGATATTTTTTTTTTTTAGACACACGATGTTTGAGACAAATCTAACAACAAAAAAAAACTGAATGATTCCCTAAAAAAATTAATCAAAATTAATGGAATAAATCTAAAAATAGCTTGCATCTACATTCAATTGAATTTCATTTTTATTTCTTTTTGTCGTTTTTGTTGTTATTGTTGATAAAGGACTTGTTTTGAATGAACAATGAATGAATCCGCAGATCGAGACCATATGGTTCAAGTTCAAGAATAGATGTATTCTTTTTCTTTTTTTTCTAGTTTTTTTCACAATTGTATGATATATACAATGAAACTGAAAAAAAAGAAAAGAAAAGAAATTCATTGAGAAAATTTCAATGGTTCAACATAAAAATGGTTGGTTCCGGATTTAGAGTTGTTTTTTTTTGTATTCTATAAACCAATGGGTGGCCATCATCTCACCATCATACAATTTTTGGAAAAAAAAATAATGGACTTATTTTTCTCATGATAATGTAATGGTTCAGAAAAAAAAATATTCATGTTAAATTGCGGAAGAAACAAATGTGAAAAATATGAAACATTCTCCATCATCATCAATATCAAGAATTTTGATGTTGTTGTTATTGTTTGTTCCAATTCGAACAAGTTTGTAGTCAATCGGAACTTGGAAATTATGATTTGATTTGGATTATGATTCCACTCATAATGATGATGATGATGATGATGAACAAAAAAAATTTTTTTAAAAAATTTTCATTTAAAAATTCCATTGTTAAAAAATGCCATTGTTAAATCGATTCTGCTTTTTGAATCTTTTGGTATCGATCGATCAATCATCTATGATCAATGACATTTTCTTTCATTTTCCTATTGTCCATCGGGAATAAAGTTTCGTTCTTGGTTTATCGATGTGAAATTCTTGTTCGCATAGAATAAAAAAAAACTCGACATTGGTAAACGAAGAAGAATGAATTTCTTCAAAGAATCTGTGAAACAAAAAAAGATGAAATATCGTTACATCTTATAATATCATTATTATTATTTGTTTTTTTTCGATGATGATAACATAATCATTTGCATACATATCATCTCATTAACAAGCAACTTTCGTGTTTCGTTGATCAAAAAAAAAACAACAAAAAAACAAATGAATGATGACTGAATGTTAATTCAAATCGGAAATGAATGATAAAATAGACGCACCGGAAGAAAAATGCAGTTTGTTCATCAGTGAAATCGAATGATTACGGAAATGATATCAGTACCAAACACACTCTTCCCCATCTCTTGATATCCATCATGGCCAAATTTCTGTTTCATCAAACATTCTATTGTGTTTCTTCATACACATATGACATGACATTATAAGGAAATGTTTGTCCATATATTACGTCATTGTTTTTGCCACCTCTATATCCTTCCATTGTATCCCCCAAAAAAATATCAGAATCTCAATTGATCCAATTGATTCTATAAAATGAATAAATGAAAAAAAAATTCGATTAAATTCTACGAAATTCAATGGAAAAAAAAAAAAAGTAATTTTCAATGCCAAAAGAAACATATACATAAATTGAATTATTATTATAAACAAAAAATTCAAATTCGAGTTCGAACGATTATCGAATGAAAACAAACAATTTTCTTTTTTTTTCTTCGTTGTTGTCGCCGATGATGATGATGATGCCATTCAATTCAATCATTCGAAACATATTCATCACATTCATTTAGTCTTTTTGGCCAATTGGAATATTCATACTTTTTTCCATGGAATCTATCTTATTTTTTGTTATAGTTATTATTTTCATTCTAAATCCTATGGATCGTTTGGAGATTTTCAAATCGTGTGTGTGTGTGTGTGTGTTTGCGTATTGTTGTTTGTGGAACGATGAATCACACACGTAACACACACACACACACACACATAATACCTCTATTCCCAAAATAGTTAAAAAAAATTTTTCTTTTCCATTCGTACTTGGATGATCAAATCATCAATGTATTGAATTGAATTTGTGGTGAAAAGATTTTTTCCATTTTTGTTCAATTTAATTATTGTCGAAAACGATTCAGAGAATTTGTATTGAGAAAGAAATTGATTTTGGTCCATGTTTTCATGAGATTTAATAGAAATGATGATGATGTCCATTCAGGATTCATTTCGATGAAACAATAATCATAATCATTGATTGAACATTTTTGTTTTTTTCGTTCAATTTTGATTAATACCTATATGATTTCATCATTTCTGTCGTCATGATTGACATGATTCATTTGTTGTTGTTGTTGTTGTTGTTGTTGAATCTCCACCATTATTTTCCCCTGTAATGATGACCATATGTTTGGATTAAATTTTGAATTGAAATCTATATACTTTTTCTTGTTATTATTTTTATTGTTGAAAATGAAGAAGCATCCATTGAAAACCAATAATTTCTTTAGTATTAGGATGGTCAATTTTTCAAGCATCATTCAACATTTGAAAAAAAAGAATTGAAAAAAAAACCAAATCTTTTTTTTTTTTTTCTTCATCACCAAGATTCATTGATGTTTGATGATGATGAATATTTGAGAAGTAACCAAAAAAAAAAAAAATCCTGAAATGCTGATTTTTCCCATTATATCTCCCCTTTAGTACCAAAGAAAAAAATGTCATCAATATCAAAAAAAAAAAAAAATGATCCGGGCAATCATCATTCAGAACAAAAACTCTGCATGACTCGTTCTTTTCCACATATAATCCATTTGTCCCATGTCTAAATCCTTTTATTCCTAAAAATGATGATGATGATGAAAAAAAACGAACAAAATTTACATCATTAATTCAATAATACCAAACCAAACAAACAAACAAACAACAACAACAAAAAATGAATAAATAAGTAGTAAAAATGAAAAATAAATGTGACGTATATATCATTCTTGTTACTATTATTCATTAATTTCATTGTTCCACTTTTGAAAAAAAAACATGAATAAATGAAATGGATGGATGTGTGTGGTCAGAATTCCTAGAATGAATGAATGGATACATACATACATACAATCATATATCATTATCATAAGAAAAAAAAATTAGATATCATAAAAAACACATTTACCATTCATTCATAAAAAAAAATCAATGATGAAAAAAAGAGACTTGCCGTTTCTTTATAATGAACATCTATGATCATCATCATCATCATGATGATGATGATGATTCATATCTAAGTGGCTATATACCAATAAAATATACCAAAGTCTTATGATTTGAAAAAAAGATGATGATGATGATGATGATTCTTTTTCAACGTTCGTGATGAAGATGTTGATGATGATAATGGAAATGATAAACAAATATAAATGACCGAATTGAAATGAAAAATACATATCATTTATATATAAAAAAAAATGTTTTCTATGATGATGATTCTCAATTTTAAAGAATTTATTTTCTTTTATTTTAAAATTTTAAGTTTGGTCAATGTTTTCAGAGAGAAAAAAAAACTTAACATAAAAAAAACTACAAGAAAAAAAAAGCAAGAAGAAAAGACAAAGAAAAAAACACTCACGTGTTTTCTCTCTTTTATAATATTTTCTTTTTCATAAATGAAGTTACATTTTTTGTAACATTCTCCGCGCCTATAAAGAAAAATAAATAAATAAATAAGATAAGATTAAGCAGAATTATATTTTTTTTTTGAAATCTATGATGATGATGATAAATGGTATATATTCTAATGGTAATGGCAATGATGGCGTCATATTTTTTGGCATCAAGTGGCTTGGCATTTAATTTTAGTTATTATTGATATGAAAATCTCATCCGGAATAGACGACCATTTGTTGGTTGAATTTTTTTTTATTTTTCATTTTTTAACTGATGTTGATTATTGTTATTGTTTACTGTACTGGAATGAATTTTCATTTTTCTTGTTTTTTTTTATTTTGGATTCGTATTTTTCATTTTTATCATCTGAAATAAAATAAAACCCACCAAGTTTTCATAACCAGTCATCTAAGATGCCCAAAAAACTTGTCACATCAACAATCTGGTCAATGGACCGAGAATGTTTTGTTGTTGTTGTTGTCGTTGCTGCTGCTAAGTTTCATTTCAATTTCTGGTTCGCCTATATTCTTCTTTTTGATATCCACCATCATCAACCTACACTACATATACAACCATCATCATATTTTTTTTCACAAACCAAATTTGGCTAATAATGATCATAGTAATGGAAAAAAGTTGAAAATTCGAAAGTGGAGGTTGAAGGTTCTAGTCGTCTTTTCGAATTTTTGATTTGTACAGAAAGAAGGAAGGATAGTATTTCATTGTTTCAACCATATGATGATATTGGTATAAATTTTAATTTTCTAAATTGATCCTTGATATTCCATATGTTGTTGATGGTTATGTAGATAAACGTCAAAATTTTTGATATTTTTGTACTTAAAGGACTAAATCAAGTAGACATATAAATAAATGAACAAATACAAAGAGGGAAATAAAGAGAGAGAGAGAGAGAGAGTGAAACAAATAAATGTACATGAAGACATAAAAATTACGAAAAAAAAACAAACCAGGATTTAAATCGAAATTTGTTGACATTTCAAATATAATTAACGTACCATGCACATGGATGAAAATGATGGGGAAAAGGCGAATCGATAATTGTTATTCATCCATCGATGATGATCAGTATCGAAATCGAATGATAAATTGAAGAATAGAATCAGAAGGATAAATGAAAATTCTTTTACCTATATGTGTAATCATAAAATAGAAAAAAAAACAGGAAAGCTAAAAATATCCCAAACACGGATTATGTTTCATCCATTTTCCATCAAAATTTGGTAGTTGTTTTTTTCATCAATATCATTAGATTGGTAGTTTTGTTGTTGTTGTTGTTGTTGTTGTTTCTGTTTTTTCTTTCCTGTATTGAAATCATTTCCAAATAAAAATTCTTTATTCATTGTACGAATGTTTTGGAAAAAATTGGATCATTTGTAGATTCTTTTCTTTGTTGTTATTATTATTATTATTTTCATTTCATCATCATCATCATCATTATTATTTGTCAAGATTTGCACCGTAAGTTGTAGAAAAACTTTTCATTTTCGTTTAAAGGTGACAATTTGCTTTGTTAATATTGTTCAATATATTAGTTCGAAGAATTCTACAGTATTCATCATTATTGAATGTCATTAATTTCAAATTATTTTCAACAATAATTTCTATTAATTATACTTTGGCAATGATTTTTGCATTACAGGTCAGAAATTCTTTACGTATAGAAAAAACGCTGTATTTGTCGAATATACACTACACACACACACACACACACACACAAAAATCCATTGAATTCTGATTGGAGATATATGGAAAGAAAAATTGTTAATTGGAAATTCCTAAAACGATTAATTCGAGAATTGAAAACAGAAAAATTGTGTAAACAACATCAGCAGGACATTCGATTCTATTTCAACACATGTAGTTTACGGTAGAAAAAAAAAGAAAATATGAATCATTATTATTATTAATTATCGACCAAACAGACTTTCGGCCAAACTAATTTCAGTCAATACAGAATCCGTGGTTAAAATCATCATCTTTCATTTTTTCTGTGTGTGTGTGTCATCGGAAATGGATATTTTCTTCCCTCACCACCACCACTGAGATTGATGTGAATTGGCCACGCACAACGAAAACTGACTGAATAATATACAAAACAAAATGACAAACACAATGACAACAACAACAACAACAACAGCAATTTTTTCCCTGATTTCAAGACAAAAGCATTGGGACGAAACTGAACGTGATCTAATTTTTATAATTAAGATTTTTAATTAAGAAAAATTATCCAAATTAACTAAAGCGCACCACTATGTATGGCTATTCTATAATATAAATTGAGCTCAAACAAACAAACAAACAACAAACCAACAACAACAACAACATTGGATGGGCAATTTTCAATATTTTTTTCATCTAAATATTCTTATTTCTTACCATGTAGGTGTTGTTGTTGATGTAAAATGATGAAACGAAGAAAGTAAGTAAAAAAACAAACATTGTTAACTTTGAATATTGTTGATTTCTTTTCTGTTTTTCTTTATTTTATTTTTTATTTTTTTTTTGTTGAAGAAATAGAATCTGTTTACATCATACACACAATAGAATAAAAATAAAACTACGCCTATTCGGCCAAAAGACATACACTTTATAATAACTGTGATATTTTTGGGTTTGGCGTGCCTGTATGAATCATCATTGTGATTATTATTGTTGTTGTTGAATTACGAATACATTCTTGCGTGCATGATTGCTGAAGTCAAGTTTCAAAACAGTGATGCTACTTCGTCTGTGTGTGTGTGTGTGTTTGGTTGTATGTCTTCGATGGGCGTGATTACACATTCCGATGGTAGTCGAATTCCGTGATTACATATCGGATGATGATGGTGATAGGATCATCTCAAATATAAATACCGTTTCGTTTTGTTGGATAACTATCATTTTATTGGATCTCGATTCTTTGATAACACATTTCATTGATTCTCTTTCATTCTTATTCTCAATTGTTTATTGGCTGTCAACCACGGTGTTTGATCGTCCCAATTTTTGTTCTTAATCAACAAACAAACAAGTTTGATTCATTTTTTTTGATTCTGAATCACTATCAATTATCATTCAATCATTTTGTGTTTTTCAATCCGAAATTGCAATATATTTTTACTTCCGGCTGTGATTTTCCGGATTCATTCATTTCAAGTATTCAGAAATTTTCTTCGTTGAAACAAAACAAAAAAAACGATGGAATCCTATCAACAACATCGTCAATCAAATAAATTTATTTTTTTAATCATAACAATTATCGTAACGATTATCGTAAACACATATGGTACCGTATCAGCAGCAGCTATTCAATCAAATGATAATAATGATATTCAATTCGATAAACGACAGCCAATACCGATGCCAAGGTAAATATTATTTTTAAATGATTATCATCTAAAATGATAAAAAAAAATTAATCAATCTTATGAATTTTTTCTTAAGAATCGGACGATCATCATCATCATTATCGAATGGACAGGATAAAAGACAAAGTTTAATACCGGCACCAAGAATTGGACGACGTGATGAAAAATTATCCGGTAATGGTGGCCGTACAACAACAATCGATTGCTCGAATAATCCAGAATTATGTATGTATATATATTGATTGTGTATGTTGATTTAACTAAAAAATTATTTTTCTTCAGGTGAAAACTATGAATCATTCGGATCAATAGTCGGTAATAGCGGCGGTGGTGGTGGTGGTGGCAATATTAATGAACAGGAAAATCTAATCGAACCATTAGATATACAATTACGTGCAGCATTTATACCACGTCTGGGAAAACGTTCAACATCATCAATGTCAACATTACATTCAAAATCACCGCAATCAAGAATAATTAATGAAAATGATTTATTTGATTTATATCGTACCGGTATAATTGATAATGGAAAAATGTTTGGTTATTTACCTCGTCATACACAACAACAATCACAATTACAGTCAACAACATCAAATATCGATAATAATGATGATGATAATAACGGAAATGATGATACAATGTTGATTAATGATTATTATGATGTTAACAATGATCAACAACATTATAGGACGATTCCGGCGGTTATGCGTGATTTATTCGAACAACCACAACGACAGCAGTCATTATCAACATTACTTAATCGATATTATTGGAATAGCAATAAACGTACAGCCATTCCATATACACCGCGTATTGGTCGTGCTGTATTTGCACCGAGAATTGGTAAAAAATCAGCATTCGTACCGAGAATTGGATAAACTATTATTAATCATGGAGGAACAAATTAAACGAGAAAAGATCTCTCATTTTTGATTAAAATAAAAACAAAAATGGTCCATTCGACCATTCAACAACACAACACACAAATCAATGCCCCGCTAATCGTTGGTCATCATCATAATCATCATCAATAATAACATGAAGTCAATGTTTTACCAAGACCTTCATTTTCAAATGACCGTTGTTCACCTCCTGCTCCTCATTATCATCATTATCATCCTGCTTCCGGATTGTTTTTTCGTTTGATTTTATTTATTTATTTATTTATTTTTTTTTTTTTTGGTAAAATTCATTGAGAAAGAATGTTGTTTGGTGAAAAGTTTTCAATTTCAATTATCAATTTTCTGCTACTGTTAAATTATTATTATTATTATTAATTAATAATTATTATTATTGAATTGATTTGGATGAAGGAATGAGAAAAAACGAAAAGATAAATTTTGAAAAAAATTTTCACACATCGTCATTTATGAATGTCATATATCGTATTGTTTTATGATCGATTCCAGAATCGTCTGTATATCATATTAAAAATAGACCAAGAATTGGATCGATAAATTATATCACGAAATTTTCTCCACATTCGAAAATGTGTTTTTAATTCACTATGCAATTGCCGTAGATTGGCACATAATTTATCAATCATTAAATCCATCGAATTGAAAAATTGGTCGGCGGCTTCGGTTTTAAGGTTTTTATCGCCATCATTATTATCGACGTTCGACTGTTTCAAATCAAATTCTACAGTTGTTTCAGTTGTTGTGATATCATCAGATGATTGAACATGGTTATGATCATCATCCGAATCATCTCCATTATGATCAAAGCGATGAGTCAAAAAGAATCCATCTGAACCAATGGAAAATATCGTTAAATTCATCAACAGAATCAATGGACATATTGTTTTGAAATTCATTCTCAACGAGATGATGATGATGATGATGATAACAATGATTGTTTGATAATGATTCAAAGAAAAAAACCTAACCAAATCACTCGGTGGTAATCCAATTTTGTTTTGTTTATCCCCAAAATGACAACAACAATCAATGAAATTAAATCGAATATAATTCATATTATAGGCCATCATCATCAAATATCAATTCGAATAATTGATCCGAATCAAACATTTATGTCAAAAAAAACGACATAAAAAAAATTGAAATTTGATTTTTTTTTCTCGAAAATTTCAAAGTTCAAAATATTGATTTTTTGATTGACATTTTTTTTAAATCACCAATCTTACCATTTTAACCTTAACCGTCTTTGTGGATTATTTTCAATTCGAATCATATTGTTACAAAATGGCAACAACAAAAAAAAATATATAACCGAAAAACTGTCAAACCGTTATACGAATTTTCCGAATTTATCCCGAATATTTACTTTTCATACAATAATATATCCTCAATTGACTGGCATATAATATGATGATAATCGAAAAATCAGTAACAAATCAAAAAGAAACAAATGCCAAACAACCAACAATTGATGATGATGATGATGATAGAATCGAATGTGAAAAAGAAAGTGAGAGAGAAAAAAAATGATGATGATGACATTTTAAAACTTGTCATACACAATTGGCAAATGAAAATACATTTCGTAACTTGTCATAAAGAAAAAAAAATGAAATTTCGGTTTTTCTTTGAGAAATTGTGAACAAATTACCCAAGTATTGTGTGTGCATGTGTTTGTGTGATTGACCGGAGTTTCATTTTTTTTTCTCTATATTTGCTGGAAACAAATAATATAATCGAATGAATAACGGTAAAAAAAACTTGTTTTTTTCGCACAGAAAAAGAAAACGCAATGAGTTTCAATCGAATTTTTTAATCAATGAAAAATTTATATTTTTAGCGTAAATAAAGGGATGTACATCATCATCATCATCATCATCACCACCACCAGCACCACAGCAACGACAACAATAACAATATCAAATGGTCCAGTGCGTATTTGGAAAATGGTCCTAAATGAAATGATGATGATGATGATGATGATGATGGATTTCGTAATTTTTTTTCGCAGGTTTTTCAAAGTTTTTCTTTTTATGATTTTTTTTCCAAATTTTCTCTATACAATAAAAAAAATGTTTTCTTTTTTACTTTACTTTCTATTTCCTGTGAATTGTGTGTGTGTGTGTGACACGGCCCCTTTTTTCCTTTGTCACAAGTTGTTGTCGTTGTCAATATAGCCAAATATTCGTATGATGATGATGATTCGAACATTACATAATCATTCGAATCGATTCGATGTTTGGAAAAAACAAGAAAAAAAAACCAATATTATTTATGCCTTCCCTCAGCAAATGATGATGATGACCATCATTTTGATTTTGTTGTTGATCGACCATTTTTCATCAAATTTGATTTGATTTCTTTTTTTTGTGTGTTTCTGTGTTTGTGCGTGTGTGTAAATACGACAATGGCCATCGATAATGATAATGATAATAATAATGGTGGTGGTGAACTATGTGAATTACAATCATCATCATCACCATCATTGATGGCAAATTATGAACGAAAAATTGTCTGGCGTAATGTAATTGCATTGACCACATTACATATAATAGCCATTTATTATTTCTGTACAAATTCCATGAATCCATCTATACAATGGTATCATCTATTCATACCTGATATATTTGGCCGTTTAAGTGGTCTAGGTATTTTAGCCGGTGCACATCGTCTTTGGGCACATCGTTCATATCGTGCACGTTTACCATTACGTATTGTATTAATGTTATTACAGACAATGGCATTACAGAATGATATATATGATTGGTGTCGTGATCATCGTGTTCATCATAAATATTCGGATACGGATGCTGATCCATATAATGTTCGTCGTGGATTCTTTTTCTCACATATGGGATGGCTTTTAGTACGAAAACATCCCGAAGTTGTACGTAAAGGTATACTTTTGATTTATTTGTTTGTTCTAATAAAACTAATATAAATTCGTATAAATGCATCAACTTTTTCACATCAGGTAAAACAATCGATCTAACCGATTTATGGGCAGATCCGGTTGTACGTTTTCAACGTCGTTTCTATATACCATTGGTCATTCTGGTATGGGGAATTTTACCCACTTATATTGGACATCTTTTAACCGGATTACCATGGTGGGAATGTTTTTTTGGTGCCGTCATTTTTCGTTATGTTTATTCTCTACATTGTACATGGACAGTTAATTCATTGGCACATATGTATGGTTATCGTACGTTTGATCGTTCATATGAACCACGTGAAAATCGTCTAGTTACATATCTTAGTTTAGGTGAAGGTTATCATAATTATCATCATGTTTTTCCTTGGGATTATTCTGCATCCGAATTAGGATGGACAAAATGTTTTAATATTGCAACATTATTTATCGATTTATGTGCATGGTTAGGCCTTGCTGATCAACGAAAAAAAGCCGATCAAAAATTGATTAATGATCGTCTTAAACGTACAGGAAATCTTGATGAATATCAACGACAAACGAATCGAAATTTTCATCAGATTTTCATAGATTATCTAATTGGTTTCATTATATCTGAACATCTTTTATGGATAACATTTGCATTACGTTATTGGTCAAATGGAACAATTTAAATTTTAAAATTTAAAATTTTTTTATTATTATTATTGAAACAATTAAAATGATTTATCATTCATCGTTATCTGCTTTGGGCGATTTATTCGTTGTAGTCATGGCTTGATCAATCACTACTTAATGAATCTTGTGAATCACTGAAATGAATAACTTCTTCGTTATCATCTTCTTGCCTTTGATATCGATGTTGATGTCTTGATGAAAATTCATCATAATTATAATCATCGTAGTCATATTCGATTCGATTTTCATCATTTGATGGTGGTTGTTTATCACCACATTTACATTTCGATACTAAATGTTTTATTTCAGAAATATCTTTTGTCATTTGTTGAATTGATCGTTTTGTTTTTGGACATAGATAACAAGCAGAACGGCCATATGCATTATCTGCTCTAGGTGGTGGCATTAATTTTTGTTGTTTCATCGCTTCAATTATTGTGATCATCATGATAATCATCATCATATTGATGGTTACGACCATATTGATTAGTTTAGTCATTTTTTATTTTCATTCAACCTTGATTATGATTATTAAAAATACAGACAGATATGATAAATAGATTGAATTTAATTTTGTTTAGAATGTTTAACCATTTTTATATCAATTTTTTTTTTTTTTTTTTTTGATATTCATCTCAATCAAAATGTCATTTTCATCATGTATGCCAAAAGATCATTATAATATATGGATGACATTTATTATTGATGATTTAAAAGATTTTTTTTTTGTTTAATAAATGAAATGAAAAATAAGAAATAAATTTATCGTATTGAATATTTAAACCAACGATGATCAAGAACTTGGCGTGCTGTTGGACGAAATGCCAATCTTGGTTCAAGCATTTCATCGATTAAATCACGACATTCTTCTGTTAAATAGATACGTTTATTAAAACGATATTGACGATTACGTTGTTGCCAAACAAGATTATTTTCACCATTACGGTTGTTATTAATTTTATATGATGACCAACGAAATGGACGATGATAGTTAAGCATTTCGAATAGACAAACACCCATTGAATAGATATCGGAACGGAATGGATCATATGTACACCATGGTAATGTATCGATATTTGATTGTAGTTCTTGATTTAGGATTTCTGGTGCCATATATTCAGTTGAACCACATTGAGTTGATAATAAAATTTCGATACGTTTCGTACGATCATCAATACTTTTATTGGCAGATGTACAGCAATAATTTCCTAACATATGATTGTTAGCAATACCTGTATGATGTTGATGCGACGATGATGATGATGATGATGATGAGAAAGGATCTGAATGGATTGACAGCGAAATAGCTAAACCAAAATCAGTCAATAGGGCAACATATTTTTCATCGAGAAGAAAATTTTCCAATTTTAAGTCACGATGTGCAACACGATGTTCTTCATGTATATATTGTATGGCTGACATTAGCTGTCGTGTCCAACGTTTTGCATACGTTTCTGGTAATGGTTTCTGATAGAATTGATATAGATAATGAGCGATTGTTTTGTTTGCGGCAAATTTCATCATAATATAATAATCACGATTATCATCACCGATAATTATTTCGTATAATTGTATAATGTTTGGATGTCGAATCTGACGTAATATACGAATTTCTTCTTCAATAAAATTCTGCTGCATCTGAAGTCGCCATTGACCATCCGAATCAGTGGGTCTTATATCTTCAGCACGACCAATTCTAACATGTTTACAAGCAACACCACCACGTGATACAAATAAACGGCTTGCCTCATACAACGTGCTGAATGAACCACGTCCAACAACACGATGTAAAAGATAACCATGCATAAGAACTTCGAACGGTGTAATGACAACACCACCTACAGGTTCTGGTGGTGCTGTTGGTTTTTCATACAAACGTCGACGATTCTGCGGCGTATTTGGACGTATTTGATTCACATAGTACATTATTGAATTATGTATTAGATTCGATGTCAAATCACTTTGAAATGGTGATGTTGGTCTTCGATTATTTGTTAAAATATCCAAATTAGTATCGTTTGTATTTTGATTTGGATGATGATATTGATATGGATAATGTTTAGACATTGAAATTGATTTTGGATTTTGATGATTTTTTAACGAATTTGTTGAATCAAATTGTTTATTAATCCATGAACTATTCGTATAGTATGATTTGAATGGTAATGGTGGTAATTCATCATAATGAAGTTGATAATGATGAGGAATTTTATTCTTCACCATAATCGATAATGAAGATTTGGGCCTGATACGAAAATCGGTGGTTTCGAAAACAGAAATTTTATTTGTAATATTCATTTGTTTCGATGGTGGTGATGTCGTCTGTTGTGATAATTTATCGACATTTGATTTGGCTTTATATCGATTGTTTCGTTTTTGAACCATTTCATTATCGTAATCGCTTATCGAGCAATTTTAATCTGTAATTTTTTTCTTCGATTTTATTTCACCACAAAAAAAAAATAAAATTAATTAGATTTTTTTTCAAAAAATTTAATTTAAACTAAAATTTTTTTTCAATATAATTCATATTAAACAATGAAAGTTTAAAAAATCATGATCAATCTCCTTAACATTTGTATACACAAGCTGATAGCTGTATTCATATTGGACATTTGTTTTTCAATAGGAACATTTTTTTCCAATATATTCAAAGCTTTGGCTGTTTAATCGATTTTGATGAAATGAATTTTTCTTTCCAATATTATCAGAAATTTTTTTTTTGTTTACATTCATTCTGAATTTTAAATCGAATTTGAATGGTAAGTATATTGATCATTTTACATACTTGACTGCCCATATATAAAATATTATCACATTGTTGTAGTTTATATTCTTTTTCGAATAATTTTCGATACTGTGACGCATCGTTACAATTAACATTAACATTATTAACAAAACATTCGTAGCCTGATGAATGTAAATATTCATGTATTGTATGTTGAATTTTTAGACATTCACCATTCACTGAATTATCGGTACATTTTTTCATACGAAAAATGGCGGATAAACTTAAGAATTTTTCCAATAATTGTTCACATGATGATTTAAAATTGGACAATTTTTTGTCAATTTGTGATAATTTTTGTGCCATCAAATTACAATCAAATTTCAATCGAATTATGTGTTTAATGTACGAATAACAATTAGAATGTTCATGAAGTAACATTTTTTTCCTCTTTCTTAGACGATCATAATCGGCATCAATATTCACTTTACCATCCTGATGTTCTAATGTTTTAATAAGAATCAGTCGCCGTAACATTTCACGATCATTCGGTGACAACAACAATGTTGATATCGGTGTTGCTTTCATTGTTATAGTTGCCGGTGATAATGATGATTCTTGCGTCGATTCGATTATGATCGAAGTTGAATCAAATGTTGGAACAGTTAATTTGATTTCCAAAGAATTGTCATCATATTGGCCATATGTTACGCTGTTTATCATCATCGTAATCAACATGGATAATCGAATCAAATCCATATTCATAATCGAAATAGTCATTTATCAATTGATTGATTGGAATTGCATCGAGAAAAAAACAAAACTAAAGATCACATTATCATAATTTGTTTCGAAAATGTTGTAGCATTAAACATAAATTTCAATCAGTATTAATGTCAAATTGTAAAATAAAAAATGTGAGAATCAGAATCAAATCAAATAACATTAAACGATTCATTTATAATGATCGGTTTAATATCTAAACACTGACCTTTTCCATTTCGAAAATAATGATTTAAAAATCATTACTTTTTCAATCGGTATCCGATAGATGGCAATGACGTTCATAAACATTTTGAATTCAAAGAATTTATGTTTGATCGAAAGAGTTGAGAAAATGAAAATTATTTTAAAAATAGGAATTTTTTTCATTTTTCATTTAGATCGATACAGATAGAATGTGTGTTTTCTCTGAATTACGTCCAAAAAAAATGTTCTTATGTCGTAGGCGGCAAATTTTTTCTTTCCATTTACTTGGATTGACATTGTTAGAAACGGATTCATATTCACGCCTACAACCATCAATGTCTAAGTTTAGTTGACATACATCTGTATTCTATTTTTAAATTATTTTCAGAGATGAATAATTTATGGTGATTATAACTGAAAACAAATCTTCTTCGAAGTCTGTTCAACGATTCTGTGTTTTGTTTGTAAGAAAAATTCAAGATATTCTTTGTTTTTTTTTTTGAAGATTTAAAGATTTGTCTTTTTCACACTAGTGTGTATTCAATTCTTGTTTCATCCACTGCTATTATTGTTGTTGTTTCAGAATCATGTCGGAACCATTGGAAATGAGTCAAGCTCGTAATGTTTACACCCGTGAACGTGAACATTTTCGACGAGAATTATTGAATACATTACGCCAATATGAATCGCGGCCAATATCGTTTGAAATTAAACAACATCTACGAATGCGTGCCATGGATTTGAAACCCGAATGTCTGGAACGTTATCGTCGTGATACGGAAAAGATTGCCTGTAATCAATTGCCCATCATTGGTAATTCATTAAGAATCCGTTCAATGTGTAGCAGTGAATTGCCGCATACAAGCCGTAATCGTTCATCAACATTTCGAACTGCTCGTATGATACGAGATGATGAAGATGATGATGATGGTATTCTTGATTTCCGATCATCATATACATCATCATTGCGGCAAGCATTACCACGAAATAAATTAACTTATGAAAGTACCCGTCGTGCAACAACAAATTCACATGTATTATCATTCGAACGTCAACTAATCGATGAAATGGATAAAATGATCGATTCAATTGACCATCTTCGAGAGAATAATCGCCAAGAATGGCTACGACCATTGAAAACGGATCGTCAACGACAATATTTTAATTCATTATATGATGATGTTGGTTATTCATTGCCATTATATAATCGTTCAGATTTATTAATGGCCACAACAAATGATAATCAATCATGGCGTTGGCAATTTGAACATGATAAAGATGATGACCATAAAACAGAAGTCGAAAGATTTTATGATAAATATTTATCCACATCAAAATATTTGAATAATAATAATAAACTTGCTGATGCTGATGATAATTATAAATCGGCAAGAATAACAACAACGTCATTGGCGACAAATAATGCTACTAACAGCATTAATAATGCTGATGATGATGATCGTTTTAAAACATTTCAAAAATCTTCATCATCAGTAACAATGAGAACAACGAAGCAAACCATTCTTGATGATTTCTTACAAGAATGATTGAAGGAAGGAAGGCATAAAATGAAAATGGAAAAAACATTGGCATCGGTTTCGAGAAATCGTCATCAAATATTTTTCAACAACGAAACAAAAAATTCTTGTTTACTATATATACTATATACAGTCAAATTGTTGATGTGATTCGAATGAAAATATGTGAAAAGCGTCGTTTAATGTAGTAAAATCAATGACGACACCGCTAATGTTGTTTAAATTTTAGACAAATGATTTTTTTTTTTTTTTGAATGTAAAATAACACATTATCGTCAACTAGAGAAGAAAACATTCACTTGATGGAATGGCACCATCCATTTCGAATGATTCCGTTCATTTCATTGATGGCATTCATCCATTTATCATCATCATTTCACCTCACAGCACACATAATATTCTAACCAAATTAACATCATCATCATCATCATCATCATCATCAACAGTTTTTTGCCATCAACTTTATTTTTGTTGATTTCATCGTATTTTTCTTAATTTGGAATTCAAAAATGAAATAGTTAATTGAATATCATCATCATTATATCGTATTTCATTATTTGATTGTGTACTTTTTTAAGACATCATGGCTTCATCATCTGGTTCAATGATTCCCGGTCGTTCAGCATTGAAAAAACGTCCTGCCGATCCAAAAGCTGGCCGATATGAACGTAGTCGTGCACGGGATGCTTATAAACGACAACTAAACATATTTAAAGCTAAATTTGAAGCCAGTCTTCGTGAATATGATCGTCTAGATTTTGATGCTAAACAAGAGATTAGAATTCGTGCTAAACGTCAACGAGAAGTTTGTCTCAATGATTATCGCCAAGGATTACAAGGACTGGCTCGATCATCGTTCCGACGTACATATAAAGATGTATTTCTTGGCGAACGAGAAACGGCAATGGAATCATATGATCCAAATGTATTGGAATATGAACTTCGTCTTACATCGGAAATGGACACTATTATCGATAATATTCGATTATTAAGTGCAGACAAATCAAATCTATCGAAAATGGATTGGTTTTCAAATTTAGCTAGAGCGAAATTTTCTTATGAATATGAACTACAAAATGAGATCGATCCAGAAGCGTTACGTGTACCAGAAGAAGAACCAACGACATCATGTGTCGATGAAAATAGTGAATATGTATCACAACCAGATTATGATGCCATTATTGCATCAGAAATAGATCCCGAAGTAGCATCCACTGTTGGTAGTTCAGGCTATGTATATCGACCATTTAAACATCGTAATCGTCATAATCTATATAGTGCCAATGTTGATGAACCTGATCAGCCGGAATATCGTTATGATTGGCAACGATTATATGATTCAAAACCGGGACGTAGAACCATACCAGATTATGATACCGAATCTGTAACCGATCGTTATGATTATGAACCATTTCAGCCGTTCTGTGATGAACCTATGGGACTTCGTCGTAATCGTTATCCGGATGTATCATTGGATCCGGAATGGCAATCACAAAGTTCCGTATATGCATATCATCGTCCACAACAACCTACACCTCGTTTTACACCCAATCGTTTTGACACGAATATTGATTCAATTTGTCCAACATATGGCTATGGAGATGATGATGACAGGGAAACAATTACTAGCCGAAGTAATGGCATGATTGCAGGTATCGATTATGAATACAAACCAATAATACCATCATATCTACGCAATGGCAATCGATCAAAAGCGACTGGATCATCGAGATTTAATTATGACCAACAATTTAATTATGATGATGACAATGATGAACCATCAACTACATCATCATGGCAACCGGAACAAAATAATCGTTTGTTATCATCACAACGAAACCGACAATCCTTATCAATGGAACCACAATTCTCACCCACATCATCAGTATCATCATCCGCTCAGCCTTCTCGATCACATGTCCGTTTTGATGATGATGATAATCAACCAATCAAATATGATGATGATCAATAGATTGATCAATTTAACATTTCTTAACTAACTAACCCGTTAAAAATAGTCTGATGAGGGACGAATAATTTTGTTTTTTTTGTATACTAACTATCATTTCCTTTTGCAATCGAATAAATCGATTGGAACATTTACGAAATTTATTTATTTATTTGAATCCAATCATATTAATTCAAAATTGAAAATAAAATCCAAGAAACGTTTGCAAATAATAATATTTTTTAAACAACAAACTAAATGTTGGGAAAAAATGTCGAAAAAAATAGATGAAATTTTACAAATTTAAAAAAAAGTACAAACAAAAAATTGTGAGTTTTTTCTCGTTCTAAAGAAATGCACAATTTAAGATATCGATATTGATCGACAAAATATGATAACACAGAAAAAGGTATAATGATGATGTCTGTATCAAGTTTTTTTTGTTGATGAATGAGAAAATGATGTGACGATAATATGAAATTCTATTTGATGATGATAATTGAGGTCAGTGAAAAAAAATATCTTATGAATATTGAATGAATGAGAACGACAAACACAAGATTAAAACAAATAATAATGAATATGACTTAGAATGAACATTGTGTGGCCTCATTTTATTTTATCCAGATTGTGACGGTGATGATGGTGGTGGTTGCTGATCCAATGATACGGATGATAGCTTTTTTGATGATGGTGACTGTAATAACGATGTAGATTCTTTGAAACATTCGAACCAACTGCAAGAATTTTTTGAAATATAATTCCAATGTCGATTTATATCGTCAACATGTTTGAATGATTTGTCAGTTTTCAAAGTAAAAATAAACATACGTCGATATTTGTGAAATATAAATCCCATGATGATTGATGATCATGTAAACAAAAGAAAAAAAATTCAATTACAAGTCAATCATTAACAAATAACAGATCAATTACCGTTGAAACTGTTCTTTCTGTTCGACAAAGAAATAAATGGTTGGCTGACAACGATGTGACAATTTGATGATCAATTCCGCTGGATGACCTTTAATTGATTCATTAGAAACGGATACATCATAACTTAGTAATGGCAATGTTTCCAATGCACGAACATCTTCGGATGCTTTGAATGTATATAGTACCATATTTTTAATGACAAACCAATACCGTTTCCAGCCTTTTTTCTGTGCATAACGATGTAGCCATCCAGCAATCAATGCATTCGAATCGTTTGCCTGTACTTCAACCAATACGGATGATACATTTTTATTTTTCAACAAACGTGAACTTAGTCGAATATTATTATTCCGTAATAATAATTGTTGTTGAAGATGATTATTACCACCAGCCAACAATGATGACGATTGATGAGACAAAGTAATAGCCGGAGGTGTATCCGGGGGTATTTTTACTTGATTATTTCGCAATTCATGACATGAATTTGATCGATTTTTACGGGTTAAATTTTTAAGTATTCCATTACCATTATTACCACCACTACCTATTCCGGATGATGAAATAGTAGAACTAGTACTTTTGATTGAATTTTGTGGCGAAATCGATACAGATATCTGTGGTGTTGATTCGATATTAGCATAATCATGATAATCCGAATTGGAGTCAATATGTTGATTGTTGAGAAAACTAACACGTAGTGGTGATGATAATAATGGATTTTGCATTGATTTAAGCTCATCATGACAATAATCACAGACACGGTCAGGTTTATAATCTAAATATTTAAGAGGAAACTGATGCGAACTACAATTAGCACAGAATATATGTCCACAAGCTCGACAATGATGACGACGATTCAAAAGGGTAAATGGAGCCGTACATTGATGGCACATTGTAACATGATTATCATGTAACCAAACAGGAGCTAAATCCCCAAGGCGAAGAGCCGAAGACATTTCTGATGTAGCAATATTTGCCGATGCACTTGGTATTGGATAATCATAATCGGATTCGCTGGCAGATAAGATTGATATTCGATCATTATTGGCCCTAGACAAAGTTGATTGTGGTGATGACGTAACCGATAATAATTGATTCATCGGTTCCATCGAATGAGGTGAATGAGGATGGCCGCTAGACATTTCGGACATTGAATTTCGATTTTTAAATGATAATTGTTTTTCCGTATGATCGGCAATGGCTTTTCGTAGATCACGAACCCATTCTTCACGTTCTTTTTCATCGCTACATCGTTATCCGAAAACAATTATCATTTTAAAATAAGTAAACAAAAATATAAGATAGAAATTCATAATTAACACTTACGGAGCAAATAAAGCGAATGATCGTTTCACTGAACGAACAATGAATTCTCGTGGATAATTTTGTGTCATTTCTACCTGCATACCAAGCAGCGGTAGTTCTTCTTTTAATTTATACATTCCATTCATAACGGGTGTCAGGTAGAATAAAACGTCGTTAAACTATATAACAACATTATTGTTATTAAACACAAATTGTATAATAAATACAGAAAATAACAGGTCTTACCAGTATGAAATAACGAACATGCACTTCTTTACGGCTTACTTTATCCAGCTGACCACGACGAATCAACACACGACCAGGTATGATAATTTTTGTCGGTTTAGTCAATATAATTCGATTTCGAAGTTCATTTAATGTTAATGATTGTTCCTGCATTTTCGATTCACGATCCACATGTTCAACCACTTCACTGACAATACGCATAGCTTCTTGTGTTCCTTCAAATTCATCACGATCTTTTTCAGGATCCAATAATTTGGCATATTGTTTCAACATAAGTAAATATTGCGGCAACCGTTGAATCGGTTTCAAGAGGTAGGATTTTATTGTCAATTTTCGGCATCGATCATTATTCTCAAATGACCTTAATACAGATTCAAAATCAACAAACCGTACAATTGCATCGTCCAACATGAAATTTATTCGATCAAATTCACGTATATAAATGGAATATTCTTTAAAATATGGACATATTTGAATTATGATATCTATGAAAAGAATTTATTTAAACAAGAATTATGGTTAAAATCCATCAATAAATTTATAGAAAACCAACCTGACAATTTAGTATTATCATCCCAATCGACCAAAATTCTTCGCTTCAATTCTTCAAGTAATTTTTTATTGATGGGTGTAACACCATCTAATGGTCGAAAAAATGTGGACAACCATTTGGGTGTTACATATGGTTGAATTTCTTTCCGAAATTCTTCCGTCAACATGATCAATACATCAACATAATCCCGTTCGGTTGTATAAAGCTCATGTGCACAATAATAACGTTTATCTGGTTTACCACCTTTTGGTGTCGATTTTGGTAATGAACTAAGATTCTCACGTAACGATGGATTTGATAAGATTTGTCCACCGGCACCAATCAAAGGTGTAGATGCATCAACACAAGGTCTAGTTATCTCATTTGGTGGTTCAGCAAGGCTATATTTCTTTTTCTTTGATCCATTAGATTTCTTTTTTCTCTCATCCGAAATTTTTTTATCAGATAATGAATCACAAGATGGCTGTGAAGATGGTGTTGGTGGTGCCTGTTGCGTGGCAAGAATCGTTAATGTATTTGATTCATGGCCATCACCATCAACATCATTAATATAAATAGATTGATTGATTGGAATCGAAAGACTTTTATTCGATTCAGAAGAATAGGAAAATGTTGTCGATTCTGTTGATGATGTAGATTCGGTCGATTCTGTACTGATAAAGCTCTATATGGAGAAAAAATTTGTTATGAATGAACCAGGAAAATAAAATCCAAAAAGAAAAAAACGAGGACAGAGGAAAAATAAATCACTACTCAATATTAATCCATTCCAGGAAAAAAAATGGAGAAAAAAAATCCATAATCAGAAATATTAAAAATGAATAAAATCAATTATGGATTTTTATTGCATTAAAATTAAATCCTATTAATCATACAAGAGATTAAACGATATGTGTGTACATGTGAAATATGTTCAATTTTGATAATTTCAATTGAAACCGGAAACAAAACAAAACAAAACAAAACAAAAAAAAACGTCAATCAGAGAGCTGATTTCAATAGAATTTCACACAAAAGCTATTTCATCCAAATGATAATAATAATAAAAATTTTTGGTTTCCTAGCTAACAACATTTTTCTTTTGATTACTGTACTAAAGTGGCCATTAGCCATCTATTTATTTGTTTGAATTATTATCATTTTTTCTGAATTATTCATTCATGGTATACTAATTTACAAATTGATTTCTGATTTATATACTCGCGTGACAAAACAAATACACACACACACACACACACACACACACACACGATGTATGTTGCATTTTGTGATGTGACATGTGTTTGTGATTGGACAAACAAATAGGATTTGAAAATTTTAATGAAAATCATATTTTCATAATTATAAATATATCGTTTTTTCATTTCTGTATTTTATATGGTTGTATTATTGCTTGTAGAATTTTATATAATCAAATTATAAAAGAAATAAACAGAATAAGATAAAAGAATATATATGGGAACAAGACAATAAAAGACAGATAGATAGATGGGTAAACAATGAGAAAAAATCAACAGGAAACAAAAACAGAACAAAATACAAGATAATAAAAACCAAAAAAGTTAAAGTAATGATTCCTATAAAAAAAATCAACAAAGAAATCAAGAAAAGGTTGGTGGAAAAAAAAAGAAACAAACAGAAAATTTTAGAGAAAAATATAATAAAAATCAAGAACAGAACAGAAGGAAAAAAATATAGTGGAAATAATGGTATACAGAAAGAAAAAAAAATATTTAAATTATAATCGGAAAACATACCTGACGATTTTTATTATCTTTACTTAGATCATCGTTGATGGTGACCGACGTTGTAGAATGGTCACCACCAACAGTGATTAAAACTTCATCCGTTCCATCTGCACCGATTGCAATTGTTGTTGCCGTTGCCGCTACTGCTGTTTCATCACCATCATTTGGATCACCATCAGCACTATTAATTATCATTCTGTTTACCATTTGTAAACCATCAAATTGTTTTTGAAATTGATCATAATCATTAAGAATTTGGTTTCCATCATCATCATTATCAATGTCGAAATGCTGTTGTTGTTGTTGTTGATCATGATTCGAATGCATTGATGAACGTTGTGATGAATATTGTTGCTGAAAATCAGCTGATGATGATAATTGCTGTTGTTGGTTGTTGTTGTCCAAAGCTGACTGGTATTCATTCATTGTCGTCGTCGTAGTAGATGTAGCAGTATTGTCAATGTTGGATATATTTTTTGATAATATTTGTTGTTGTCTCGATGTTGTTGTTGCTGTGGTAGTTGTTTGTGGCATAATTACTATTGATGAGTTATTATTATTATTATAACCATGTAAAAATGAATCGTTTTTTATGGGCGTTGTTTGTTGTTGAATTAGATATCCGATTGAATCATCAGCCGTTGATAAGTGATCCATTACAGATTGGTATTGTGATGATGATAATGATGATATATCATCATTAATTGTATCATCATCATCGGATACATTACCATCAGACCAATGTTGTTGTTGTTGTTGTATCGGTTTAATAATTGATGATGATGGTTTTTGATCATGATGAGAATTTGTATTCGATTGATGTGTCCGTGCATCAGTATACACTGATGCTATTGTTATATTATTATTATTATCCGAATTTATTGATCCATTTGGAACATGACCATTATATTCTTTTGTATAAAATCTATGACTTGTATTCTCCACAAGGGTTATATCATCATCATTTGATATATCTAATGATTGTGATTTTCGTTCATAATCATTAAAAGTTTTATTGTTTGTACGATGTAAGAATCCACCATTTTTATTTGCGTTTGTCAATATTTTTGTTTGTTGTTGCTGTTGTTGACAAAATTTTTCAAATCCATTTTCCGATGTATCACATGCAACATCACGTGTTGGTGGCCGATTACGTTGACGAGCTTCATATACATAATGTGACGGTATTAATTTAGGTCTTGGTGGAACTGGAGGTGGTGGTAATGAACGCGCTGTTAACGATGATGATGGTAATTGATGTTGTTGTTGTTGTTGTAATTTATGATCACTAATACTATCAATAGTATTTGCCAATGGTGTAATGTCGCCAAATGTATCTGCAAGAAAAGCATCAATATTATTGTTATAATAATAATAATTATCATTATTTATATCAGATTGTTGTTGATTGCTATAGAATGAAGAACAAATAGATTGATTAGTAGATGAAGGGCTAGTTGCCCGATTCATCATCATTATTGTGGACGAAGAAGGTCCTGGTGGCCTTGGTGGTGGTATAGGTCTTTTACTACTACTATTATTACTACTAGTTGCTTGTTGTTGTTTAATGGGATTTTTTGGTAATCGATGACGCCATGAATCCAATGATGTTGTGGAATGAAGCCATTTAAACATTCGTTCTTGTACGGTTTCTGGTTGTACTATTCGATGAGTTGGTTCATCAATTCGATAATTATGATTTGCTATAGTCGTTGCTGATCTTTGCAGTGTCGTTGATCGTGATGGTACGATTGTATCATTTGAATCTCGTGTTGGTAGTGTTTCATCCATTTCAGGTGATTGTAATCTCTGTTTATCTACGGCTAACGATTCGGCAAATGATCGACAACGTTTAACTTTCCATGTATATGGACTCCATTGTAGATCAGGTTGCGAAGATTTCAATGTTTCCGGTGGACTTTGTAGATAAGGACTATAGAAATCTTTGCCTTCCAAGAGATATGGTGGTGGATCAGTTTCATATTGATCCATAATAAAAGGATGATCCGATGAGGCCAAATAAGTTTGGACACCACCACCACCACTTCTAGCTGAAAACACAGAATTAGCACGGGAATTATCAAAAACTGGACTTGTCGGACAAATCGGTGGTTTTGATCGCAATGTTCGTGATCGTCGTAATGGGGGTATTGGATAACCCAAACTATCTATTGTTGTTGGTTTATAACGTCCATATAATTGTCCAGTTGATTGTGATCGTTCTAATGCTTTTTGTTGTTGCATTGTAGCCATTGCGTAAAATGGTTGTGATTTTTGTAACAGTTCAACATAGGATTTTTTTGGCCGATAATTAAGGCGAACATTTTTATAAAATTGATCCGGTGGACAACGTTGACGACGTGGAAAACGTTTCCGTTTACCCGAACTACTATCACCAGGTTTAGAATGTGTCCAAAGACTTGATGTTGAAGTTCCAAGAGAAATTTCCTCATCACATGGTACCATCGATTGACAACTGGTTGTTAAATATCGATTTGGCGGTGGTGGTCGTGGTGGTTTTGGTCTTGTAACCGATAACGATGGTAATGATTGCATATAATCAGGTTGTCGTTGTCCGGCAGATTCATCCGTATTCAAACGTCGACGTGGTGGTCTTCGTGGTTCATTACGACTCACTGGTGCCATATATGCTTCAAGTCGTTCTTGTGCATCGGCTAATTCTTGATAGACTTTTGCTGAACGTCGTAATGAATCAACACCAGTACCGGGTGATAATTCAGAATCAGATGCAAAATGTAAATCATCAAATGATTGATGATTATATGATGATGGTGGTGGTGGTCGTTGAGGTCGTAGATCAGTTTTTCGCATCGAACGTAATGGTGATTTCGTTGCCCTGATTGATGCCCGAGTACGTTCACCAATTTGTTGTGTTTGTTGTTTCAATCGATCGGCAAATTGTCCCAATGATTTTTGTGCACGATTACGGATCTGATCGAAACGTTCGCGATTTTTCTGTGAAAATGTAGGCCGTTCTGTTTCATCATGGTGATCTGTCCATTCGTTAAATTGTTGTCCAATTGGTTTATGTGTGAATTCAAATTTGGGAAATTTTCGTGCAAATTTTTTTGAACGTTTTTCCGCGTTTTCATCTTCTACATGATGATAATCATCATCATCAACAGTTTTATCCACTTGATAACCAGATTCGGTTAGAAGATTATCCAGTGCTTTAATAATGTTCGATGGATCTTCATAAATAATAGGAATTTCTTCTTGTTGCGTTTTCGATGTGGATGCATCTGTTGTTAATTTCGATGTAGTCAGTTGATCTAAATCTGTTTCCTGTACTTGAGATGCAATGAATTCCGATTTCAATGTTGTATCAATTATTTTTGGATCAGTTGTTTTTGGTTTTGCACTTTGTATCAGATCTTTCATTTTTGTACGGAAAGAATGTCGAAATGAACCAGCCATATTTTTGATTTTATCCACTTTTTCACGCATTGCTTCATTCATGGCGACCATCTGTTGGCGAGTTCGGCTTAATTCTGGTGATCCAACATCCGAATCGAATGCTGTATTATATGGTACATGTATCTCCGTTTTGGGCGTATTATCATCCATATTATCATCAGATTTGATTTGCATTGTCAATAATGATGGCAATACAGTCATTTCAGGTTGTTGTGATGGTGACTCTCGATGATTTTCAATACCAGGTCTTGGTAGGATAAATTCCGGTTCCATCATAGCGATATCTGGTACATCCGGTTTAGAGAACAAAAATTCAGATTGACGTTCGACAGATTTATCAAGATTTGTTTGCTTTTGTTCAAGATTATCAACTGTAGTGGTTTTCAATTTATGATTTTCAGGTATACGGACAATAATTTCTGGTGGTTGATATGCCGGCATACGATCAGTCATTTGTTGCGGTATTTTCATATCAAACACGGGTGAATCAGGCAATTTTGCTAAAGTGATTTCCAATGGCTTGGCTGTTGGTGGTGGTGTCGGTGGCTTCATTTGTACTTCCGATGAAGTTATCGACTGGGGATGAAAATCTTGATCGGGATATCTATGAAATGGACTATAACCCGTTGATGATGGTGTTTCATCAAATTCTTCATAAGGTGCATCTAATGGTACACCTACAGGAATTTCAATTGCCATTGAATTACCACCATATAATGCAGAAGATCGTTGATTAAGTTGAGGTGATCCTTGAACACCTTCATATAGATGACTACCTAATGTTGAACTTCGTGATTCCGGTATATCGGGTAATCGTGGTAGCTGTCGTATAGAATGTCGCTGTTCATCTTGTCCATATCGATTTTGTCGTTTAAATGGACGTCGTTTTAATAGTGAAATTTTTGAATTCTGTTTATCTGTGTTAGAATCTGATGTCGTTGGTGTTGGAATTTGGCCATTATTTTTTTTCAGTGAACCATCTTTTTTCTTATTCGTACGAAGTGATCGTGGTATTCGCATGCCTTTCATTGATGAACGAATTCGAGCTGTTGTCGCTGGCAAATTAATTTTCGGTTTTCTAAATGATAATCGAGATTTTTTCTTAAGTTTATCATCATCATCATCATCATTGGATAATTGTAGAATTTGTGGTTCTTCCATTTGTTGTTGTGTGGCAATAATTTCATCATTATTCTCGGCTGAAGTAGTTGTATCTGGCAATACTTCATCGATAGTTATTTGTGGTACATTAGCTTCAGCGAGTTGATTGGATGAATCAACATCCGAATTACGTTTTGAATCGTCCATTTGAATTGTCGGTTCGCTTTCAATAACGATCGAATTATCATTTAAATTACGTTTAAATTTTCGAAAAAAATTCGGTCTTGTCACGTGAATATCTTTCAATTTGGCCATTGGTGATGCATAACCGGGTATTTTTCGTTTTTTCTGTCCAAGTATTGGACTTCGTTTTGTTGTTTTTTTATTACTATTCAAACTATTCTTTTTACTTTTTGTTTCTGATGATGATTGTAACGGACTTGATTCTGGCACAGCATTTTCATTTACATAGATAGGTGGTATTTGACTTTCTTCACGAAGTTGTCGTATGGCATCATCAAGAATGTCCATCATTGTTTTCTCGGCTACATCATCTACGGTAATGGCAGGTGGTTGTTGCTTTGTTAGCTGAAATTTTTCGTTTGATTTTGAATCAGTCTGCTGAATTCTAGGCAATGTATCAATAGCATCGGCTAAATTAGTCACTTCCTGTACGATTATCTCAGGTGGTCGCGCATAAACTAATTTTATTGGTGATTGTCGTGTTACATTCGACAGTACAGCTTCATTTGGTTCAATAGGTGTTGCCGATATTATATTAGCGCCTTGTTCAAACCAAAGTTGACCCGATGGTCCTAGTTTCATGACTGGATGTTGTGTTTGTTGTAAATGTTTACCACCCATAGAGGTAGGTGGTAACGATGTGGCTCGAACATTTTTCACTCGCTCTCTTTCACGTGATTCAGATCGAGCTTTGCGAGATTTTTTTCGGTCTTTATTTTTATCTTTAGTTTTAAATAGCCGATCAAACAATGATGGACCTTTTCGTTTTGTTGATTCTGTCATTTCAGATGAATTCTCTTCAGGTTGATCATCCGACAACGATGAACGGATCAATTGAGTCGGTTCATATGTTGAATCCATTTGAATGATCGGTGCTGCTGTTTTTTCACCACTCAATACGGGTAATTGTGTAAAATGACGTGCAGGACAAGCAGCCTGTTGTTGATTTTGAGTAGATTTTTGAATAATTTTATTCTGAAAAAATTCTTCCTCCGATAATTCGGGTATCACTTCAGAACCAGTGAATAGAAATGAATCACGATTAAATTCAATATCACGATAATCTATTGAACATTCAGTTTGTGCATCATCCAGGTAGTAAAAACCTTCGGGTCCAAGTGAATGAAAATCTTCACCAAATGAACGTGGAAAACCTCCCGAATAACGATTTTTCTGTTTATTCCTGTATAAAAAAAAATTATAGATAAATTTAAAATATAGAATTTTAGAGAATAAAAACATGAGAATCATTTACCTGTTTGGCAAATGTTTTTTAGCCGAATCTAATGCTTTATTATAGAAATTGAATGCTAATTTTGTGCAACAAGCTTGGTGTTGTGTTGAATCTAATGAATCAGATTTTTTCTTTTCACCACCACGGAATGATTCCAATGTTGGATTACGATTATGGAAATAAAATGTAGGATCAATGCTATATGCTTGTTCCTGTGGTTGTTGTTCACTGTAATTCAATCAAAAATAGAGGAGAAAATTAATCATTAACACCAGTTGCGGCATCATTGTTTTATTTTACCTAAAATCACCGGAATCAGATCGATCACAATCGGCTACCAATTTCAATGGAAGTGTCTGTGAATCAGATTGATTTCTTTTTGTTTCTTCTTCTTCTTCTTCTTCGTTATGTACTTTCGCAGTTATATCTTCAACCGGTTCGATAATGATGCCCAATGGACGATGGTGTTCAACAGGTGAATTTGATTGTTGTTCTTGTGATAGTTTTTTATCACGTAATTTAACCTCAAATTTCAAATTTTCCGATTGATTATTATTAATATTATTATCAGTAACAGAAGAAGTTGATGTTTCAAATGAAGACATTATTTTTATTGTTCACATACAAAAAATAAATTATTTGTAGCGACAACGTTTTGTTCTTTATGTTAAGACTTCCTGTTTGAGAATTTTTTTTCTTGTGTGTCTCGTGTGCACACACATACACTTGGCATTTAATCAAATTCAAATATTTAAATTTAAAGCTCACACACACACACACATCAGAGACCACCAATGATGATAATGATGATAATTAATTAGTAGAACAAAGAAAAAGAAAACAGGAAACGGAAATAGCGCGGCAAAACAAAACAATAAAGTAAAAAAAAAACAGAAACACAAAAAAAGCGAAACAGAAAAAAACTGAACAATCAAAAGAAACAGTTATAATTAAAAGAAATTGTCACCAGAAAAAAAAGAAGAAAAGAAATTTGCATTTTTCATTCACATTTACGAAAAAGAATCGATGTCAAACAACATATAAATAGATCATATATACAACATCTTACCGCCAATCGAATCCTTTTCTACATTGAATTGTTGTGATGATGATGATGATGATGATGGTATTGTTGTTGTTGTTCCAAATAAAAAACTATGTTTAGCTGCTGCAATTTTATTATTTCTTGATGCAGATGATATCTGTCGTAATGTTGGCCTATTAATATTTGTCGTCTGTTGATTATTATGATTATTATTATTATTATTTGTCAATGATAATATTAATGATGATGATGATGATGCTAATGATGAGATCGTTGGTGCTGAATAATGTCGTCGATTATTAATCAATTGTTGTTGTTGTTTTCGTATAAATTCATCTTCATCATCATTATTATTATTATTATTAATGTTGACAGTCGATATTGGTTTTGATTGTTTTTTCTTACGTAAAAATGTTGGTTTTCGTGGTAATGTTGGACGTCGTTCATTTACATCAACATTTTCATCATCATCATCATCATCATCGTTATCAGTTAGATGTTCTAATTGATGTTGCTGTTCTTGATGATGATCTTTACCAATCTTTAACTTATTGCAATGTACAATACGTACGGAATTTGATGATTGCTGTTTTGTTGTAGTTGTTGTTGACAATTTTTTATTTTCACTATTTTTATCATCATCGCCTATATTTTCATCATTCGTATTGCCAGAATTTAAGATATTCTTATCAACATCATCATGATCATTCGTTGTCTGGTTTTTTTCCTTTACTAATGCAGTGGAATCCAATGCTGTTGTGGCAATTATATTCACTTTTCTTGTTCGTTGCTCATTCGTTTTCGTTGTGATCGTCGATTCATTTGGTGCTGAAGAATTCCGCTTCACAATTTTAGTCGTCGTAGTCTTCGTTATTGTTGATGCTGTTCGATGGTTTTGATTGGTTGCCAATTTTTCGAGATTTTTTAAATTTTCATCAAATATATTCGTATTGTCTTTATAATCATCATCATCAACACCACAACCATTTCTTAGAATTTTATTATCATGATCATGATGATGTTGATTATTATAATCATAAGAAATGGAACGAAAAGGTGTAGGTGTTGTTGGTGATGGTGTCGGCGTGGCCGATGTAGAGGATGCAGTTGAAGATGATGAAGATGAATCCGATAAACTTGATGTAAAGCCTGTATGCGTTTTTTTTTTTTTTGATTTGATGAAATGAAAAAAAAATCCGGTTAGAATGTAATAAATATGAAAAAGGAAAATCTATTTTTAGTGTTTTTTTTCGCCATTATAATCATCATCATCATCATCATCATCATCACCCGCAGAATTTTTATGGAAATAAATCAATTTTTGTTTTGTTAATTTAAAGTTATTATGATGGGAAAAAAAAGAATAACTAACTTGATGATGAAGACAGAATTCGATAGAAGAATTTCTAGGCTTAAAGCCAAGCGAAAAATAAAAATAAAAATAAACGAAATGTTGGAATAGTAAATGGGTGAAATTTATTTTTATTTTTTTTTTTTTTGCCATGTAAATTCATTCATTCATTCATCTTTGATATTTATCATTCTGAATGATCATATGTTATAGAAAAAACACACACAATGAGGTTAGGTTATAACAACCATAATAACGAAATATATATATTTTAACCACTATTTCAAGAATTTTTTTTTTGCTTTTTGAAAAAAATCAGTAACGCCATCTATGAATGAATGGCAGAAGTGAAAAGAATTAATAATTTTTTTTAAATCTCATCATATCAAATGTTGTTACATAATCAATAATCATATCTACCTGTTGTTTTGCCTTTCATAATTTTAGATCATTTCATCAAAATTTTCTCACGAAAATGAAATCAAAAAAAAAAAATCCTTTCAAAACAAAAAAAAAGGACAAGAAATTAAAGACAAAAATAATAATCATTATTATGATGATCACGATACAAAATCATCATCATCAACAGATCAATAAATAATGATGATGATATTTCTGATCATAGATCCATCTACATTATACTAAATCAGAAATATAAAAAATAATTTGTTACATCACAATCCCTCTTAAGACATAGAACGTTATAACAAAAATGACATCGATTTGAAGAGAAAGAGAGAAAAAAAAAATGATGATGATGATCGATTGATCGATCAGCTTCAAACAAATCAAATCATATATCATATGTAAATTTCGTAATAAATCTTATCCCGAAAAACAAACAAACAAACACACACACGCATAACGGATCAATCATTGGATTTTCAAATAGCAAAAAAAAAAAAAATATAGAAAAAAAATCAAATGCAATCATTACACACTTGGATGATGATGATGATGATGATGATGAGCATCATCATTATATGATTCATCCATCTTGATTGTTGGACATGGACATTCAAATTACATCAAAACATCAATTGATAATGAATTCCATTCATATTGTAGAATATATATGAAACAACAACAACAAAAAAAAAGACTAACCTCTTGATGATGAAGATGAAGATGATCTTAAATTACTGTTATTATTATCAAATAGTTGTGTTAATTGCTGTATCTTATTCGATTTCAACATTAAAGGAGATGGCGTTGTTGTTGTTGTTGTTGATACATTTTTAATCAGTTTTGATCTATTACTATTATCAAATTGACATACAACTACTCCCATACATGATGTTGCTGTTGTTGTTGTTGTTGTTGTTGATGATGATGATTTCGGTGATGTTGATGATGATGATGATGACGATGATGAATTAACAACGGCGGGTGTTTGCATTGTATATTGATTTGATTCGTTTTGTTATTACTGTTGTTTTGTAACAATAGAAATTCAATAAATGACGAAATGAACTTTTTTTTTTTTAACGCCAACAACGAGGTTGAACCAATCAATCGGTTGAAAAAATAGAATCAATCAATCAATCAAAATCGATTTTTTCAAAAAAAAATTGATCTGATCTGACAAACAAGTATAACAAAATTGTTGAGAGAGAAAGAGAAATAAAAAGCATTTGAAGTCACAATAATAACAATAACGAATCAGACAACAATGTTATATTCATTTCCTTTGCCATGCTTTTGTATATGTTGACAATCATTATTTCGATTTGATTTTGGTGTTTCGGTATTTTTTATTTTTTTTTTTGGCCATTTATAAATGGATTGAATGATGTCAAATAAAAATCAAAAATAATTGGATCAATTTTGGAATGGTTTCGGACCAAAAAAAAAAAATTTGCTTTTTTTTGGTCAATGAATGGTTATTTTTTCAATGAGGAAAAAAAACGTTGGCTAATTCAAATAAATAATAAAAAAAAAGGATTCAATCAACTATAGTGTGTGTGTGTGTGTGTGTGTGTTTAGCCAAGAACATTGACATTACATCGACCTATGTGTGTGTGTGTGTGTTTGCAAATGGCATTTCTGTTATGTAATCATCATCATCGTCATCATTCATATGCACATATAACGGAAGTTCATATCAATGTTTTTTTTTACAATGATATTTAGTGATCAAAAGTAGTATATTTATTTTGTAGATCACAAGATTTTGATTGTTTGTTTGTATTATATATCTGTTATATATATTGTAGTATATAAATACCGCTGTAGACTAATTAAATTCTCGAACATCATACTATTGAAATAAATGCTAAGAAAATTCTTATGGAATAACGGTAATTATGTGTGTGTGTGTGTTGTTTGAAAACGAAATCATTAATGGATAGATGGTGAATGAATTGAAAAAAAATGGCCCTTGAAATGTGGAAATAGGATATTCACACACTTTGAATGCTAATGCAATGCAATATTTGACAATTTTATTCGATCAAATGTGTATATATATATATATATTGAATTTAATCCGTTTATATAAAAAAAAAAAGTACGTGTCACATGTAAATTCCGGTTTTTTTTCTTATTGAAATTCAATAACGTTCAAATCAATCAATCAATCAATCGATCAACCAATAAAAGTACCATTTTCAAATTGTCAGGCTATGAAAAAAGAGATAAACAAATTTTTTTTTTATTGATTTTGGTTGCTGTTGTTGTTGTTGTTGTTGTTCGTAATACGTACAACAATTTACATGTAACATAAATGTGTGGAAAAAAACAAAACGACACAAGCTATAATTTGTTGATATATATAATATATCGAATAATCAACTTTTTTTTTTTTTTTTTGAACGATCGATAATGATCTTCATATATGTAATTGAATAACTAAACACAAATGATTGATTTACTGGATTACCGGACTATCATATAAATAATATATTCATCTATATATCATTTACGTACAAATTTTTTAACTATCTTCATGAAGCATCATACAGCATAGATGTTGTCGTAAGGACAATAGAACATTCGAGAAAAGATATGAGAACTTCAAATGTATAGAGTCATTTAAGCTCATTACACCGAAAAAAAGGGAAAAAAATACAGCAATGAAAAAAAAAATATACAAATTCTTTTTAATCCGAAACCAAATTGATCCAAAAATTTTAGTCACACCCCATTATTCATTCATACATTGCAAAAACTTACCATATTAACATATTAATAGTTGATATTTGATCACAAAAATCATAAATTCATAAATAAATAACAAAACAAAAATGAAATGATTTAATTTTTGCGGAAATGATAAATTAAATGGTGGATTTCCATACAGATCACTAATTAATTAATTATGGTTGAAAATCACTTAACAAAATGATAACGATTCTTGAATGATCATTTCATGGAACACACACACACACACACACACAAAAATGCATAGAAAGCGAGTGAATGAAAGAAAATAACAGCCACTACAATACAATCATCATCAAAATAACTAAAAATCGAACCGATAAATGAACAGAATCCGTTAAATCATAATAGAAATATAATATAATATATAAAAAACCATAACATACACAGTAGCAGAAAAAAAATAACACACAGCAATGCAACAAGTGTGTGATGTTTAAATTGAAAATTTGTGTGTTGTTATTATTAAAGGAGGATATTTTCTTTTTTTTTTGATTATGATTATATGATGATGATGATTCAAACGTCGTCCGCTTATTGCTAAACTGAATCGGCTACTTTCTCTCTGTTTTATGATTACTCTCTCTCACACACACACACACACACACATATACATTCGATGTACATGTGGATGTCATCATCATCCATTGATTGTCGTCATGATCAATTGATGGTAAACGTATTTGATTTGTTGTTATATCACCATCAAATATTATTAACATCATCATCATCATCATTACCATCCATCCACATCTAAAGCATTTTTTTTTTTAACATCAATGAATTGGATTGGATATGCATATGTAATGCACAAATAGTGTGCATGTTGAGATCATCATCAATTGGATCTCTTCACAAAGAAGTAATCAAAAAAAAAAAATGGTATCTAAAAGGATCCATCATTTTACCACTACTACTACTACCACTCTTTCTCATCAAATTATTCTTTTTTTTTGAAAAGAGAAAGTTCTTTTTTGTTGTTGTTTTGTTGTTTATTGAAAAAAACTTTTTTCCATCACTGAATTTAAGGTATCCAAAAGAATGAAAAAAAAAATAAACCAGAAAGTTACAGAAAAAATACTGCCACTACCACCACCACTACAATACATACACCAGATATTGTCCATTATCCACAATCCAAAAGACCTACAATAATCAAATCAAAGATAATCAAAAAAAAACCAATCCCAATGGTATATTGAATGTAATTTTTGTTGTGTGTTATTCATCATATATAACATTTTCGACAATCGGGCGCCATAATATTGTGAGAATGATAATTGCAACACACTCGGATATGACGCCCATTAGAAACAAACACTCGATTCTTGGATTGCAATACCGATGTTGTTGTTGTTGTTGTTGTTATCGTCAACACAAGACCTAAATTTTGTTTATAAAATCTTTTTTGTTGTTATATTGATTATATGATCACTATTGGTGACAATAATTGGCTCATTGCTCTAAATATATTGTTTTTATGAAGAGAAATAAAGAGTAGGAAAACAGTAGGAAAAAAAATTAGTTCGGTTAGAGATCGCGATTGATTAACAACGATAATAAATTGTTATAAAATAATAAGGAATTGAGTATAATCAAAACACACTATACGATGTCATTTGATGCAATGAAAAGAATTAATGATGACCCCAAAATCAAGTAAATAGAGAAAATGAAAAAAAAATTATGAAATTATAATGATGATGAAAATAACATCATCAAATAATAAGCAAGCAAAAAAATAAAATAGAAGAGAAAATATTTTTCCCAAGAAGAACGGATGAGAGATAATCGATATCATAGGATAGAGGACCATACCCGCTAAATTTTGGCTACTTTTTTTGTGTGTGTGTGTGTGTAGAGTGTGTGATATTGCTCACTTTATACGAAATTTAATTTCACAAAAAAAATGGGAAAAAATAACTCACCCGATTAACTGATGATGATGAAGAAAACGAAATAATTTTTTCTCATTAGATCGAATAGCTGAATTTTCTTAAAAATAAAACAAGCCTTAATCATTAATTCAATTTTTTTTCCGATGAAATATCCAATGACGATGATGATAGTATAAGATAATCTCAGAATGTTGTGTTGAATCTAAATTTGTGTCGATCATATACAAATGTGAACACTAAGTATCGAGGATAAATCTTGTTGGATTTTTTTTTTTTTTTTGGTTAGTTGAATGAGTGAAGAACAAATCTCTTATCACTGCTAATTATAGATGAATTTTCATCAAAAAAAAAACAACAACAACAAAATCTAATTTCAAAATTGTACACATAAACCAAAAAAAAAAAACGGATATTTTGCCATACATTTGACACTTTAATTTTGTCCAAGATGTTTTAACATGTGATTGATGTATGCATGTCCGGAACGGTAACATTTAAAAATCGATCTGTTGATTTATATTTGTCATTTGAAATTGTTTTTGAAATGGATAAATGTTGTCGATGATAACACGATGACGATGATGACATAAATTACCCTTGATATGATTAGATTTTATGTGTGTGGGAAATACATAGAAGACACACTTTTTATGATGATGGTAAAGGTGATGATCAACAAATTTCTTTTCCGTGATAATCGTAATTGAAATTTTTCTTTTTGTTGCAGGGTGTGTGTGTGTGTTTTTGAGATTTAAAATTTTCTCATCATTTATGGCATATTATGATTAACAATAATAATCGATTGATTTAAATCGATGATAAACAAATGATTTTTAATGGAAAAAAAATTGATGAAAATCTACTGAAAAAATTGCACACAAAGATATGTATTATTCGAAAATAAAAAAAAAAGAAATACCGCAATCTTATTTATAAATGTTGTTTGCTTGAAAAATCATATCCGATTTGGACCTTCGAACAATGATGAACATGATGGTGATGATAACGAAGATAATTAAGATTAAGATAATCACACTATTATAAAAAAAACATTGATCAACTGAAAAATCCAAAGATAGATTTCATCATTGAGATTTTGTCATATCCATACAAATCAATCTATCCATCAACAGATCGTGATCATCATCATAGTGTTTGGCCAACTTTAATCAATGAATTCTTTTGGAAATCGAAAGCAAAAATCACTGCTGTGAAAAAACGGCTTGATTCGATCATATTTTTTTTCATTTTCATCAATCGATTCACTAAAGTTTTACATATATGTACTATAGTAATACTAAATAGTACCTGACCAAAAATAATTTTGTTTATTTATTATTATTAGGTTATAGATGATTATTGCCGTTCGATGTTGGAATTTTTTTTTGTTTATCATCATCATCATTAATTATAACACATCAAAAAAAATTCTTGCTTCAAAGCACGTTCTAATCACATCATAATGTTGATGGTATGTTTTTGCACCTACCACATACGCACAAACACTTTATTCATTTCAAAATTCAGATTTTATCGATTCGATTGGTTGATTTTTTAATCAAAGAAAATTTCAATAAAATCAACTAGAAAAACACACATAAATAAACAATGTCAAACGATTTTATTATTTTTTTTTTTTCATTTTTTTTTTTTTGGTCGATTGTCGTAAATTGAAAGAAAATCAAATCAACAAAAAATTGCTGATCCAGAAACAACAAAAAAACAACATGGATACTCAAAATAGGACAGATGGTCATGGATTTGTTAGAAATAGTTAATATACTAAAAGCGAAAAACCAAAACCAACATCTGTCTTTTCAACATGTTTCGAATTTACCAAAAAAAAAAGAAAAACAAAAATACATACATAGGACATGGAACATTTCATTTTTTTAATTCAATGAAAAATTTTTTATAAATAAAATTTCCAATAAAATTACAAATGTATTTGTGCAAAATATGAAATTTTTTTTTTTTGGTTAAAATTATCAAATTACAAAATCTATTTGGGATGCATGTTTTTATGTGTGTGTGTGTGCGTTTGTGAATGTGAATAGGGTTTGTCTATTATATGTCGAATACAAAAACATAATGTTTATAATTTATTAAATAAATGATGATCGATGAATTATTATTTCATATATGATTGATCAGATTTATCAGGCAATTGATTGTAACTGTAAAATATATCTATATAATTCACGTTCCATAATTTTCAATTCATCCATACGATATCGATAAAGTAGTATGAATTTTTCCAATGGACATTTTTGACATAGATTTTCATAATGATTAACGCATACAAGACGTAGATTACCTTTGAATATGAAAAAAAATGAAATGAAATTAAAATATTGAATTAAAAAAAAATAAAATACAAAATGAAGTGAAACTTACCATCATCATGTTTACAATTACATTTGATGGCCGATAAAAAACAGGTAGTCTTACAATAATCACATTGTCTTTCATCATCTTTGAATGTTTCAAATGAAAAATATTCCGTGTTCATAACGCCAATAGTAAAGATTTTATGTCGTAAATGCATTTCATTTTTGATCATTTCTTTTAAATCATCATATGTTGCCAATGCTAAACAGGTGTTCAAATCTTTACAACCATCGGCCATTTTACATATAAGCTCATCATGACTAAATACTGGATATCGATGAAATGCCGAATAATGTGCTATGGATAGACGACCAGTTGGTAACCAATCGGCTGTGGCAAAATTTACTGCTTCGGCAAAATTAAATCCCTGATTAAAACCAGCGTGATAAGAACGTGGAAATGTGACAACAAATTCTCCTGCTCTTTGATCGGCTCGATAAATCTATGTTATGAACAAACATAAAAAAAAATAAATTGAATCGAAACCGAAATAATATAATATTCATAATCATAATACATACAGGAACACCCAATTTCATTAAAAGATTAGGATTACAAGTAGTAACCAGATGATGTAAAAGATCCGGTTGTGAACTAAATAGATCCGGTGCCAATTGTTGCATTGCATATTCAAATATTTCAGCTTTATTACCCGGTACACCATACCAACTTTTTGGTTCACCCCAATGCAGATAATTAATTGAATATGTCCAATGATCTTCATTATGCCAACAGAATGCTGAGAAACACATTCCTACATACATCCATGGTATGATCATTCCGTTGATATTCGTATTAATATGTTCGAATACTGATCCATATAATGTTGGTAGATTATTTAGATTCCAAGGAGATTTTATATAACACTATATTATTATAATCAAACAAAAAAATGGAGATTCAGAGTTAAATTAAGTTGCAATTAAAAAAAACACGAAAAACGAACCTTTTTATCATCTGGAATGGATGCACTATTCTTAGTGGTTGGAAATCCACTACCATAATCATTTGTATAAAGATCAGCACCATATTCAACACAGACAACATTTTCAAATGGTGTCGATACGATACGCCAAAATTCTTTTTCTAAATCCGAACATCGTACATTTGTTGGTGGTGAACAACGGAAATAATTTTCCTTAAATTTATCGGCCATTTCACCAAATTCGCGTAATGTGTAAGTTTTCGGTGATTGTGTAAAACCAAATTCACTTGTGTAGGTTTTTGGTAGCCGTTCCAATATGGTTGATAAACATGAATGACAATGCCATTGTCCTTTTGGAATATCATTAAACGGTGGTATCAGACAGGTTTTATGAAATGAATTTCGACATTTATGACACGTCAATAATGAATATGATTGATAATTATCATAACAATTGAAACAGAATTTATCCACATCATCAATATCATCATAATCATCTTCTTCTGTTTCTGTTTTATTGACATCATCTACGATTGTTGTTGTCGTAGTTCCATTTTTATTGAGATCATTATTTGAAGTATTATTAGCCATCAATTTTGTCTTATCATCATTATCATTTGAATGGCCATTGTTGTTGTTGTTGTTGGTCTCCGGTTTTATATCCGGATTTTTCATCTGTTCATGCAATGATAATGGGTCATTATCATGATTATTATTATTATTTGTAATAATGGGGGAACGGATCGAATCAGAACTATTGGAATTTGATTGTTTAGGTTCTTGTTCTTGTTGTTGTTTCCATACCTCCGGATTGGTTGTTGCACCACTCAAGAATACATCATATGGAAATAAATAACGTTCATAATATGTACGTAATGATGTTGAATTATGTTTCTGATAACCGATACGTGTAGCAATTTTACCCCATTTACGATCACGTGTACATATTTCAAAACCACCTTCATCTTTAACCACTGAATGTAAACGATAAACATCCAGATATTTTTTCTCAATTGTCGGTATACGCAACGTAATGCCTTGAAGATTCCAAAATTTACATAATTTATCCGTAAAATTTAATCGGATACGTGAACCAGCTTCCAGATCATTAATACGTTGTGTACGAGGTGTAAAATGAAATTCATTACGATCAATGGCGAATGGTACTTGAAATTCCTATTTTTCAATTAAGGTGGATAAAAATTATTCGAATTGATTCATTATAATTCTATAAATTTTAATGAACAAACCTTAGGCGGAATAATTTTACATATACCAAATGGTTCTGCATTCGAACGAATCTTACTGATATAATCGATTGGACCAAGACTAAATTCTTCATATGTAGGCCGAAATATTGGACATTCTGGTGGATGTATAAAATGAAATGCACGTAATTTTTCATAATCAATTTCAGGTTGTGGAGGCTGTGGCTGTTGTTGCGATGGATTCTTCATGGTTTGATCATCATTCGAATCAGATTGTTGTTGTTGTTGTTGCTCCTGTTGATTATTAATATTGATCATTGATGATGCCATGATCTCGATAATCAATGATTAATCAATTTTCCAATCAAATCGATCAGAATTCGGATGAATTCTTAACAAAAAAAAATCTGATAATCCAAATATATAAAAACAGACAGACACACCAAAAACACACGATGGATTGAATGCCAAACACAAAACTCACATAATAAGATAATTCATAAGCGCCATCTCTTGTATATAATAAACATTGTTCAAATTCCATTCTTTTGTAAAAAAAAGATAAAGGTTATACAGCTCCACCCATTCTTTTGGATGGCAAGAAAAACAACAACAACTCAGTTGGGTTCTCCAATCATTTTTTTTTTGCTGCTGCTATTCAACATCAAAGATCATTACACAAACAGGCCAATAGATGACGCCAATAAATTCCAATGAAATTGTTCGAATTTTAAAAAACGAAAAGATTTAAACAAACTTTATTTTTTGATTTTCAAATTTTTTTAATCATGTTTGTATCAATTACATATGGTTATTATCAACGAATTATAAGAGAAAATTGAAGAATAAAAAGAAAAAAAAACAAATGATTTATAGCCATTTTATAGTGAAATGTAATATGAATTCAAAATTAGATAAAGAAAAGATCTCTACATAACATAGACTTTTTCTATTGCTTTAAAATTAAATGATTTATTCGTACGTGGACAGATAACCTTTCCATCATTTTCATCGGCCATTTTACGCAATGATTTCTCACCATAAACATAACCATTCGGTAACATTAATGGTTGATTATTTTCATTAATAGGCTCACCAGATATGAAACATACAAGACGTGATTGTGAACAATGTGCACATGGTAATGATGATGCTAATTTATTTAGACCTTCGGAACAAACGGGACATTCATTATTACGATTGCCATCTTTTCGATAACATTGTGGTGTTTTCAGCGATGAAAGGCCGGCTTGTAATGTGATGGAAAATATCGATGCATTTGTTAGCTGATATAGCTTGAAATTTTCTTGTCGAAATTGTTGAATTAATTGTTGCCAACGATTTAAATCAAATAATGATTTATATGGCTCAACATGTATGGTCGATTGAAATGCTAATAGACCCATCACTCGTAGAAGATCATTCGATATGGATATTCCGCCAAGATCTTCAAGATTTGAAAAATATTTCTGTGCATATCGAACCGCTTCTACACGTTGTTCTGAACGTATTAATTCAATGAATTCCTGTTGTCGCAAACTAAATTCTAATGTTGATTTAATCTTCCGTAATTTAGATTTATTTTCATGACACCATGCTAAACATCGTGCTGTTTCATGTCGTGCCAATGATGATTCAATATCTTTACAAACCAAAAATATATCAATATTTGTTAGATTTTCAATTTCCGAACATTCAGCCAACTGGATGCCCGTTTCATAATAGCCAGCACGTAAACAATGATCAACAAGCATACGATCCATTCGTTTACGTTTCCATTGTGCAATGACTGGATCATCCATTTCATTCGTTATTATTGATGATGATGATGATGATGATGATGATGATGATGATGATGATGATGATGATGATGATGATGATGATGATGATGATGATGACGGTGGTGCTTGAGGTGTTGATAATGGTTCTGATTGTTGATGATTATTCTGTAATTGTTGTTGTTGCAGCTGCTGCTGCTGTTGTTGTTGTTGTTTACTATTAATTAGATAATATTCTTTAAGATGGTCTAATCGTCGTTTACAAACATTTGCCACATTTATTTCATCCGTAATTGATTCAATTGATTTACGTTTCAAGACGGATAATTTATTAACCACACCGACCAGTAATTCATTAATACGTCCAATTGTAACAGGTTCATGATCATCATTACTAGCATTACCATTTTTATCAGTATCATCAATTCTATCTTTAGATTTATTAACCATTTTTTCAAGTTCAGCAATTGATGATTGTACTTGTGATGCATCACGATCAATATTTTTTTGGGCCATACGAAATTTTTTATTCAGAATTTCATATGGTACCTTTATGGTTTGATGTTCTAGTGCACGTATATCAGACATCGTTCCCGTTTCTGTGAGTACTTCGGCTATATCCACACAAAAAGTGGTTAAAAATTGCGGAATTCATGCAAAAATCGTGAGTACTACTCACAGTTTCTATTGTTCGACTACATACACTCAAATAATCCAGCAAAATTAAGTGTAAATATGATCTGACGTTAATGAACAGCACATTCGTTTGGTGGGACTATCACGGAATTCTAAATCAATTTGAAAAATGACTATGATAAGCAATTTGTGATGTATGTTAATGTTTAATGAACAAATTGTAGAATTTTTTATTGTAAACTTAAAAATTTATATTAATATATAATATCATCTTGGTAGTAGAAGTCAATGGTTAACCGAATTATCATTATGGCTGATAATAATAACGATAATAATGATGGCAATAATGGTAATCAAGATCTTAGTGATCAATTGAAATCCATAAATGATCTGTTTAGTCCGTTAAACGACCATTTGCATTGTATTTAAACCGTCAATCAAAATCATATCACCACTAATGATGGTAATAATATTGTTAATCTGGTCAAATCAAATTACGAGAATTACGTGTTATCGTAAATCGTGAAATATCATGTCAAAAATCTTAACCCATTGACTACCAAGCGGCACATATGTGTGTCACTCAAATTTTCCACAATAGACCAGCGGCTCATATATGCGCCAAAAACACATGAAAATTCGAAAAGTTGGTCTATTTTGCGACCTTTTTTCTGTCTATGGCGGTAGTCGATGGGTTAAACATTGGCTTACATCTGTAAAATCAGCTTTCAGAAGTTGTGGCTATAGTCACTTTCTAGAATCAGAATTGGATGTAAATCATTCTGACAATACAAAATTATAGCAAGAAATATTAATATTCCAATAAAATAATTCAAATTTTAAAAAACGAAAAGATTTAAACAAACTTCATTTTTTGATTTTCAAATTTTTTTAATCATGTTTGTATTACAATTACATATGGTTATTATTAATTATTAAAGAAAATTGAATAAAAAGAAAAAAAACGAATTTTGGCATCACCAATGATGGTTGATGAGAGGAAAGAGATATTTCAAGCACAAGTTATAGCCATTATAGTGAAATGTAATATGAATTCAAAATTAGATAAAGAAAAAAAGATCTCTACATAACATAGACTTTTTCTATTGCTTTAAAATTAAATGATTCATTCGTACGTGGACAGGTAACCTTTCCATCATTTTCATCGGCCATTTTACGTAATGATTTCTCACCATAAACATAACCATTCGGTAACATTAATGGTTGATTATTTTCATTCATAGGTTCACCCGTTATGAAACATACAAGACGTGATTGTGAACAATGTGCACATGGTAATGATGATGCTAATTTATTTAGACCTTCGGAACAAACGGGACATTCATTATTACGATTGCCATCTTTTCGATAACATTGTGGTGTTTTCAGCGATGAAAGACCAGCTTGTAATGTGATGGAAAATATCGATGCATTTGTTAGCTGATATAGCTTGAAATTTTCTTGTCGAAATTGTTGAATTAATTGTTGCCAACGATTTAAATCAAATAATGATTTATATGGCTCAACATGTGTGGTCGATTGAAATGCTAATAGACCCATCACTCGTAGAAGATCATTCGATATGGATATTCCGCCAAGATCTTCAAGATTTGAAAAATATTTCTGTGCATATCGAACCGCTTCTACACGTTGTTCTGAACGTATTAATTCAATGAATTCCTGTTGTCGCAAACTAAATTCTAATGTTGATTTAATCTTCCGTAATTTAGATTTATTTTCATGACACCATGCTAAACATCGTGCTGTTTCATTTCGTGCCAATGATGATTCAATATCTTTACAAACCAAAAATATATCGATATTTGTTAAATTTTCGATATCCGAACATTCAGCCAACTGGATGGCCGTTTCATAATAGCCAGCACGTAAACAATGATCCACAAGCATACGATCCATTCGTTTGCGTTTCCATTGTGCAATGACTGGATCATCCATTTCATTCGTTATTATTGGTGCTGATGATGATGATAACAGTGGTGCATGAGGTGTTGATGATGGTTCTGATTGTTGATGATTATTCTGCAATTGTTGTTGTTGTTGTTGCTGCTGCTGATGTTGTTGTTTACTATTCATTATGTAATATTCTTTAAGATGGTCTAATCGTCGTTTACAAACATTTGCTGCATTTATTTCATCCGTAATTGATTCAATTGATTTACGTTTCAAGACAGATAATTTATTAACCACACCGACCAGTAATTCATTGATACGTCCAATTGTAACAGGTTCATGATCATCATTACTGACATTACCATTGTCATTACCATCTTTATCAGCATCAGCAATCATATCTTTAGATTGATTAACCATTTTTTCAAGTTCAGCAATCGATGATTGTACATGTGATGCTTCACGATCAATATTTTTTTGGGCCATACGAAATTTTTTATTCAGAATTTCATATGGTACCTTTATGGTTTGATGTTCTAGTGCACGTATATCGGACATCGTTCCCATTGTAGCTAAACGTGTTGGACACAATTTTAGCTGTACGTTTGAATTGGTAAATGTTTCCGTGTTGATAGCGGCGTTACCACTAATGCCACCACCGATCAATGATGATGATCCTCCGTGTGAACCTGATGAACGATTTTCGTTAAATAGATTATGTGGTAAACGTGCAAATACGCGTGAAAATGCAGCAGCTAATGATGAATTATTTGATACAGATGAATTATTATCGACCAAACGAAAAAATTCAACTACTTGTGGATGGCCACTAAATGCCATAACGAATTGAATCAATTATTAATTGAAATTTTTTTTTTTTTGTTTGTTTCGTTTGGTTTATTTTTCGTGGTACGAATAAAAAATACGTTCGTTTTCTGGTTCAGGAACCGAACGTTTTTTTTATTCGTCCAGACCGTTTTATCTTGTTTGGTCAGAGCCGATTTGAAGATCTTTGTTTTCGTCTACGTTTCGGTTTTGTTATTTGTTGATCGTCAAATCCGAAATTGATGACGATGATTTGAGGTTTTTGGGGCTTTGTTTACATCGTACTCACACAATCATCAACACACACATACGCGCATGTATCACATTATCGAATATTTTCGTTGTTGTTGTTGTTGTTGTTGCCTGTCCCTTTTTTGTTAAAGTTTATTTCTATTTCCACACGATGGCGGTACATAATTTTGTTATGTCCATTTAAATTTGATTATCACATATGGTCGATAGAGGGCAAAAAACAATTAAATATTCAAATTCGAAACTAAATGAATTGGCTATGAAAAGGTGTTCGAAATGTATTTTCCAAACGATCATCATCAATTTATCAATTTATTATATTGATTGAATGTATTTTTACATGAAGACCTAAATTACAATTCAAGGTTGTATGATAATATTCATAATAATAATTGTATATATAAATATATCATTTAAATGTTTATGATCAACATTTATTATTATTATTTCAGCATGATTGGTCAAATATGTCTACAACGACAACAAGTACCATCATTTTACATGATGATCCATGGTTCCGTATCCTACGATATATATACGGTAATTTCGGTGTACCACTGTATCCTTATCCATGGTCATCAAACAATGATAATCGTAAACATATAGTTCGATGGGTAAATTTTCTTTTAAATACCATATTGAATTTGATGGCATGTCAAACGCTTTCACCGCAGAATGTATCCAGCTATTATCATGATATAATAAAAAAATATCATCAATATGGTTTATTACCCATGTATATGTTTCTGAATATTCTTCTAATAAGACCGTCTATTTTTATTGGTTATTGGTTCGTATATTCTACACGTGTCTTTCGTATAGTCGAATTATTGATGCGTAAAGATTGTTTCATTGTACGATTATCAAATCATCGATGCTATATATGGATTTTTACTATGGTTTTGTTTCATTTAATATTTCTATTTTATTATCGTTTGGATATAGTGCTGACCATTTTTCATCAAATTGCATTCGATCCAATTCGATTGTTGATGATATATATTGTATATGATTCTTATTCTATGATAACATGGTCTTTATTTTGTTATCATCAGGTATTGAATATTCTTACATTACGATGGTATTTAATGGCTATATCGCAACAGCAACAAATCAATCATCCTAACAATTATTATCAATGTCATGCAATCATTAAATCACTAGAAAAATTCTCTCGTGTAAACATTGAAATTCGACAGCTTTTCTCTCCACTTTGGATCATTCAACTGACAATAGTTTGTTCATCACATTTCAATACCATCATTCTGTTATTTATCGAAGGTTGGCAACGTCGATGGCACAAGATTCATCGGGACATTCTTGTAACATTTATTTGGATAACGTTGGTTAATCTTAATCAACAATCATTATCGATATTCGATCAGATTAACAATCGAATTCGTCAGATGATGATTACACCACGATCAATTTATGATCATCGAAAACAACAACAAATCAAACAATTTCGACGATCACAAAAATATCTTCAGCAAAGTCGTTATGTAGAATTTGAATTGTTAAGAAATGATTTTGAAATGATCATCTATGATAATACTCTACACATCCACTCGGTTCTTTTTCTAGAACTAATTGCATTTGTCATTTACTATGTATGCATTATTCTTCTATCTTGAAACAAGGATTCGAATCTTGAAAAAATTACAACAAAAACTCATGTTTTAGCCATTAGAGAGCAGCACTATTGCTATTATTCACATACAAAATAGATAACTACGATGATGATCTTGATTTTCGACACATTGAAAATAGAAATAGAAAATTTGTTGCATTTAAACTTTAATCGATTCAATTTACATTTTGATAATAAAAATATTTGATTGATTTGATTTTTGTCCTCATCATTTTCACCCAAATCATTGAACATAATGTATCGATTATTGTTATTAATATTGCCAACAATTGTTTGGTCAGCTTATATTCGTTATTACGAACCATGTTCAACACCTGTTTGTCGTCAATCGGCTCGATTCATTATCGAATCATTAGATCGACAAGTATCACCATGTGATGATTTCTATCAATTTGCTTGTGGTGGCTGGCTACAGAAACATGATCATATTCCAGCAACAAAACCATTATATAGTGTTGCCATACAAATACAGGATCAAATGATTGAAAATATCCGTTCATTACTTGAATCGAATCAAACGGCCGAGCATTCCAGTCGCACGATACGATTGGCAAAATTCCTTTATGATCAATGTTTATCGATAGACAATGAAATGGTGATTGATCAAAGCCATCTAGTTGAATCATTGTTTGCCATTCATGATGATTATCGTCATAATGATACATGGTATAACATTTATCTATCAAATTTGGCTACCATCCATGCCATGTTTCGTATTGTTGTCGTTGCCAATCCACGAAATACAAGCGAACAGATTTTAGCCATGGATACGGCCTCATTTCCATTGGACGATATTGTTAATGTAAAGACCCGAAATCGGCCAACAATGGTTGCATATCAACATTATTTAGAAAAAATTTCTAAATTAATACCATATCTTCGTCATAAGAATGACTCGGAAATTGTTGAACTAATTGACGAAATGATTGATATTGAAATTCGATTGGGAAGCATAAAAATGACCGATCTGGATCATCAAGATCTATCAAAAATTATCAACATTATGAGCATTGCCGATTTTGAAAGACAGATGAATTTTCCATGGTTAGATCACATTTTTCGACCAACATTTCGAATGTTCGATGCTTCCAATGTTAAAATTTCTCGGAAAAATTTATTACTCATCACCGATCTGGGTTATTTCAGAAATTTTACCACTTTAATTGAAACGATTCCTGGCGATAAACTTCGTACATTTTTAGATTTTCAGTTGGCACGAATGGTGACACCATATCTTGGTGAACAATATCGTCGTTATATGTTTGAATTTTTGAAAACAAAATCCGGTATAAAACGAACTCCGAATAGATGGCGTACCTGTTATAGTCAGATTGAAAAAATCCTACCATGGGCATTATCTCGTCTATATGTTGATCATAATCATCTTGATATGAATGATCGAAAACAAGCTGGTGATCTTGTCGATTCAATTCATGAGACATTCATCGAAATGGTCAATGACGTTCCTGATCGACAATCATCATCAAACACATGGATCGATAATAATGTTCGACAATTATCATTGAAAAAGTTGAACCACATACGAAAAAATGTTGCCTTTCCACAATGGCTACTCGATGACCATCGTTTAGATCGAATACATCATCTTGATGATTATGTTGATGATTATCGATCGCTCGATGATTACATACCAACAATGATACGTTTCGAATGGAATCAGATGCAATCCAATTTGTTACAATTGAACAATGACAATAACGATCTAGAAAAAGACATTGATAGTTGGGCAATGGAACCAGCCATGATTAATGCTGCATATTCACCTATTGAAAATACAATCAGTAAGTATCTGAGTCGTCCTAGTTTAATAAGGAATTTCTTATTCGAAATAAATATCGATTGTTTTCAGCGATACCGGCAGCCATTCTAACACCACCATACTATGATTCGAAACTTCCACTCAGTATAAATTACGGTGCCATTGGTTCGGTTATCGGTCATGAATTGACACATAGTCTCGATGATGAAGGTCTCCATTTTGATCATAAAGGTAATTATCATTTGGAATCAATGGATAATGATGACCACCAATTATTGTGGTCGGCTGATATGTTGCAAAATTTTGAAAAACGTTCCGAATGTCTTGTCGAACAGTATTCAGCTATCCAAGAACCGATAACCGGATTACATGTAAGTTGAATTGATTAGCACAACAAATTTAGCACTAAATATTATTTAAATCAAATCAATTAGCTTAATGGCAATAATACATTGGGTGAAAATATAGCCGATAATGGTGGCCTACGTCAAGCATATCATGCATTTCGTGGTGAACAATATCGTCATCCACAACAAGCCAATCGAATACTAGCCGATCTATCCGATTTTAGTCCCGAACAATTATTTTTCATAGCCAATGCACAAATCTGGTGCACCAAATATCGTCCACAATCATTATGGTCTAAAATTCACCATGATCCTCATGTTCCGGCTAGATATCGTGTCAATGTTCCGGCATCAAATTTACCGGCATTTGCTCATGCATTCAATTGTCCATCGGGTACACGTATGAATCCAAATCGTAAATGTATCTTATGGTGAATCTATCAATCACTTGTAAACAGTTTTTTTTGACCCTGTTTTTTTTTTATTCCGATGGTTGTTTAATTTATTTGAATTTGAATATTTAATTGTTTTTTTTTGTGTTAAAATTAACATTTTTTGTGATTATTAAATTTTTTTGTTAGAAAACATTATCATTGCATGTTCATTTTATAATCAACGCAATCACTGTCTTATTTTTAATGATTATGATGATACACATGTAATCATCAATCAGCTGATATGATTATGATGCTAACAAAAATCATCAACGGATTGAGATCTTTACATAAACGAAATTGTGTCATACAGTTACACACACGCGGATAATGGAATCTCTGCCACACCCGTTTTATTATTATCTAATTGCATGGAATCGGGTGTCGTAATCAATCCAATCAAATCAAATTACCATCATCATCATGTGGTTTCCATTTACCAAAAAAAAAATATATGTGATTAACAATTGACATTCGCCAAAAAAAAAGTGATAAAACGTCTTTCCAATAGCCATGGTAACCCTAAATAATTGTTCTTTGTAGTTTTTTTTCTGATGAAAAAAATATTAGAAAATATTTTCGATGCAAACCAATAGTTTGATTTATCATCATTTAGATTCATTTTTCCGAATGAAAAAAAACGTCATAAAAAACGTCGTCGTCGTCGTCGTCGTAGCTTCTAGTAGAAATGTTTCTAAATAAAGAAACCTTTTGATTAGTCATCCACATAGACGATACAAAATTGCACGAAATTGTTCATCATCTATCTTGTGCATCAACAACAATTATCGCTTGGTCATTATCATTGTGATCGATCGAAAACGTTAATTGAAAATTGATCAATGAACTTATTTGCTGTGTTGTGATCATCGACAAACAATAAAGTTTTGATCTTGTGATTATGTAATCCCGTGTATTGTTAAAATTGAATTTGTGAGTGTAATTAGTACAACAAATTATTATCTTCTCATTGTAAAATGTCCAAAAAGGCAACAACAGCCGAAAGTCCATATTTTTGGATATGTCAACGTTGCCGTTATAGAAATTCTAAATTGGCTCATCAATGTTTTGGTTGTCGAAATAGTAATCCAAATAATTTGAAGTCTTCACCATCGTATCGGACTTCATCATCCACGTCAAATAATAATAACCGTCGATCCTATGTGATGACCAATAATAAAAATGATGATCAACGACGAAATGATTATTTCCATTTAAATTCGATTAATACGGATAATAAAATCCGAAAATCACCATTACCAATGCCACGGTTATCATTGCAAACAACAAAAACGACAAACACTCGGATTGTTCCGATAAAAATCATTGATGTTAACCATAAACGAAACAATCATGCAGTTATGCCTTCATCGAATCAGATGATTTCAGAGAATCGAATCCGAACAAAATCAACACCATCCGAACTATCATCATCAAAGATTACTAGAGAGACGAAATCGAAAAATAGTGAACAACAATCAAAACAAGTGATTGAAATGTTGGAATTTTTTCGTCAAAACATTCGAAATAAAATGTACGTTCGATTAAATCGAATTATTTCAAATTCATTTTCGTTTGAATTTTCCAACTAACTTTTCGATTTTTTACTTGTTTTTTTCTCTGGGTTACTCGACGTTCTTGATGTACTGGTATTGCCGTATTCACAATGATCAATGCAGAACATCGGTTAGTAACCGTTGGAGTAAAAGCTGTGAAGAATTACCGGCAACGGCTGATTTGGCGATTAAAAGATCAAAGAATGATTACAAAATATTGCTGTCTCAATGTCGAAAATCGTCATTACCATTTGTCGATTCAGAATTCCCAACGAACCGTTCATCACTATACAGGCTCCATGAAGATTCTGATCCTCGTTATGATGGTTTGATTTCCAAATGGTCACGTGTGACTGATATACAATTTGAACGACCACCAGATGACACAGATGATGATGGTGATGATGATGATGATGATGGTAAAGATGTTGGGCCAAAATCACCACCATCAGATAAAAAATCGAAAAAAAATCTTTGCATTCATGGCCCAGGATTAAAAGTAACAGATTTTCGCCAAGGTAAACTAGGTGATTGTTGGTTATTAAGTTCGCTTGCCAGTTTGGTTTATAATTATCCCGAACATCTGAATTTATTGATTCCTGATCCCAAACTACATCCACAAGAATGTGGTTATCAAATATTTCTATGTCTCGATGGAAATTGGTCATCAGTCATGATTGATGATTATTTTCCCTGTGATCAACATGGTCGACTTGTATTCACTGAAGCATTTGGTCGACAGCTATTTGCACCGATGATTGAAAAAGCATTGGCCAAACATTATTCCTGTTATAAGGCATTAATTCTTGGTCATACAATTGAAGGTTTCTCTACACTTACCGGTATGCCTATCGAACGTATCACATTCGATGTGAATACACGAAATTCACTTAATTCACAAAAAGAATTATGGAATCGTTTGATGACCACGATCAAAGAGAATCATTATCTAGTTGCTGCATCATGTTCGGTCGAGAAACAAGGTCTTCATAAATTACATGCATATTCTGTTCTTGATGTATGCACTGTTACCGGTTCATCATGTGGTGATCAACAGGCTATTCTATTAGCAAATCCATGGGGTGATCAACGATTACAGGGTGAACTGCGATATAGCCATGAAACTTTCCTACGACAATTAAAGCGTAAACCAAAACATGGATTATTTTGGATGTCATTACGAGATTTTGTCAACTGTTTTAGCCATATGGATGTTTGTAAATACAGTAAAACATGGTATACTAAACGTTATGAATTTCGGCTACCATTTCAAATAGTGGATCAACGTAATTTCACCGTTTTTGAATTGAATTGTAAACGTAAAACTAGTATTAATTTTACCATTTATCAACGTATTGATCGTGATCTAAAACTTAAATATCGTCTTTCATTATCATTGGTAATCTTTAAAATATGGCCAGATGAATCCTTACAATTGGTGACAGCAAGTCCATTACTAACGGATAAAATTGAAAATTTTGAAACACTTCTTGGCCGCGGCAAATATTTGGCCCTTGTTTTTGGTTTCAATCATTGGGGTCTTACATCTAGATGTAAGTTTAAATTTATATTTATCAATGATTTTTTATTAATTAAAATTTATAAAATAATAGTAAAAGAAGCTCCAACATTAGTGATGGCCATACATTCACCTCGACGCGTTGATATTCGACCGATTAATCCTGATATGCATCTAATGGGTGATCTACTCATTCAAACGGTCATCGGTATTGGAAAGACTAAACGAAATGAAGATGTCGATTATATTGAATATAAATTAACTGATTTTGCTGCATTCATTTGGGTGGTGGAAAATCTATCCGAAAATCAATGGCTAATGATACGTTGGAATACGGCCGAAGCACGTGACGCATTCAATCTACGTTCAGCTACCGAATCAGTTGATCTGATACCTCCAGGTTGTCGACAGATTGTCTGCGTTATGGCACGAGAAAGTGATAAACAAAGCTGCCAATATCATTGTACATTTCGTGCACAAAGATTACCACCTGAATCATCAACGACTATGTTGAATATGGAATCATTAAAGAATCACACGAACAATGACGCCGAAGAAATGTCCGTATTGTTTGCACCAAGAGTGATCCAACCAAATCTAATTGCTGAACGTAATCGTGAAAATCGATTTGATTTCACAAAAGAACCTGATGGTTCTATGTGTATAATTTCCTGAATTAGAACAACCAAAATCAACCAAATCTATAATAATCAAATAAAAAAGAATTCTTTTCAAACATTAAATTCAATTACATGATCGTGTGGTTATTTAAACAAATCAACCGTTGTTGAATCGAAATCAATTGTTTTTTTTTTTGTTGGTTTGGATTCGTTTTTTTGTTTTTTTTTGTTTTGTGATTTTGTTTTCATCGTTTTCATCGTTTTTTTTTTTTTAAATTCGAACAAATAATTTTCAAAAGATATAACAATGATGATGTGGCCATTGATTATTTGGATGTTTGGTCTGTTGATGATATTTGTTACGATTGATGCATATCAACATGTACGCTATAAACGATATGATCAAGTACCGGAACATTGTCCACGTCGTGATAAGCCAGCATATGAAGAATGTCAACAGAAATTGGTTAAAAAATGGAATCTTCCGATCAAACAAATGGTAAGTGGTAATGTTAATATTAATGATGGACGTCTCATTCGTTTCATTTATTTTTTAGAATTCAGCCACACGACGATTCTGTTGTTTTCATTGGGAAAATCTGCAATGTGAACTTCAAATAGCAAAAAAATGTGATAAATATTGGGCCGATAAATTGGACAAGGATACAATGATGGATACAATTTGTCGTAAATATCCACGTAAAGATTTTCAAAAGAATTGTGCCGGTATCGATATAGCTAAACTAGATAAAGAGGATAAATGGTTTCGTGATCAGGTGGTTCGTACTTCGGAAATACATACAGATACCGATAAAAAGCCCCCATCATCAAAATCAACATCAAAATTATCATCAGCGAAAAAATCATCATCATCAGTGTCACACTTTGCCACCGGTGGGGCTGCTATTGGATTTGCTTGTCTTGGCGCTTTTTCACATTTTTTTATGGAAAGTGAAATGAAGAAATACGTTACTATTGGGAGTGCAGGCATAGCCACCATAATGGGCGCCTTGTTTGCCAAGCTGGCTTTATTTTAATTTTTAAACACTTGTTCTCTGATTATGGTGGTGGGTAAGGGGGGCGTATCCATAATTGATTCATTAAGATTCATCGCGTCACCGTCTCATGATTTTCATGAATGAATGATGATTGAGTAAAAACTTTTTTTTTTCATTAACTAAATTTATTCAATAATCTTTTTGATGAAAAAAAAATTCGTGATAATGAGAGTGAGAGAGAAAAAAAACAAACACACACAACAACAAGAAATTTTAAAAAAAATGGAAAAGAAAAATAGTAAACGGGCGATGTGTGTTCCCCACAATGTGAATACTATTGAATGAATTAATACCGGTGTGTGTGTGTGTGTGAGATAAAATTTTGACTATTATGAAAATCGGATCGGTGAGGATCAATATTGCAGAAAAAGTTTAACTGAGATAGATAGAGAAAGAGAGAAAAAAGGTAGCTCAAAAAAAATTATCGATTAACGAATTTAAAATTTCTGAGAAAAATTTCCAATAAAAAATTTATCTAGGAATATATGAATTATGTGAAAATGATAATGTATACGACGACAACCACACACACACACACACACATACTGCATTAGAATTGAGAGAGAACAAAAAACAAAACAAAATAAAAAAAAACTTGCAAAAAAAAGTTTGGACTTAGAATCAGAAGTAATTGTTGGTTGATTGTGTGTATTGATCAAACAATCAAATTGTTTAGCAGAAAATATTGAGGAAATATGAAAAAAAAACAGGAAAGGATGTGTTGTTGTTGTTGTATTGGACAAAATTTGAGATTTGAGTCGGTTTTTTATCGATGAGCAAATTGATGATTTCGAAAAAATGATAATGATGATGATGATGATGATGAATTTATTTTGCTTCATTGTTTCATTATTATCGATGAAGACTAAGTAGATAAGTGGTCAATATAATTAAATGGCTATGATGAGGGTTTCGTTTAAGAATCTTAGATGAGAGATTAAAGCGTGGTATATCGACTAAAAAGGTTAATATCCGCCACCACCTCCTCCACCACTATAACTGCCACTATCGCCACTATAAGAATCACCACCACTGTTTCCCATATCGTATCCATTACCACTTCCGCCATAAGAATCTTGATATGGTTGCATTGTATAAACTTTTTGTTTCTTATGGACAACTCTGTATTATATATCAATAAAAATTGATAGTAGACGTTCATCATATGTTCTATTCGACAAAAGACAAAAATAAAAACTTACGGAACCGGTACCGGAAGGGGTAATGGCAAAGGAATCAGAATTTTCTTCTGTGCTTTAGCCATCAACGCCATCATGGCTAATTTTTTCAATTTTTTCATCATTTTTTTCTTTTTACCCGCTTCAACACCATTTTGTGGTAGAATTGTTGCAATTATAACGATGATAACTATGGTCATGGCGGCCAAACGTCGAGTTCTTGAATTTAATATAGTGGTCATCTTTTCTTGGTTGTTATTATTATTACTGTTATGACATTAATCACACACTTGGATAAAGCACCCGAGATTCGTAGATGAAAATGAATAATAATGGTCAGCACAAATATCAAAAATGACGAGCTAAGAATTGTGAAAAAAATCTAGACAAAGATCCAACTATCTCGGTATTTATATTGATCATCAAAACCAAACTACCTTCAGACATGAAAAAAGGAAATTGAACCATCCCTGTTTTTTTTTCTCCATTAGTTGAACCGAATTCAAAATTTCTCTTCCCATCGCCATTACCTCAAACAACCATTTTGGTCAAGATGGTGAAAACGGAACATAACTGCCAATCAAGAGAGAAACATTTTGTACAGAAAAGAAATGTCCATCAAAATGGAAGAGATCGCTAACACGAATGAAAATGAAAGCGCCCACCAGAAAAAAAATAGAAAACAAGAGAAAGGGGAAAATCCACGGTTATTATTATGACGATAATAACCGTAGATCGGGAAACAATAACAAGAACAAGAAAAGTAAGATGATAACAAACACAAATAATCACAGGCTGACCATTGATGATGACCACATTGTCTTCCTTATTATTATCATCATTGTCCTGAATATATATCCGGTTGGTTGTTTTGATTGTTTTCTTTCTTTTTTTGCTTAAATTGAATGAACCAAATGGATCAGCAATCGATTGATTTGATCAATAAATAAGTAAACATAAGTTCACCACCCACGCAGAAAAACACGTGTTTATCACTACCACCACCACCACTACCATCAACATTATATCAATCAATCATAATATTTGCTAAAACAACGGAATATCTATGACATATGAACATAATGAATTTTTTTCTTTTCATACTTATTTTCTATCCAAAAACAAAGCGGATCATCATCATGTCGACAATGATCCATGATATAATGAAATGAAAATCGGAAATTGTAAACACCTGGAATGAATTATGAAACGTAGACAAATTTACATGTCCGTATTTGTGTGTGTGTGTGTGTGAAAAATCAATTTTAGCATCGTGCCACCATCAACCATCACCACCATCATCATCATCATCATCATCATCATTCACTGGCCAATCATCATGATCATGTTGTGTGAGAGCAACAAAAGAAAAATAATAATCATTTTTGATGAATATGAAAACTTGGATGATGATTATGGTGATGAGAACACTATATAGACAGCACAATATAACACAAAAACACGGAAGACACTTATAGACATTATTGTCTGTTGGTCATATATATGAACACATTCAATGAATAGATGATGATGATGATGATGGAAAAAATTGTTGTACAAAAAAAAAAAAATAAAATAATCCTCTTCATCAACTGTGGAGGGATTTCCAACGGTTATTCTCATTTCTTTTTCTATTTTTTTTTCTTTGCTTTAAACATTTGTTGAAACTAAAATTGTAAAGTATATTTAAAAGTGGTGGTGGTGTTCCAAAAAAGTTATTGTTGGTCATTTGTTTTGTTGTTGTTGTTGTTGTTGTTCATTTATGCAAATTATCATCACACATAATGGGTCAGCTTTTTCTTTCTTTTATACTTTATTTACTTCAATCATCATTATTTGATTTGTACAAATCTTTTTTTTATTCATTTTAGAATAATGAACAAAATTAGCCTTTTTTTTGTTAATGGAGCTGTAGCTGTAACTGTAGTTATTTTTCATAGTAATTCACTCACAAAAAAAAGAGTAGAATTATCCATGACCTGAAGCTGATTTCAATCTATATAATTGTTGTTATGTTATGTCATCATTATCTTTCAAATACATTGATACCAAAAATAATTTGATATTTAATCGATTGATTAGAGAAAGAAAAAAAACAGTGTCTAAAATTAGATTCAAATACAAAAAAAAGTTGATATGATGATAATAATAATAAATAATCGATTGGTTAAAACGATTCGAATCCATTTCCAGCACATCATCATAATTTGACCATTTTTTTTTCTTGCTTCAAGATACCACTTATTTCACATTCGTACAAACACACACACACACACACACCCCTTTGTTTTTCTTACATGACATGATTATCATCATCATCGTGATCATATGTTCTGGTAGGTTCGATGGCCGAGATATCTTCAAAAAGATTTTCTATCCAAAGAAAAAAAACAGACTATAATGGCTAACATTTTCAATTTCTGGTTGTGTATTAACATCATCAAAAGTATTAAATGATATACCAAAAAAAGAAAATTTGGATCAATTATCATAAACAACATAATTAACATGCCAAAACAAAATAAATGTTCAATAGTTCCGGTTTTTGATCATAGCCTACCACCATCATTTTGATGATGATGGTTAGTGTGTTCATCATCATCATCATCTTCTCAAGCATCTTATGATTGTCCATCCATGCTAAGTATTATGAAATGATGCATACAACACCATCAATTTCCTATGTGTGTTTGTATGTTTTAGGTTTGGTTTTTTTTCCCGTTCATCACATTTAAAAATTTGTATGTATTGTATGTTATTACTTATTATGCATCATTCATACATTGTTTCTATGAATTCATTTTATTTCATTTATACATAACAAAAAATGATTTGAAAGAGAAAAAGAGAAAACACACACACACATATAGCGACCATTATAATGTTGAAGATGATGTTTCAAAGATCGAGGTGGTAAAAAAAGAAAATCTTTAAATATTTTTTTTTATCAAAAGAAATTGATGTATTTCATTCCATGAATGAATGAATAAATGGATGGTCGGTCTGACTGTCTGGTTGTGTTAACAATAATTGGACATTTCCGTGGTTGTGTGTCTGTATGTTTTGTAGGTGATGACTACATTCCATTCAATTTATCATGGAAAAACCTATGAATGGGGATGAATTGAATTGTTCAAATATATACATCCAAAAAAAAATGAAATAGTCTAGCCTAGCCATTGTCAAATTGGTCACTAAAAAAAAAATGTGTGAATTGCTTGTTTTCTATTTATAACCCAATAATTCACAACACACACATAGATTTATTGTCTACAATAATATAATGATTATAATATTGAAAAATTTGATTTAATAAGTTTTGCAAATTTTTTTGATTTGTTAGCAATGTACGATGTTTGGTTTATTCACTATTCATCATCATATTGTCATCGAATTCACCCATTTCAGGAATATTGCCGTTGTTGTTGTTGTTATTTTCACAACGACAACCACCACCATTTCTCATTCGTCTTCTTCCTTCTTTTGGCCGTCTTCTTCTTCTTCTTCTTCTTCCATCATCACCACCGCTACCACCATTACTCTCTATTTAGTGAATGTAATTATCGATAGAAAAAAAATGATTCAATGCAACACTTACCTTCATTTCCATAGTCATCATTACCATCTTGAAGATACATTGATTTTAATCGATTTTGTTCCAAAAATGGTTGATCCATTATCATGATGAATGGATCATCAATCATGGCATTATCAGCATCATTAATGGTAAACGATATGGTCGTTGTGGCCATCATCATCATCATCGTCATCATCAACATGATGTATAGCCATGTTGATTGGCCATTCATCATCATCATTGTTCGTGGAGAAAAATATTTAGATTGATTGATTGACCAACAATTTGACAATTGATTGATTGATTGAGTTTTTCTAATCAGAAGATCGTCATGTTTAAATAGGAATTTTTTTCGCTTCTGCTTATGGCAATCATTTTTTTTTGTGGATCTAGCCTTGAATGTTAATTGAATTTTTTTTTGTTTCAATTATAAATTTGCAATTATTTAGACAGCTTGAACAATCGCCTGTATCCACACATATTTTTTTTGATCATCATTTGATTCTGATTGATTTGATTGATTAGTTTGGAATTTGTTCCGGTATACTGTTCAATGGGGGTAGTGTCCCATGGTGATACCGCTGTTTCCGAAATCAATATATATAGATGTCATTCGCATAATATATGTCAAATACCAACAATACAGCATGGCCGGTATCAAAGAATCAATCGTATGGTTCACATTTATAACCGTTTATTATTATTATTATTGCATTTGTTGCTTTGTTGGTGGTGGTTTGGCTCAACAACAACAGCCTGCTGCTGATATAATGTTTCAATTTCCATCAAACAACAATAACAATCGTAACTCGAATTATCAAACACCAATACCACCGGGACAAAATCATTTCCGACAATATCCAGATAATTATTACAATATCATCAATAATATGACAGATTCGGGTAATAATAATAATCGTAATAACAATAATAATAATCGCCGTATATTATGGATATTACCATGGTTTATTCGTAGACCAATTTATTTCTTTGAACGTCGTATACGTAATTTATGGCATAGAAATTTATCACCAAATCATCAAATCATTTAACAAAACAATAATCGAACCAGACAAATGTTAGCGTAAAGGTGTGTTTGTGTGTGTGTGTGTTCGATTTTCGACCATCAGATGTCGACACTTGATGAAGTTTTTTTTTTCAAAATTTAATTTTTCAATTATAATTTTCGATGACAAATGTAAACAAATTGCTTATCATCATGCATTATATACACCTGAACACAGGTATGATGATGATGAGTAATATTAAATGATTGCAATAGAGATGCAACGGAACTGAAATCAAACTGTTTATCAAACAGCCAAAAAAAAAAAAAGTTTATCTCCGTGACAACAACAACAACAAAAAAAACTTGTCACAGGATTTTCTTCTTTTTATACTTTTCATCTTTGATTATATTATATTCTTTTTTTTCATCTGTTCTAATCAATTGAACTTGTCTGATTAATTGATGACATGTGGACATGTGGTTTTCAACACATATATATCCGATTCCGGTTTTGGTTTCGATAAAATTTTTTTCCAAATTATAATTCAATTTGTTTTGATTTTGATTTATAATACAATTATTATTTACCACCAGAATTGAAATAAAATTTAAAAAAAATTTCCATAAATTTTTTTATCATAGAAAATCATGTTCATTTTATATATTCAAATGGCAGGTATTAAAAAAAAAAAAAATTCATTTATTTCTTGTTAGTTGATTTCGAGGTTACCTTGATGATTATAATCAACATAAATCGATAGAGTTTTTCATCATCAGTCACGCCTACAACAAACAAATAGTTGTTTGTAACGATAATCGTACATTTATCATATTATCATCATCATCATCAGGTTTAGTTGCGTTGATTTCGTTGTTAGGTTTTGGCCCGATTTTTTTTATTGAAAAAAATTTTTTTTTATATATATAAATAATTCCTGGTTGTAATGTTTATATGTTGTCACCATAGGCAACCATCATATTATAATCATTGAAAAATGAAAAGGATGCTAATGGAAACCGATTAATAATCCAGTTATGTTAGTTGAGTGTGTATGTGTGTGTGTATGTAAGCCAGAAAGAAAAAACAATCGTTTAATCTAATCACGTTATCATTGGGAAAAAAACAACAACAACAACAAATATTGATTGAAATAATGATGTGTGGATATTGTAAAATCCAAATTGCATTCCATTTTTTTTAATTCATCCACTGTTTCACCATTGTAAACACACACACACACACACACAATCATAAAACCAACTCCCAAATCTAAAGTTTTTGATACGCAATTCCTAAATAATAATAATAATAATAATAAGTTTTTTTTGCATTTGTATCAATTAACCAACTTTTTTTCTTGTTTTCTCTCACTGTGTGTGTTTGTTTGTGAACAATTTTATTTTTCAAATTCATAAAATTAATACCAATACAGAATGGGGGCCACTCATCATGAAAATCTTGTTCCATTAAAAATGGGTGTATATGCAACGAATTTTATGCTTTGGGTATATTGTATTATTATTGTTGTTGTTTGATAATTTAGATTTTTTTTTTATTATTAAAATTTAAATGTAATGATAAACTTAGAGCTTAGGAATCGTATTGATGGGTATTTGCATATGGATCCGATCGGATTCAGCATTATGGGCATATGGTGATAATATGGATATTTATCGTTATTATCAAGCAACATACATATGTCTAGCAATCAGTGCATTGATTTTGGTTATGGCTTTTCTTGGCTGTCTTGGTGCTGCCCATGAATTTAAATATCTAATGTTTTTCGTAAGTAATTGAAATAAAATTCCTTTGATTTTGATTCTAATGGCCAGTTTTATTTTTTAAAAAAAAGTATTGTATAATGTCCGGTATATTGATCATATTGGAGATTGCAGCTGCCGTACTTGTATGGCGAATACCCGGTGGTGATGCATTACAATATCATCTTGGTCATGAATTCAAATGGCATATGGAACAAAGACTTTACAATACAAAATCACGACAATTTCTTGATCTTATTCAATTAAAATTAGAATGTTGTGGTGCAGAAACAATGTTGGATTATAGAAAAATGTATCAGGATATACCGGCTTCATGTAATTCACCACGTACGAATAATATTAATATTCGGGTAAGTGTTCAATCAATAATTATCAATTATCAATTATCATATTTAAATATTTAATATTTCATTTGAAAAAATACACACACACACACACACACACAGAGCTGTGCTGAAATGCTACGAAGATATCTGGAGAAACGTGGTGGTGCCGTTGGTGGTATAGTTTGTTCATTGATTCTGGTAGAATTTGGTTCATTATTATTCTCATTTCTACTACTACGACAAAGTGAAGAATATAAAAATGATATGAAACAATATGGCTATCGATAAAACCAACAACAGTACAACAACAATTTCAATCAATTTACCGGGTTTTTTTTCTCTATTTAGATTTTCAATCCTAAATCATTGTTCTCATTAATCACACATTTTTTTTTGAATCCATTTTCCCTCCATACGTACACATATATTAATTGCATCCAATTTTTTTTTAAATTCTTTTTTGATCATATAAAAAATCAATTGTGTTCAAAGAGATAATTGTTTGATTGATTAGCTTTTTTATGTCTCAATTAATCAATATTTGATTTGATAAATAATTAATACCTAAATGATGAACAATCACAAGGGTGAAAAATAAACAGAACGATTTTCGGCTTATTGGGAAAAAAAAATTTATGAAATGGATGTGGAAATAGACAATTCTCATCATCGTTTTGAATAAATTTTATTCTAGCTCAGATTTAATGAGCTGTTCAAGCTGAACAATTTTTTCTGCTGCCTTCTTAAAATCCTGAGCTTCCAAAGAGCTGTCTCATTTGCTCATATCTTTAAATCTTCAAATATTTTAATTCTTCTCCATTCTTTTCTATTTTGCATCATTCATTGTAATTCTGCGTGTGTGTGTTTGTGTTTGTGTGTGTGCGATAAGCCATGTAGATTTTTCATCAGTCTAAATGCCAGCGAAAAAAAAAGTTTCCATTAACGTTTGTTTTTGGTTTTGGTTTTACACAAAACATTTGGCCATAGCCAGTATTTCGTAATAAGTGTGTCCTTGTTGTCCAAATCAATTAAATGTGAATACATTCTTTGTACAATTCTATTCTGATATGCCAAATTTTATGACTGTCCGCATGTGAGTTAATTCACCGAAAAATTTGATGTCAATGGCACGTATACATGCTTGTATTATGTATGAATTGTATACATTTTCCAATCCGGACCATACTACCGCTATAATCACTGTAATAATGATAATAGCAAAAAAAAAACAATATAAAAGATTACAGTCGATATCTTTCAGGTGCATTGTGCTTACCCCATATACATGCGTATGTTGATCATCGTGAATGTATGTTGTTGTTAATAATAAAAATGTAATGATGATGATTCTCAAATATTGAGAATCAAATTCTGGAACTAGGATCTCTTTTTTTTCTGTGGTCTTTATTTTATTGACACAGAGCAAAAGAAAATATGTGTGTGGAAAAAAATATTCTTTCAATTTCACAATATTCAGAAGTTCATGCCATCATCATCATCATCATCTTCATCATCATCGTAATCATAAGAAAAAAATGAAAAAAAAAGAAAACGAAACGCATGACGAATACTAAAACACCACAAAACAGAACAGCAAAGCACATACAGGACCATTCAATATTGTAGCCGTAAATGTTGTGTTCAACCACCAATGTATTACAAGTTTGATAAACACAAAGAAAAGTTGGCAGTTATGAGATTTGCTCTTGAGATGGTTGCTGTATGTATTCTTGAATGAACGGCAGATTATTCAGTTCTGTACAAACCGACAATACGAAGAATTGAATACCTCTACAACACACATTCGGGACCATACAAAAAAAACAGAGTCAGAATTTTTAGGGACCTGTAAAAGAATCACAAGATATGACTTTTGTTGTCGTTCTGTTGTCGTGTGTCTGTTCGTTTTCTTTGTTTCTACGGTTTTCATTGTATATGGTTATGATGATCGCGCCATCAGCCATCGAATAAAAAAAAAAATGAAAATCAGTCTTTCATCTTGATATGATTGAACTTGGCTTCGATTCGATGGTGTTGTCGCCGCCGCAGCTACACTAATATGTTGATGGCATCGCTGCCTGTTGTTATTATAATTTTTTGCCATTTTAATATTTGATTTTTTTTTATCCATCATCAAAAGTGAATGAAATTTATGTTGACGTTTTTTTTTTTTTTGATTTATGTCATTGTTATTGTTATTTAATGGTGTGTGGGTGTGTTTTTTTCTCATTACAAATTTCAATTCTTTATTCTGGTTATCATCATCAATTTTATTATTGAGATTATTTTTCATTGTTGCTGTTGTTTAACTTTAAATATCTTTGTCTGTGATCATTATCATCATCATCATCATCATCATCGTGATCATTATGGTGCTGTCAATTTGAATTAATTTCTTCGATATGAATAGATTCATATACTTGTTTCGTGATTTTTTTTTTTCTCTCGAACAGAGTAAACAATTATTAACACATCGGATATTCCATAATGATTTCCATTTGGTTCATATGAATATTCTTACTTCCGTTGAAAAAAAAATTATTTGTTATTATCATTTTCAACAACTTCCGTACTAGTTAATTCTTTCTTCTTTTTTTTTTTGTTTCGTTCCATGCGTGTGTGATTTTGATGATCCGATTCGGATTTGATAATAAAGATTGAAGGTTTCTTTTGAAAATATTATTATAATATTTGGTTTACTCACATGTTTTGTTTGCATCATCATCAATCATCATATCATTATCGTTATTGAATGTTGAATTTTTCCATATTCGTGTCGTCTGATCATTATTGAAGAATAAAGTAAGTCTTGTTATGGAATAGAATCCATTTTTCTTTTTCTTGTGATCATTATTAGCTACAAACATCGAGAGCAACAAGAAAAAAAAATGTTTGCCTTGTCGATCACGAATCATAATCATCTCTTTTTTTTGGGGGGTAATTCTCTTTAGAGCTTGCCATAAATTTCATTACGTCAAGACATTTCAATGTCAACACTTTTAGTTTTTTTTGAAGTGAAATATTTTCTGAAATGAAAATTTTTTCCAAATAAAAATAAACAAATTCACAAAAAAAAAATAAACAGTAAACATTTGATTAATCGCGATTGTCAAGAATTCAAAATTCGTCCATCACTTGAATCGTTGTTGTTAATCGAATTTCTTCGACATATCAATCGATTTTTGATATTGACATGATCTTACCAACAACACACACACACACACACACACACATGTTTGACAAACAATGAAAATGTTTTTTGTAAACCAAAAATCGATAAAAAAAAAGACAGGCAGCCAATTACAAGCAAATATTGATCATCAAACAAATATATTGCAGTATAACATTTTACATATTACATGAAATCCTCCTGTTGAAATAATAGATTCTGTTGTTTCATTCATTTTTTTTTTGCTTTTTGAAAAACAAAAAAAATTCCATCCATCCATTCAATAAGGATGTTATGACAATGGCCCAATTTCATTATCATCCATTCCATAATTGATCATGATGATGCTTATGCATAGAGAAAAAAAAACGAAATCGGTAAACAAAAAAAATATCGGAGAAAAAACATTCAACAACAAACAACAAAAAATTGTTTGATAAGATGATATTATTGTTACCAAAATAATAATTGAATTGAAAAATAATAATCGAAATTCTTTTTTTTTGGTCGAAAACAATTCTGTTTATTCTCAAAACTATTCTACGTTAATCTACACATTAAAATGAACATTCAAATGGCCAAAAATATTGAAAAATTGTGTTGAAAACAAAACGAGATGATGATGATGATGATGATGGGACATTCGACACTTGAGAAATTCCAAATTTCTCAAGTGTCGAAATTACAAATATATATTTTTTTTTTATTTTTTGTTTGTTTGTTGTTTTTACCAACATTCGAAATTGAAAACGATGATAACAACACTTGAATTTACAATTGTTTGTTTGTTGATAATAATATTAAAATTCTGATATATGATGTAATCATAATCATCAACTTAAGAATCGTTGAGAATATATATTCCATGAGAAAAAATTCAGAAATTTGACTCTTGTCTTAAAATTGAATTAATCAGTGGAATTTATGAATAATTCTTTCATATAAAAAAAAATTATTCCAATCGTTAAACTTGACAAAAGATGTGAGCAAAAAAATCTATCATCCAAAAAAAAAGTTTCTGCTTATGTGGGATTTTTGGTACATTGTCTGTTGATTAAATCAAGAAAAAACAAGATTGACATTCAATCATATAGGATTTTTTCGAAAAAAAAAGTTTTTCATCAATTTTATTTGTGAATCTCTACCAACTTCTGGAATGGCTGATTGATATTAGCATAGATAATCTTTGTATTTTTGTTGTGTATTTCTTTAATCTGATTATATTTTAGAATCCAAAATAATAATAAAAACATTGGATGACAAACTTTTTTTTCACACTCTTGATAAAGAATTCAAACAAAAATTTCTGGCTTCCAAGGATTTCACAATTTATATCTGATCATCATCATTGTCTTTGTAAACATCAATCAAAATATATACACATATATTGAAAGAAAGAATGCCAAAATTCAATGCCTCATCAGCCCAATATTTATGCATTTAAAAACATTTTTCAAGGTTTCCAAGGCAATCATCATCAACACAATCGTTGCCAAGCAGAAACACAAATTCAAAAATTTTATTAGCAAAAAAAAAAATGAAAATTCTACACACACTGCTTTGAATCGATTCATACATACAAACAAATGAGCCATTCAAAGAATATTCTCAAAGCTACAGTGATAATAAACAAACAGACAAACTCTAGTTTAGTTTAATTTAATCATTATGTCCAATGTGACAACAACAATTCTGATGATGATGATGATGATCTTGATTCGCCTGACACATAGACACACATTCGAATGGTGTTTGATAATGATGATGATGATGTTTATTGTGTTTTTTGCTGCAATCTGATATGACAAAACGTGCACCACTGATGTTGTTTTTGTTGTTGTTTTCATATTCTCATATTTCAAGCGATTCTTTTGTTTTTTTTTCGGGCCAATCTCTTGTCAATATAGCTAGTGTTCAGTGTGTGTGTGTGTGAATATAATGATAATCATTATTTGTTGTTTTTTTCCGATTCCAGACAAGAAACATTGTAATTAATGAATAAATGTGAACAAAAGTGATGAAAGATTTGAAGAATCATTCAATTCATTGTAATCATATGAAAAACATTAACATTTGAAAATTATAAAGATATTTAACGCCATCATCATTCATTCATTACATTCATGTGTATGTGTTTATAATTAGATTCGGTTTGATGAAATGAAAAATTCAAGAACAGATTTTTAGCTAAATTTATTGATATGATTATATAAGGTAAACTCTAACTACAAACGCGCATATTGTTTTTGTCAGTCAATGTTGTGTAGACGTCATTAAATCAGTCAGTCAGTCAGTCAGTCGATAAAATTTGTTTAGAAAAAAAGAAAATCGAATAAATGATTCTCAATTCAATCTGAATTTAAAATTAGATTATTCGTCATTGTCATGTGTGTGTGTGTATTTTATGTGTCGTGTGACGATTGATGTTTTTGAGAGCTGTTTTTATTTACATCATCTTTTATTATTAGAATCCGGAATATTAAACCAATATGAATATCGAAATAAGAAGAAAAAAAAGAAGTAGAATTCAAGAATTCAATATGCTATTGAAAAAAAAAATTTGACGCCTTTTTTTAAACTTGATGAAACTAAACATAATGAGTTAATCAGGATTTTTTTCAGTGAATAATTTTTTTCATAATAAAAAAAAAACAAAACTGATTAGATTGGAACTTAATGAAAAAAAAATGACATGAACAAACAATCTATCTTCACAGACACACAAACAGAATTCAATATTTTGTGGACATAATCACCACCATTTTTTGAATAGCAGCTGCATTCATTGCTCTCTAACAACGTATTTACATGATTCCATAACCAAAAAAAAAAAAATGAATGTGGAATATTTTTTCGTTGAAAAAAATGTATAGAATATGAAAATGGAATTCTATTCTTTTTTTCAACCAAAAAAAAAAATTCTGGTTCTGACCGGATTCTCATATATTAGCAATTATTATTATTGGACATATGGTCCATTTTGCCTGTGTGTGTGTGTGATGCTTTCACTGATCATCATGATGATTATAATGGATAAATAATTTATTCATATCCTATCTTGTCTCACATCATCGTATCTCTTGTGTTATTTTGTTCATTCATTTATTTATTCGAGTGTCATAGTTATTTAGTCCATTTTTTTCTATTTTGGCAAGACATTTTTCATCATTGAATGTCAATATGAATGAATTTATATCCTTTTGAAGAATTTCTCTTTTCATTCATTCTTTTTTTTGCCATCGATCGAGAAATAAATCGATATATGTGAATCAAACCATTGAGAGATCCATTGGCTGAAAAAGTCTATCCTCGAGGATCAAATTCAATATATAATGAGATATTATCCCATTATCCCATACAAAATAGTTTTTCGAATTTCTTTAGTGACGCAGAAAGGAAACAAATACTTTAATGAAATTCTGGTTCAATTTATTCGGGTGTTTTGTTTTGTTTTTCGAATTGGTTAAAAAACAATTAACAATTCTAATGATGAAAATGATCATCAATGCTATAATGAATGAAATTCTCTTTTTTTTCTCGTTGTTTATTTGAATTCAATGAAATCAAATGTAATGGATTGTATTTGACATTAATATGCAACAATAGTGGTAGTATTAGAAAAAACATCGAAAACATCTATTGCTAGATGGACGGAAAAAAAGTAAACAATTTGGCATCACCATCAATTATATGACCGAATTGTGGTGGTGGTGGTGATGATGGCGGCAGTCCATCTATTTAATTAATTAGCAACATGATGATGATGATGATGAATTCTTGTGAATTCCATCAAATTCCCTGGGAACATCTGTATGAAAAACAAAACTTTTTGTGGAAAACATTTTCATCAACGAGACTAGAAAACATGATTGATCGATGTTGATGATAGAAAGTAAAAGTAATAGTTATAGTCCAGAATCGATAACGATGGCCAGGTGCAATAGCGGAATGTAGTGCCCTTTGTTTTTTTTCACACACACACACACACACCGGAATCGGCCACGATTCCATAATAATAACAATGCATATATGTCTGATTGATTTTCCAATGATTTTGTTGGCCATTTTTCTTTTTTTGATTATTATTGTTATCAATCGAAAAATTTTTCATCATTATCGATTGTCGATTGAACAAGTGTGTTATTAATTACAAATTTTGTTGTTATTTTTTTGACAATAAAAACTACGTGACTTTTGTTTGGTTCAAGAATTGTACATTTTTTTTTCTATTCAGAATTGTCAATATTAATTATGTTAATTGTGTTTGTTTTTTTTGTTGTATGTGATTGATTAATTAATTAATTAATGTTTTTTTTTCTTTCCATTAACATTTATTTTTCCAATAAAACTAATAGATGATAGAATTGTTCCAGTGAATTGTGTAACAGTAATGACGAAATAATTTTCATTTTTGTAAACATAATTCTTGCTACAATGTATGGATCATCATCAATTGATTAATAAACCAAAGAAAAAAATGTTCAAGGCATTCGATTCAAAAATGGCTATCAATCAATCATTAATGATGATTATTTTATCATTCATTCCAATAATGATGATAATGATGATGAAAATAAACGCACAATTGGTTCATCATTCATCACAATCATCATCTTCAACGACAGATAAATCAATCATACCGGGAGAAGAATATACATCCATGATGTTTACCAATGATTTTTGCAAGTAAGTATTTGATTTCATTTTGAGAAAAAAAATCCACTTAGAATAGCCATAGTTATTGTCATCGTCATCATCATCATCGTCATAAAAACATAATTGCCATAAAACAATTCAAACTTGACCTAGTTTATAACCGACTAAAATTGTCATCTGCTTTTTCAGAATTGATGGTTGTAATAGAAAAAAAAGAATGAACATCAACAATGACATTGTTGAACAACGAGCATCAAAAAAAAAAAAGATTCCTTTCGATATTACGACAACTATTATGTAGACAATGTTACATTTAATTTTAGATTTCTCCCTTGCCCCGTTAGAATTTATTTGTATTCGAGTAAATGGAACATAAAATTAGATTTTTGTTTGTTTGTTTTTTCTACTGAAATTTATCTTATAATATATGTGTGTTTGATCTAATCTTTTTTTTCATTCTTCAATAATTCACAAATTAGATTTATATTCAATGTTGCGGATGATGATGATGATGATGATGATGAAAAAAATGATGAGGATGATGATTATAATGACGATGGTAATGATAATGGCGATAAAAGTAATGGCCAAATTGTTCCATCAAGATCTAAACGTATGATACGATCCACAATATTTGAAATGAAAGAAATGCCACAATCTATGATTCAACATTCGAATCGTCATCATCATCATAATTTACATTATTCACATATTCATTCAGCATTATCATCACCGTCATCATTGGAGGAAAACACATCAACATCAATCATTCAATCAAAACAGAATGTATCAACCAGCCATAGCCTTATGGAATCATTGGCAACATTGCCTTTGACAATGAATTCTGATCTAAGCAATACCAAAGAATCATCATCATCATCATCATCATCGATACGAATACGTCGGCAGGATATTGGTTCAGTTGAAAATTCAACCGTAATTGTTCATAGTTTACCGGTTGAACAATATGATCAAGAACAACCGGTTGATCAATCAACAACAACAACAGACAACGAACAGACTGTGTTGTTGGCTGATCAACCAGAATTCAATAATAATGCGGATTCCATGAATCCATCTATCAATAGGCAACGACGACAGAAAAAGCGGAAAAGAAAATTCAACAATATTGCTTATCAAAGGAATCCCTATCATTATTCATATTCACCACCATCGAATTGTATGTAAATAATTTTTCAGAATTTCAAATTTAAACCTTTAATCAAAACTTGAATTGCTACCCTTTTTTTTCTTGTTGGGATAAATTTAACGCAAAACAGCACATCCCATATACATAGGCCTTGAAATTATCGACATTGATCATATAAATGATGCTGAAAATGTAAGTGTAAAGAAACACCGGAAAACCGTTTGTCTGGATATTATTAAATTCTATTTCAAATTTTATTTTTTTTTCAAACAGTATTTTTCACTACAATTATATCTGTTCGAAATGTGGGAAGAACCACGCCTTAATACAACAGCATTACGTTATTGGTCACGAAAATCTGAACCAATACCAGTGTTGGAAGCGAATATGGCCGATTGCCTGTGGACACCATCATTAATATTTGAAGATTCTACCGAAAAAGAGCATCTATTACCACCAACAAATATTTTACTTGCACATCCAGAATTTAATCGATCATTGGTTCTATTACGAAAATCAAGGTAAGCCATCCAATCCATTCATCAAGTTTGAGAGAAATCATTCAATTATCATCACAAAATCTCAAACTCTCATGGTTTTGTCATTGATTTATTCATTGAATTTTTTCAAATGCAATCTGACTTGTTAATGATTGTATGTTTTTCTCATTTCATTGATAATTGATTGAAATCTAATCATTCGATTGTATTTTCTCAAACAATGTAATCGGATAGCAAAAAAAAACCAGGAAAATTTTCTTACAGCCTAAAACATTTTCCTAACAAATAATGATCTTGTGTTTAATTTTCTTTTTCAAACATCCAAACACCCGATGATGCTGATGATGATGATGATGACATTAGATATTCATTAAAAGTCCGTTGTCATATGAATCTACAGATCTATCCAATGGATAAACATTCTTGTCATTTCAAGATTCGTACTTGTAAGTCCTTCCAATAATAATAATAATGGATATTCAGTTTCAAATTCTTATAATATATTCTAATATCCTGAAATAATTATTAATTGATATCATTCATTTATAGTTACTGATCCAATTCGAAAAGTGTCATTAAAATGGCTATCAAATTCTGGCAGCCCAAAACCAGATCTATTGGATGTGAATCAAAATGAAGTGATTTATTCATCTGAATTTGCACCATCATTATTTGATATCCGAGTACAACGGCCTGCTGGTTATTCAACAATAAAGTGGCTCAATGATCATTATTCAGTATTGGCCGTTGAATTCATTTTTGAACGACGAATCATACATTCATTGTTGACAGTGTATATACCATCATCATTGATTGTAACGTTATCATGGTTACAATTTTGGTTCGATGTTGAAGCTGTACCCGGTCGTATGTCATTGGGTATAATGTCCACATTAACAATAATGACACAAATCTTAACTAATTATGAAAAAGCTGGTAATCATGTTACGGCTGTCGATATATGGCTATTCGTTTGTTTAATAATGGTATTCTTAGCATTGATGGAATATGCGTTAGCTTATACCATATCACATTATTATGATAATTTCGATGATGATGATGATGATAATAATGGTGATGCTGGTGTTGACCACAATAATAATGATAATAATAATAATAATAATAAATTTGGTTTTGATAATGTTGGCCAACAACAACAAGAATCATCATTAATGGCCAATACGGATATTGATGAAATGATGATTGATAAACTTAAAATGATCAATAATTCAACGTCTGCTATGACTGGAAATTGTCTCACTACTACAACACCAAATCCTGTACATCAGTCATTATTTCAAACAGCAATTTCCCATAATAATAATAACCAGGTTTCACCAATGAAAACTTCTAGTCTTCCCGCTGATCTTTTACTGAACGGTAAGTTTTGATCTATTATTTCCTATTTCAATTTGATAATAAAAAAATATTGATTTACCATCAATTAATTAGAATCATTGAAAGATAATAATACAAAAACGAATGATGAGAATAGACCACCACAATCAGCAGCTACTAGTGATCGTATTGTACAAGCTCAACAACAGATACAAAATGCATCGAAAGAATTAGAACAATTATTGTGTGAAAAATTTGCCGAAACACTCGGTATGGTTCAATCAGCCCAGCGTTCTATGTGGGATGCACAACGTTTACAGCAAACATTATCAATGATCCAACAACAACAACAACAACAACAATTTCCTGGCAAACAGTCAATCAATGAAAATGAAAATTCCAAATTTTTACATCAACGAAGGCCAATGGTGATGACTTATAGTAGTGGTGGTGATGGTAGTGTCCGACAGCAGCCATCCAGGCCACGAACATCATCAACATCATGTCGAACCGGTACGACAAATAAATCGCATCGATTATCGAAATTTCGCCAATCATTACGGCGACAAATGTCTAGCCGTAATCTTAAAGCGGTCAGTGGTGTCGGTGGTTGGGCTCATCGTAATCGTATGGGTGGTTTTGATACGCAACGATCAAAACTAAGTGAAGTGGATTATTGTAGCCGTTATCTATTTCCATTTTCATTTGTATTGTTTGCCATTGGCTATTGGATTGCATTGATTTATTATAAATTAATGAGCTGATTAATCATCAATTAATCAATAGTATTCATTATTCATATTTGTATAATTTCGACTTTTTGTTTTTCATTTCAAATTTTTTTTTTTCCATCACTAACACCAATCGATTCGTCATGTTTTTATCTATCCATTTTAGTTGTTTCATTGATCGTCAATCATTGATCGCACAAAATTTTGTGTGTGAATCTCTAACCAAAAAAAATGAAAAAAAAGCTTTTAATCCACCCAAGTGACATTTAAATTCTCATCTATTGTTCAAAACTTGTTATCATCTGTGAGTATCGGTTATTTTGAAAAAGAAAAAGAAGAAGAAGAAAATTCTCATATCGATCCATCATTTTGATATTAAAAAATTTCTAGTCTACACCCATCGTTTTATGTTCAATATTCTATGGATTCATATATTATTATTATATGACAATGAGAAGTCAATATTTTGTTTTATAAAATGTGATGCAAATTTACCAAATGTTTATTGAGAATGTTGTTGTTGTTGTTGTTATTATTATTATTGTTTTGTTCTGAATGGTTAATTTACTGTCAACAATGAAAAAAAACTTTGAGAATTTTTTTTCCATCCCCTTTTTTGCACCGATTCATTGACTTTATTTTTATTGTAAATATTCATTTTATTTATGTGATGGAATTGTTGTTGTTTGTTAATGAAATGATATTTTTTGTCGAAAGCACCCAACTACCCACACACACACACACACATACAAACGATTGGAATCCACGATAAGATAAAAGACAAAAGAAAATCACTTCATATATATTTATTTTATTTCGTTTTTTTGGATCGCTTTTTTTTATTTTATTACTACAATTTTCATTTTACGAGCAAAAAAAATAATTCATCATTCAATGTAAAAAATGTGGTGAAGGTCATCATCGAAAAAATATCAATCAAATGTAACCACATTACCTTGTTCGATATTCGAACCAGGTGTGTGTGTGTGTGTGTGTGTGTGTGTGAGTACAGAATTTGTTTTCAAATGCAAATTCAATGAAATTGTGATCAGATAGTTATCCAAAAATAAAAATGACCTATTATGAATGAATGTACTTTTATTCATAGAGAACTATTATAATGCCAAATTATTCATTAAATTATCGATCGACCAATCAATCAAAATCAATGGTCAAAATATTAATTTTTTGTTCGTGGGGCGTGTTTATAGAAATAGTGGACACCATGGAGATAAAGTCATTTTTTGTATATACGCTCGAATCACTTATGCTTCGCTTGTTCTATATTCATAATTCTTTATTCTTGTGAACAGCATTGTGAATCTCATTATTATTGTTTTGATGACATTCAAAATTGTGAATTCAATGTAATTCCATGTGAAAATATTCAAACACAGCCTTCATTGACATAATACAGAAAAATGAAAAAATGTACCTTCATCATCGAGATCACATTGATGATCGACGACTACAACAACAACAACCACCACGATATAAATCCCATGGAAATGATCGATGTCAAACAACAACAAAAACAACACCTACATCGACAACATCAGCAGCAAACAAATCAAATCATTCGAATTTTGATGATGATTCAGATCTGGATGTCTATCAACAGAATCAAATCATTCGTCATGCATCATTGTCAAATGATGATGTTAATAATAATGATGATAATGGAAAGAAGAAGCTAAATTTACTTGAAAAATTATGCCATCATTTTAATGCCGTACGTGATGGTTGTCGTATTCATTTATCCATAGGAATCGATATCATTCGATTGGCCATACGGCAACCAGTAACAGTGTTTATCTTATTACTTATCATTGATTTCATATTCAATACATTGATGTTATATTATGATTATGTTTACATTATGGTCGATGTTGATTTTGGTGTACAAAATATGGATACAATGTATGTTTGGCACGAACATCACCATAATCATCATGATAATAATAATAATAATAATAATAATAATGAACAACCACCGCCATCGATCAATAATAATAATAATGATGATGTGAAAATAGAATCGAATTCTACATCGATACGTAATCGTCGATCAATTACTACACCAACCGGAAGTGGTGATAATAGTAGAAATAATGCGAACAAAAATAAAGGATTTGATTCGATTAGTTTTGTTGAAGATAGTGATAATAGAATTTATTCATATCAATATGGTGTCAACTTGGCAATGTATATTATAATCTATGCATCACAAGTGAATGGTTTTTTCGCCTACATATGGTTACATCATTCATGGCTTACATTACACCTGACCATTGTAGCCATTCAAATTGTATTTCTATTATTTCTGTCCATCGTTAATGTTCGATTGATAATTGTATTAGTGTTTCGAATGATGTTGTTTTTTATGTCATTATTTCGATCATTAGAGATTTCCAACTATCAAATGATATGTTTACAACGTCAAGGACTTGAAATTCAAAGTGAATTACCGCGTGTCAAAATATTTACACCAAACGGACATCGTGATTGTAATAAAAAACAACAATCTGATTTGGTGGGTACAAACAGACAATATGTTGATAAAAACAAATATGATCACCATCATCAGCAACAATCTTCCAATTGTATTCATATTGGCAATAATTCGGAAAATAAATTAGGACAGCATAAAGCAGCTGTTACTGTATCGGATCAGGATGGTCAACAAGTTGGTTATGTAACATTATCAGTTGAAATGGAACGTTCATCTGAATCGATTCGATCATCATCAACAACATCAGCATCGAATCAAATTGGTCATGTACGACCAATAGATTTCAATTCAAAATCAACAGTAGATGTAATGCAACCAAAACTTTTTCCAATCAAACGAAGTTACCAACATCAGAAGCCATCGATATTTTTATAAATTTTAAAGAAATTCCATCATCAATATGTTTGTGTTTTTATCAAATTCACTTTGTTGCTTATATTTTTTGATTCGATTCAAAACTAAAAAAAAAAAAAAAATAAATCAAACATGTCAAAACATGGATTATGATTGCCATATCGAAACGTTCATAAACGAAATGTTTTTCGATTATAATGATCGAAATGTTTAGATTGATTTGATCTATCGACTAAATCTCAAATCGGTGTGACTATCATCAATCAATCCCAGAAAATCAAAGTGATCACAATTTGAATCATTTGATTGTTATGGATATTTTGATTATATTCATCAACATATTAGCCGTTTTCGGTATGTAAATTAGAATTTTTGTTTATTGAAAATTAATTCTGATAATCATTTTTTACTCATTCTCGACAATAGCATCCATTTGTAATTGCTATGATAATAATGATGATCCATCAATCATCAATGAATATTTCAACAGTGAATCGTTCGATGATGAATCAACTAGTGATTATACAACGTCATCAATATTCATATCATCTATATCAACAACAAAGCCTGAACAAGAATCGAAATCTTTTTGGACATCATCATTGATCTCATTATTTGAATCAATATTACAATCTTTCGATAAGAAAACAACCAATCATTTGGATCCACTTCTACAAAAACTAGAACCTGGTAGTAATAATATCATCCAACCACAGAAGCCACATACAGAAATTGATTCGGATTCGATTAAATTTTCTACCATATCAACAACAACCGATGTGGACATAATTAGTGATTATGATGAAGAGGATCGGAAATTTTTCGAATACAATCTATCCAATAATGAGAATAATTCAGATGAACATTCTGACAACAAAACCGATAATGGAAACGTGACTAATATGGGCGAATGTGAAACAATCAACGGTACAATGGGTGAATGTCGTGCCCCTCCTGTTTGCATGAAACGTGAACCAAAACGAAGTGCATTCAGCCTATGTTCATGGTCACATCATCCATTGACTGGTGCACGATTACCGGTTAAACTTTGTTGTGAAAAACGGCAATCATCCACGACTAAAGATCTTACAAACGAAGCTGATGTTGAAAAACAATGGCAAAAACAACTTGAACTTGGTTTCGGCAATAATGAACAATCATCGATGGGTCTATTTTGGAACCTGGCTCCACATCCAATGACGCTCATACAAAATTCCCTAATCGCTCACCATCATTTTCAACAACAGTTTCTTCCACAGCAACATTCAATGCAACGTAAATGTGGACAAACAATGTTTCATCGAAATCATCGACGAGAGAAATTCATGCGTTATATTTATGAAATACCTGATCGGCGTACGGTGGACCTAGAATCAGATGACCAATTTTATTTGTTCTTGAATCAAACATCAAAAATTAGGACTCACCGAACACATTCACCGCGAATAGTATCCGGTGTATCGGTTGCAAACGGTGAGATACCATGGATTGTTTCAATTTATCTACGTGATACGTTCACATGTGGTGGATCATTGATTTCCGATCGTTTCGTGTTGACCGCTGCACATTGTTTCACCAATGCAAAGTTTGTTGATTGTTTTCACTTGGATTTCAAGATCAATTTTTTTAATTTGAATTTTTTTCCAGGTTATCCGATTGGTTCTATATTCGATACGGTAGTAACGTTGTACATGAAGGACCGGCTGTTCCGGTCAAACGTGTCATTCTACATCCGGGCTATAAACCACCGATTATTTATCATGATATTGCTTTGCTTGAATTGACACATCCAATTCAATTTAGCCGTTATGTTCAGCCGATATGTTTGGCTACGTCTCGAATGTATGCTCACAATATGGTCGGTATGAAAGCGACCGTATCTGGTTATGGTGATTCTGACTTTGAAGGAAAACAATCCGATTTTCTTCAGGCTGTCGATATCAAAGTGATAGAGAATCAATTCTGTGATAAACATTATCGTCGTTTGGCACAAGCGGATAAAAAATTCCGTTATGGTATTGGACGTACATTAATCTGTGCCGGTTATGAACAAGGCGTAAAGGATGCATGTCAAGGTGATTCAGGAGGTCCATTAACATTAGAAATAGCCGGTATTAATTATCAGGTTGGTATTGTATCATTTGGTTATCGGTGTGCACAGCCCGATTTTCCCGGTATCTATACAGCCGTATCACATTATCGACAATGGATAATGAATCATTTACAACAACAAACAGCATAGATTTTAGTTGATGATTTTTAATAATAATGTGGAAAAAAAATTCAGAAATTTTTATTTACAATGTAATTCGTTTTTGTTTTGTTACTAAAATTGATTTCAAATACAATCCAATAAATGATTATATAATGTTTGTTCGGTTTTCTAATAATAATTTCTTTCGGTAGTATATTCACGAGAAAATTTCGATTGTTTTTTTCGATATATGATGAATACAATTAATACTATAATGGAAATCAATGCGACCACTACCAGTAATGCTGACCACCAACGGAAAAAACATAGCGGTGAATGACGATAATAATATTCACACATTGCACCATATGCCTGTTCAGTTTCATATGCAGCATAAAAAATTAAAAAAAAAAATTAAATTTACTAAATTAAATATACCTGTTCGGTTTCATATGATAATTGCGCAGCATAATTTGAATCACAACGTTCGGCAATGTCCACTTCACAATTTAATGTATCCCATACAAAACAGCAGAATTTTCGTGTATCGGTAAACTATTAAATTTAAGAGAAATATATGTTATCGATTAATCTGAATATACAAATTTAATGGAACATAATAATGCGTTTACTCACATAATCTGTTTCCTGTATATCCCAATCATAACGGGCATCCGGTTGACAGCGATCGAATTCTTCACGTTCTTGAATGGTACATCGACCGCCTAACTGTCCATTTGTACGACGACTATTTAAATTAGCTGACGATGATGGTATAGTTATGGTAAGCATTATCATTATTATTTGAATTATAATGATCATCATTATTATTGGTGAATAACGAAATTCCAATGACATTCCAATCAATCAATTTATCAAATCAATATGGTTTGAGCACAACAAACATACACACACACACACACACAAATAGACAAAAGACAAATGATTTTTTTTTTGGAACCAAACAATTCGTAGATCAATAAATATATGATGAAAATAAAATTGAATCAGTATTGAAGCCAAAATTAAATTAACAATTATTATAAAAACCAAAACACACACACACACACACAAAATCTTCCGAATAATTATGATGATGATAATAATATTGTCATTGGTAACGTGTATGAGATAAATATAGTAATTGATATTTGGCGGGCGTCGTCGTTGTCGATGTTTGATTAAAACAAACATGTCGTATCCAAGCATCTATGAATCGCTAGGCAGTATAAAATCAAATTGCCCAATTGTATCTAATTGATCAACAAAGTGATCAATTATGGTGATAAATATTTTACACGTTTTACACGCAATAATCAAACAAAATTAGAGGTAAAAATATCGGCGGAAATAATTGTTAATTATTATCACCAACGTTTGAATTAAGCAACAAATAATATTTAGAAATGTTATTATTTACAAAGAAAATAAAATAGACTGAAACACAAGACTAATGACTCATATAATGGTTACATTCATTAAATGTGGATGTTTTTATGCATAAAAAGGGTGATTTTGATGAAGAATTTATACAGCTGTTGATAATATTTCGAAACGATTTTTTAGCTCTTCAATCACTTCAGAATAGGAATTGTGATATTTTTCATGATTATCGATTGATTTGGATTGATTCAAATCGATATTATAGATTGAATTCATTGCCTGATGTTTTCTTAGCCCATTCAATAATTGCTGCTCTTTTGATGGTCTTTTCAATGATGTTTGATTGGTGATTGGATGGTCCAATGATCGAAAATTTTCACGACCATTAAATGTTCGATAACGTTTTTGTTGAGATGTCGGCAATAAAAGTTGTGATCCACGTGTTATGAATCTAGATTCTGGACCGACCGTTGAAATCGAATCCATATTTTTGTCACATATTGATGAATCTTTTGCCGACCGAAAATATCGATTATGATGTTCTGAATGATCGTTATATCTAGATGTCGTTATAAAAAGGCTTATTTCACGTTCTTTTTCCACTTCATCCGCTTGTCGACGATCATCTTCCAATGATGTTATAGCACAAGGTGTTGTGGTGATGATGTTTTCGGTTCCAATAAATCTATTGATGGTGTTTAATTTTGTCCTAAATCCATCGTTGTTGTCATCATTGTCATCGGAGATTGTGATAAATGTTGGTTGACATTTTCTCGAATTTCCCATACCAATCGTTGTATTCTTTGAGTTTCCATTTTCTGTTGTTGTTTTCGTATCTTTTGATTCGACGACGGTTTCAGTACGACGAAAGGACAGCAAAAATAAAAGAGAGAATACAAACACTAATAAACAAAATAAAAAAATTAGACAGCCCAATGTCAATACATTCATCCATTCCGAAAGACCATAAACTAGACCAGTGGTTTCGGAGCTAAGATTCAGAATTAAATGATTTTGATTATGGCCATTTTGATGATGATAATGTAGGTCAGTAGTGGTAATTGTCGATGATGAAATTGGTGAAATTGTAGATTGTTGTGATGTTGATGGAAATAATAATGTTTGTGGCATTATTGTTGATGTTTCGAATAATTTCGAATGAAACGATCGTATTGTTTGATTAATTGATTCTTGAATAATCATTTTTCTAATTAAGAAAATGTTCAATCAAACAGAAAAAAGTCACAAATCTTCAATTCAAACGTCTTACTATCGATAGATCGATTGAAAGCGATCTAAACACATAACATCCTTTGAAATCCGAAAGTTCAACCAACCAACGATGATGAAAACAATTGAGAGAATATCGTTATTTTCTCTTGACAAAAACTTTCGTTTTGCCAGTTGTATGATCCGAATATTTAAATCATCATCGTGACCAATTAACACCATGTATGTACATGGGATATGATTTTTTTTGTTGTTTCTAATTTAGTTATGGGTAAACATTCGATTTATTTGTCTTTGTTCAATTTCTTTTGGCTTTCGTTTGTTCTGTTAAAAGTGACAGATTGATTTGCTATATCGATAAATCAGTATATGATAAATACCGTGTGACATAGTTGTAAAAATAGAATCTCTCTAATTTTGAGATGTTGAGACGTTTTTTTTCCTTTTTGTTCGGCCTCATTATTTTTTGTAGTTTATTTATACAATAACCATGGATGGTTACGACGGACGAATATCCGTCGTTGACGGCAATGGTAATTTCACGGTTGAATTCCTCATCATCATCATCATCAGATGACAGTTCATTAACCCAATTTACACGAAACTCAAACTCAGATTGATTTTATTCAATTTAAATTTTATTATTATCATTATTATTGGTAATCAGTGGAAAAAAATGAAAAATAAAAAAAAAATTTTCTTTCAAATCTATTCAATTACAAGTATTGTAATCTTAAGATTTCAATACATTTTCTAATTCACCATTTTCATGTAGATCTTGTATAATATCTACACCACCAATCAATGCACCTTTTACATACAATTGTGGATATGTTGGCCATTTGGAATAAGCTTTTAGACTTTGTCGTACTTCTTCATCGCTAAGTATGTCGAAATGGCCAAATTGTACATTCATTTGTTTCAATATCAACAGTAGTGTTCGTGTGAATCCACATCTTGGCTGTTCGGGTGTTCCTTTGATGAAAACCATGATAGGCTGTTGATTGATCAATGATTTTAATCGTTGTTCAATCGAACGGTCGGATTCGAGAATTTTTCGAAGTTTTTGTGTAATAGCCGATGTATCAGCACCAACTACTCGATCTATTTCATTTCCATTACGAAACATAATCATTGTGGGCACCGAACGAACAGCGAATGTTCCCGAAACGGCATCAATCTAATCATTGATCGTCAAAATTTAAACCATGAAAACAATTTAAATGCTTTGAATTCTTACTTTGAAAAATTTGAACTTTTTAAATTCATCCTGTGCAACAAGTTCGGGAATAAAATCCAAAATTTGCGAACATCGTTCATCATTTTTTGCATAGAATATGATATTAACCAATGGACTATGTCAATCAATACAAGAAAAAATTAAGCTTAAAAAAATTAAACAACTATTGATTATACCTGGATAAAATGGTCTTTTCAAGATTTGATGCTTCAATTTCTTCCATGTTGATGATTTGTGAAAATAATTCAATCAGAAAAAAAAATTAATTCATTAAAATCTAAATTATAATAATAGAAGCCAACGAGGTTCGATTCTAATTGTTAAAATGAAAATGAAAATGTTCATGAGAGAAAATGATGAACACATTTGAGGTCCATTCATATAGAACGCATCGTGTGAATATTTGTTGGCTTATTAATTTTGTTGTCCATTTTGATTTTTTAATCATAGAAAGTACTCATCAACAACATCAAGGTCTTTGATCGTAGTAATTCAAATCAAAAGTTAAGAAAAATGGCATCTTTACTTCGACAATTCATCCGGCCTGCATCGATTTCATTGGCCAAACGTAATGTCAATTTATTGAATACACGTTTCATGTCTGCATTTGTACAACAACCGGCACCTGATTTCAAAGCTACAGCCGTTGTTGACAAACAATTCAAAGATATTAAATTGGTCGATTTTCAAGGCAAATATTTGGTACTATTTTTTTATCCATTGGATTTGTAAGTGTTTGATAATCATTGGTTTTTTTTGTCTAAATCAAATTAATACATTTTTTTAGTACGTTTGTATGTCCAACCGAAATCATTGCATTCAATGATCGATTACAGGAATTTCGTGACCTTCAAACCGAAGTTGTGGCTGTATCGGTTGATTCACATTTTTCACATCTAGCATGGTGTAATACACCACGAAAACAAGGTGGTCTTGGCGATATGAAAATGCCCATCATTGCCGATTTGACAAAGAAAATTTCCGGAGATTATGGTGTACTTTTACCAGAAGCTGGCGTGGCATTACGTGGCCTATTCATTATCGATACGAAAGGAATCGTACGACAGATTACGATCAACGATTTACCTGTTGGCCGATCAGTTGATGAAACATTACGTCTAATCAAAGCATTTCAATATACCGATAAACATGGTGAAGTTTGTCCGGCTAATTGGCAACCTGATCGACCTACAATTGATCCAAGAAATGCCCGTGAATATTTTGAGAAACAAAATTAGACAGTAAAATCAATACAAAAGTTTTCTCATTGTTTTTTTTAATTGTAATAGAATTTTGTAGAAGTTTCACATACAATGTAAAATGATGAATAGAAAATCAAGAAAAAAGTGAAAAAAAATTATTTGTAACAAATGAAAGAATGAAGCCCAAAATTTGTAGGCAAAAAGACAAAAAATTCGAATTAATCGTGATCACCACTATCAGTGGCAGCAATAACTGTCGGTATATTTGATTTAGCAAATTCACTGGCTTTTGTTGCACTTTGTCGTAAACGTTCTTTGAATATTGGATTGATTGTAGGAATTGATAATTGTGAATTGCTATTACAATCAGATATTGGTCTATTACGAACGGCAGAATCGAATATTGATTCCAATGTTAGATTGAATCCTTTGTAGGCTTTTTTGATATTCTGTTTATATCGTTCAAGGCCAAGACGTTGAATTGCCGATGAAAGGCCATAGAATGCCGAATTAATCCATGCTTGTCGTTCACAAATGGTTTGTTGTTGATGTTCATGGTCCGTTTTATAAACGACTTTTTCTTCTAATGTCAACAAATGTTGTAGGCCAATATTACGAGTGTATGTTGTCAATGTTTTTGTCTTTGAATCAATAATCGATTCTTCAATAATGAACACATGTTTAGCAGGTAAAAAACGTTCGGTCCATTTGGGTGCGGAATTTGTTTTCATCAAAAGACGTTTAGTGAATAAACGGCCATCACGGATGACACGACGATGTATGACATCTTCAGTTAGTACATGTTTACTACAAATGAACAATCAATCAATCAATTTACTTTCACTTTCATTTTTAAAATTATGATTACTTTACCTATAAGGATTTGGATAACGATTCCAGAATGCAATAGCCACTTGTTCCCAACCATAATTGAATGTTTGCATATGATGAAAATAGGTCATTATTTTAAATACAATATATCGTGTTTATTTCCATTCACATTTGAATTTTTGGGAAAAACGTAATACAAAACTCGTCTGTGTCTGTGTTTACGTGACTTTTGGAATACTAATATGTTTATGGGTGCATTTGTAAAAAAAATATAAATGAAAAATTTTCGAATAAAAATCCTTCAAAATCGTACAAGACACATACACTTTCGATAATAATATAATGTGTGTAGATTTTGTCCAAGTTAATAAACAAAAACCAATGAAAACGAAAATAACAAAACAATAAACACAAGGTTGTCTCACTAGAATTCCATTCATGGATAATGGATAACTATCAAGCATGCATCACAAACACAGACAGACACCAAAGACGCATACTCCAGTAATATCAGACACAAAAAAAAACAAAGTCCAGATTTGGTGCATGCATGCTGTGTTTACAATATATATTTACATTAATGTGAAAATTCCGAAATATCAACCACAGATGACGCTTGTTTCTATTGATATAAAATCATTCTAAATCTTTTAAAACGAATTATACGAGTTTTTTTTTTATTAAATCAATTATTTCAGAATGAATGAAACAATAAAATATAGCTAATATCGACCACCACTTCTTCCACCTGCTCGATGATAACCACCACCACCACCACCACCACGGTGATAGCCATCTCTTCCGCCACCACGATAATGATGATGATGATAGCTGTTACCACCACGTTGATCATCATAATTTCGATTATCTTGATAATATCCACCTTGTTGTTGTTGCTGCTGCTGCTGCTGCCAGCCAGCATTCTGTATTCGACCACCACCATAATTATCATTATATCGATTCTGGTTCTGATTGTATTGATTAGTATTATTATAAGTTTGTTGTTGTCTTCGATTATCATCGTGGCCACCACGATTTCCTCCTCTGCCACCTCGATGCCCACCACCACCACCACGTCCACCACGATTTTCTCGTTGTGATTGTTGTTGTGAAAATGTTTCTTTGGGTGGTGGTGGTTTTTCATACGGGCGACCACCACGATCAGGTACGGCACCGATTAGGAATTTATGTAATTGTAGGCGTTGTTGTAGGCCGGTATTCGCTTTTCCGATTTGTTTTGCTTCAATAATACAATTAGCATGACTAACACTGATTCGTTTGTTGATCAAAGAATCACAATCAGAATTTCGAGCAGCTAATGCATGCGATAAGGTTACTTGTGGCTTCGATGACCAGCCTTTACGTTTTTCCTGATAAATTTGTTTTATAATCTTTTCATCGGTATCGCCCGTTTTTTCACGGTTCCAGTAAAATGATCCAACAGTCATATCGGCACGACGTAATAACATTTCGCGACGTAATGCATATTCATTAGCCAATTGTTCATTCAGTAGTTTTAATTCGGCCCATTGAGTCGTTGTAAGACGAGCATTATTTGGTAACAGTAGACTATCTTCATCTTGATATTTTAATGGACTTTTATCCAGCCGTTGTCGTACGGTTTGAAAATAAGTTTTAATATCTTTTGTTTGATTTGGTGTTTTCGGTATCGATAGACAATTGTTGATGATTTGCATATCATTCTTTGGATTCAATCTATCCGTAAAAACGTCAAGATTTTCATCAAATTTTTTTACATAATTAGCACGTGCAGCGAGTAAATCACCGGCCAAACTATGTAGAATCATATGTCGATTGGCAACATCATCAACACTGGTGTTCATATGAATTGAACCAAGTTCACTAAGCAATGAATTTAGTTCAATTCTCAATGAATCCAAATCTGATTCATCTGCAAAAAAAAACATGAATTGAGACAAATTGAAGATAAAAATCAATCTAAAATAAACCTTTAATAAGATTGACAAGTGAATCAGTTTTGGAGAAAAAATTCAATTGTAATGAGATCCAATTCAATAAACGGGCGAAATCAATCAATGACAGGCTATCCAAATCGATATCATTGATCAGTGGACAATTTAATTCACCAAAAATGTCGATTAAATCCTGTGACATTAACATCGTGATGATTATTATTAAAACTAAATAAAATTTTTTTTACAATTATAATGAATGAAAATTGATGAGACAAATAAAAAAATTCGAGCTAAAACATGCATGCGCTTCATTCATGTGTGTCGTCCTATATGAATGGACAACAATGAAAACATTGGAATTTTTTTTTTGGTCAAAAGAATTTATAAAAAAAAATTGTAATAAAATGGATATTTTATTTTGGAAAAAAATTCTGCCGATTTGGTAATAGTCAAAACAATTGGAATAACAAGAAAAAATATGATGATCATTCATTCTACTTGTTCGGATTGTGCTCGAACATAATATATTGATCCTTCATTCGTACGATTACGTTTTCCGTACATTTGAATCAATTTTTCACGGAAAATTAACATAAATATCGATATGAATATACCGGTCATGAAAAATACGCATAACAAGAAAAGATAATGACTGTCATTATTACGGCTGATTTTACAACGCATACTGTCAGGTTTAATTGCCACCAATTCCTGACCCGAATATTGTTCCGGTGTTGAACATCTACAAAAGTAAATAGGGAAAAAAGGAATCATGTGTTGAAGATCGAATCTTAAAATGCTGCTACATACATGATATCATTTTCGAATTCAGTAGATCCATGACAATAGTGCATCCATCGAAGATTACAATCACAATTCCATGGGTTCTGGCGTAGATCCAAATATGTTAGGTTACCTGGTAAGAAAACAAATTGAATAAATACAAACTAAAGAAAACAACAACAAGACATACAAAATGGGAGTGTCTTTTCTGATAATCGATTTAGCTGATTACGTCGTAGGTTAACATATTTGATAGAAATCGATTGACGATCAAACATTCCCATGAAAGCATTCTCATCGATAGTCGATAGATGTGGATTATCTTCAATGCTTAAACGTTGAAGATTTTTCAATGTAGAAAATGTTTGTTTCTCAATACGAACCAATTTCGGCATCTTATTCAATGATAATTCCAATAACGATTCAAATTTGTAAAATGATGCCATATTCAATACACGGATAGGATTCTCACTTAGATCAAGAGCTTGTAATCGTTTCACCAAATGTAATGCATCCGTTGGAACGGATTGTAATTCGTTGCCTGAAAGATCAAGAATTTCAAGCTTTTCTAATCGTTGAAACATACCAATTGCAATTGAATAGAAACTATTTTGTGCTAGGTTTAATATTTCCAATTGTCCTAGATAGGAAAATGTATCCGGTTGTATGAAACTGATTGGATTATGAGCCATATTCAATTCATGTAGATAACCATTTGTTTTGAATAATTCCACCGGTATAAATTTAAGACGATTATTGGATATATTAAGAAATTGTAAATCACTAAGACCTTGTAATAATGTTGATGGAATTTCTTCCAATTCATTATAACTCAGATCAAGTGTTACAAGTTTAGGCAATTGTTCAAAAGCAAATGAATCAATTTTTTTTAAACCATTAATAGCCAATGAAAGGCGAACCAAACAATCGATTGATTCGAATTTATCTACAATGGTTATATTATTCATCGATAAATCCAAATGTCTTGTTTTTGGTGGTAATGTATGCGATAATGGTATTTTGGTGAGATGATGATGTGAACAATCAACATGATGATAATATTGATTATAGACATCTGATGTTAAATTCATACATGAACATTGTTTTGATTGACATACATCACTAATGGCAACAGTCGATTCGGTGATGGTAAGTGATTCATTATGATCAGCATGACCAATATCCACTATAGCTGTCAATAATAAAAATAAAAATAATGTAACAATTTCATAGGATAACATCATTGATTGTCGTTATTTTTTTTTCTTGTTGTGAAAACAAATTTCAGACAAAAAAGACAGGAAAACAAGATTATTTGATTCAAAATTATTTATATAAATGGAAGATTATTGTTGATGTTGATTATATTGGGAAACAATTGTAATTTCAAACAAAACAAAAAAAAATTTGTAATTTTTTTTTAACAATCAACATGCATCTATATTTGATGCGAATTAAGATAGATTCACAAAAAAAATATGAGCGATCAATTGAGCATACATCATACAACATACAATACACATGCAAACAATAATGATAATTGATTGTAGAAATCAGTATTCACACCCATAAGAATGAGTCAAATTGGATCGTAACGATGAAACTTTTTTTCTTTTCTTTTTGTGATTATGGTTATCATCATCATCATTATCATTATTATTATTATCCATCAAGTCGGTTGATTGGTTACCTGGTTGATTAATATTAATTTTGTTATTCCGTACGACTGTTGCATTTTTTTTTTATTTTGGCTTTGTTTTTTTCATTTTTTTTTTTTGAGTATTTCTTTTATGCTGGTAATGATGATGGTGATCGAAGTTGTTGATCAATTTTTCTGTATGTCTACCATCGTGACCATGGCAATGACAATGTTTGTAGTGATAAAAATGGTTACCATATAAACCATATGACATGAATATAACGATGGTGATGATGATGATGATGATGACGATGACTCTGATGAAGATGTTGTTGGCGTTGGCATCATCGATGTAGCATTGAATCTATTACGTCTACGTGTCCAAATTGGTCTATTTGGTGGCAATGATCCACCATGATGAACACTTGATGATTCGATTCGAACCAATGTTCCATTCTGTCCAATGACCAATTTTCTATAGATTGCTATTATGTGTTTGAAAGTTAAAATCAGATTTTTAAAAAAAAATTTCAACCAAAACCACAACAATAGCAACAACAAAAACTTACCTACACATTCCAATTTCATATGTCCTAATTGATAATGTTCTTCATTCACTATATAATTTAGCGATAAAAAACGTGTAAGATTTCTTGTTTTTTATAAAGTTGTTTTCATTTTTATCCATTAAACACATTTGACTTACCAATGAATTTAAGCCTTACGGTACGTGTCTGTAGGCCATCCGAATGATTAACCGTATTATAATGTATTAGATAATCGCTTGGAGCCTTGTAAATAACAAAATTCATTTCACCATTATAACATTGCTATCACTGCAAAATACTAACCAATTGATCATTGATGAACCATTGTATGATTGAAACTTCATTTTTTTTTTTTTTGATGACAGAAAAAAATGATAATTATCACCATTAAGTTTAAAGTTAATGGATAAAAATGAATCACCTGGTCTACTTTTTGGTGATGTACAATTCAGATCGATACGTGATTTGAGCAAAAAATTCAGTTTATTACCACTGATACGTGGACTTTTATTGGGCAATACTATATGACCATGGCAAGAACATTGAAATAAATTTAGTTAGAAATACAAAATAAACAATCTTACCATAAACCTAAGCAGAATTTTATTTTAGTAGTAAAAAAATGAGAATAAATAATTAAAAAAAAAAATCTATGAATGACCACCAAGAGACACTGACCTCGAGTGGTTTATAATCTTTAAGTGTCATAAATTCTATTCAAAAAGGAAAAAAAAGATATAAATCATGTTGTCAAATGACAGAATACATGCAATTTTTTTTTTTTTTTTTTGTACAATGTTTATCACTACAAACCTGGAGCATCGGTCGACAATTCACATCTTGATGGTTTTTTTTATATTTTGATGAAAAAAATGAAAATCAATTATTCAAAAGTCAATGTCATCATCATCATCAAATCAAGCAAATGTAAAAGAAATAGTTTGTAAAAAACAAAATTATACTTACGAATAGATGCCCTGAAATTCTGAATTAACATTACGTAATAATAGCCAAAATGAATCATAACCAATTTCATATTCGGGCATAGTCGTTATGATTTTATTATTATAATGTTGAACTTTTTCAATATTCACACAAGTTCATCATCATCATCATCAACATCATCAACAGCATCATGTGTCAGGAATGGTATGGAATTAGAATTAGAAAATAAAACAAAAGAATAAGAGAGAGAGAGAGAGAATTGAATTATTTACAAATTCAAACAACGATGACAATCATTTTTAAGATAAAGAATAAGTACCTTTGGGATGATCATTGGGCATGTATTGAAAGAATTCATCATCATCTTTATACCTAAGGGAAAGAATATTGTATGTGTGTGAGTTTGAAATTAAAAAAAAAAAAAAGAGACACACATACCATTTGATGGAATATAATTTCTTATTCACATTCAATCGATAACGGCATTCAAGCAATAGATCTTCATGTTGAAATACTGGTGTATCAAATATCAATTCAACACTGCTGATTGGATCATTGTTAACAGTGTCTGAATCAATTATATTATAACGTGTTCTAGTAGATTTTAGGATTATATCATCTGGATTATCATCATGAACGTTTGAGTCATCTATACAAAAATTTTTTTTTTTTTGGATTACAAAGTTGATAATAAAAAGAATCAATAAAATTTTCATTTTTAGTTATGATATTGCTATATTCTGTTATAGCCGCCAATCGATTAAGTAAAATTTACATTTTTTTTCTTCTACCTGAATCAGGTAAACCTGTTATTATTATTATTGTTTTGGAAAAAAATGCACAAGTTTGGAATTTTTTTTTTTGTTATTCTTCTCAATGAACTATCACAGAGAATAGAAATGTGATTCAAGATAATTGATTATAATCATCGGGTGGTAAAATTCTATATTTTTTTTCTAGTCCCAATCCTAAACTTGTATGCCACAATGAAAAATCCTGAATCATCATCATCATCAATGGTTGAACAGGTTCGAATGAATTATGAAACACACACACACACACACACCGTATGACAAACTATCTTCGAATATATCTTCGGATACAGGAGTAGAAAAAAAGGTGTACATTTAATTCTTGTTTAAAAATTCTGGTGGAATTCTGGACATACACACACACGGAGAGGCATTATTATTATTCCATGTGCAATCAAGAAAAAAAAATTTTTGTTCACAGTACCAATTATGGACAATTAATTAAAGGTATCTCTCTCGTTTTTTTTTTTTTGTTTTCACTAAACAAAACAATTTTCAGTATGTATACAGTTGTTGGAAAATAAACCACAGGTTGTGTGAGTGTATGTGTGGCTTGTGATTTGCATATAAAGTTTGGTTTCGGTGGTTGTTGATGATAATGATCGTTTATCTCTATCTATTCATTGGTCTGTTCCATTTTGGAAATATCATCACCGAATATCCATTACAATTGATTGCTTTGGTTCGTTCATTGTTGTCCGATATGGTTTTTTTTTTGAAACTTCGTCTTTTTCAAACAAACAAAAAAAAGAATTTCCCATAAAACTTCAATCACTTACCAATCAAAAGTGATGCAAAAATATGATGGGATATCATGATGATGATGATGATGATTAAGAGCCCGAATGACGAATGATTGGTGAACATTTTTGAATTTCAAAATTTTTAAATTTTTTTTTCATACACCAAAACATACACATACACACACACACATACAATGTAAACAATATGAATATTTTCAAATCGATATATTGAGAAAAAAAACTGTGACAAACAAACAAACAATGACAATGATTCGAATCGAATGTGAACATTCGATTTTTTTTTTCTTCTTCTTGGTATAGACACAGACAGGGATTATCGAATGATAAGAAACAATTTTTTGGATAATAATAATAATGATGAACGTCGATGTCGTGATGTTATTCGTTTATAACAATGATTCTGAATCAGAATCTGCTGTTGTAGGCACAATATATAATGATAATAATAATAATAATAATTTTTCTACAGGATAGTGAATGTTATATATTATATAAGATGTTTGTTGTTGTCCAAATTGTCCAAAAAATAGCATGTTTGTTCGTGTTTGATTTTTGTCTTTTGTTGTTGTTGTTTCGGCAATGATAGGATAATGCTGGGCAAAACAAAAAGTGTGAAAAAAAAATTGCAAACACCAGCACTCAAAGAATTTGGTCGAAAACAAAAAAAAACGAAACGTTGATTCACGCGCGCAAAATTCGAATGATTATGCCCGATTCAAGTGATCTATGCATGTTATGTTATATGTGTGCGTGTGTTTGTATGATGGTGGCGGTGGTGGTGGGAGGAGAAAGAGGGTGGAATTTTTTTTTTTTTTTGATGATTGAAATTGTTGGCGACAAGCCGCGCATATGTAATTATTATGATGATGATCATCACTTTCTTCCAAATACACACACACACACACACACACACACACACACACACACATAGAACCAGCAGTAATATGGATGGTTAAAAATAAAAAACAGTCCCAGCAAACACAAATCTAAAACTAACCAAAACATACCATACCATATTATACGCCTGGATTCAGTTTCAATAAATCTTTTTTTTTTCCTATGGCCTTTGAGGTCTATTCTCTTGTTTGTCATTTATTTTTTGGTTCCAATGTTTTTTTTTCTTGTCGAATGATGATGGTCAGTGAAAAACCAAGATGACATGATTCGATATTTACTGATTTTTTTTCCATTCACCATTCTTCAAGAAAAGAAAGTAATAAATAACGTCAACGGTATATGATGATAGGAAAAAACTTTGAGAATATATGAATCTGAATTTTTTTTTCTGGATTGCCGGATATGGAAATCGATTATCACCATCATCATCACCATCATCAGCATAGACCCATTAGAATCAATAATTAATGTGTTAAGGAATTTTATCCAAAAAAAGAAAAAAAAATATATAGATTCATTCATTATCGATTCAATGAAGATAAAATCAAAGAAATTCTGAACAAACAAAATGCAGTAAATAAAGAAAAAAAAATTCGAACAAATCAAACGCCATTTTTTTCACCGCTTCAATTGGATTCTCGATTTATGTTTGTTTGTGGATAAGAAAAAAAAAATTAAATATTTATTCATAATTCCAATGATAGATTTTGGTTTCGGTCAGTACACAAAAACACAGTTCATCAGAGAAGAATTCATCATAACGAAAAATTACTAATGAATGAAAAAATCTGACTACCAGCAGAATTGAATTGTTATGGCATGAAATGAAAACATTTCGTAAGAATAAAAAGGTTATCTTTCTCTATACGTTTTATTCTATTTTGTGATCTGATTTTCATTTTGTTATGTGGTGTGTGTGTGTGTGTTTTAGTATGTGATGTATAAATGAATGATTCAATTAGATAATGGGTTGCTCCAGATGAAATTGTGAATTTTAGCTCAATTAATTCACACAATAGACACACACACAGACACAAATTGACATTGTGACTTCGGGCAATGTTTCACAATCATCATCATTTATAATTGAAAAATCCGGAATATAAAAAAAAAAATTTCTTTCGAAAAAAAATATCATAATGAATGATAATAGAAATTAATTCGAAATTCGAAAATTATTTACTTTTTTACCCAAAAGTCAAAATAATAAACCAAATTTAAATTTTAAAAAAATAAAAAATAAAAATAATCCAATGAAATGTAGCTAGAAAAAAAACCAGAAATACTGCTGCCATCTTTTGTTGCAGATTTCTAAAAAAAAAATGAATTTTGTTTTTTTCAATCGTGTAATAATAATACACATAAACGCCAGATGGCCATATAAACGCCATTCAAAGTTATCATGAAGAAAAAAAAACGAAATCAAATTATTTCATCGATTTATGGCGCGCTATTTAATCTATACAAATAGTGTGTGTGTGTGTGTGTGTGTGTGTGTGTGTGTGTATATTCCATAGAATGAAAAAAAAACAATAAAATAGAAATGAAAAATCATTAATGGATCAACACAATGAACAAAATGAATCTTTTTTTTCAGTGGTAAAAAAATTTCATTTTTTAAATGATTTGGTTTGCCTGAATGATGATAATTGTGCGTGTGTGTGTGTGTATGTGTGTGTGTGTATGTAAGAAAACCAACGGAAAAAACCGGATCAAAAATGTCAACACACGTGAATTTTTTTTTTTTTTTATTACGAATGATTAATGACATTTATGGACCGGGCCAAAGATATCATGGCACTTTTCTTTAAAAAAAAAAAAAAAATCTGAAACTCAAACCACCTACATACAAAACTAAAGGCCATTGACTGTATGAAATTATTGAAAATTTCAATATTTACACCAATGTGGAAACAAAAAACTTTTCAATATGAACGGATTTTTCTTTGAGAAAAAAAAATTTTTAAATTCAAAATTCGATATTGGTGTTATTGAAATTTTTTTTTCAATTTATTAAATGATCATTTAGGTATAAATGATCCTATACACACACACACACACACAAACATCATTATTATCATCATCATCTTAGCAATATCATTGAAAAACTTGACTAAATATTTTATCGAAAGATTTTTCATCAAATGGGAAAAAGTTTTTTGTGTTTTTATTTTTCTAGAATTCAAATTAGATAATAAGGAATCGTTTGAATATTCATCTCCATAGTTGAATATCAATTGAAATCTGAATAAAAACAAAAGCTGAAGGTTTTTGGTATTTTGGATAAATAAAAAAAAATTTTCAGCTACTGCTTCACATCAACAACAACAACAACAACAACAATTATTTATAACAAATTGATTCTGTTGTTGTTGTTGTTGTTGTTTTTTTTCTGGTCATAAAAAAAATCAACCAAAATAAAATAAAAAGTCATAACAAGTTAAGTCATAATAAGTATTAAGAGATTTTGTATCCGTGAGAAAGTGAGAAAATTCTGGCCATTTGAATGATGATATAATTTAATCTAATGAATGAATGAATGTGTGTGTGTGTGTGTGTGGTGGTGGTGGTGGTGGTGGTGGACGATGACGATGACGACGACGACGACGACGACGAGCACCATGTGTATTTGACACATTTCATTTCCATGATTCAGCCATATATAAATACTACATACATACATTACATTACATTTATATAATCAAAACAAATCAAATCGATCGATCGATTATAGAATCTCACATGTATCGATATATAATAATAATAATAATAATTTTCTTGTCGTTTTGGTTGATCGTTTGTATTGGCTCATTTTACATCTTTTTTTTCTATGGAGCTATTCTGTGGAAACGAAAAAAAAAATCAGAAAGAAAATGACATAACACATTATACGATCAAGAATCGATCTGGATATGGTGAAAAATTCTTTCATTTTTTTTTTTTACTTTTTTTTCGAATAATTTCTTTTCACCTTTTTTCTTTACCTCCCTGTTCATAGCAATGATTTTTGTTTTTATCTCTAAGCTCCAAAACAAGTATCAAAAAAAAAAAATAAAGGCAATGATTTGATGATGTGAAAAAATGAGCAGAAAATTTTTTTTTTCTTCAAAAAATTATTAGGAAAAAAACATTTAAAACAAGACAATTGTCAATCGAAAGCTCAAAAAAACCGAAAATGTTTTATATATATGAGAAATGAAAAAGAAGAATAGTTTTTCTATGTTGAAGTAGATCTGGATGCCATTAATAAATCATTTTGATTATCATTGTCCACACACACACTTACACACAAGAGTGTTGTTAGTGGTATATAACCAGGGTTAATCTTTTATTTTTAGCCATAGAGAATATGTTTATTCTGAAATATATTTGACAAATGAACCCTAAGCAACAACAAAAACAACAACAACAACGACAACAACAACAACAATAACAACAGATTCATTGTATGTTGTTGCTATAATGTTGTTTTCAATTCATAGACATTCGGTTGACATTTTTTTTTTTTTTTTTTAGTTCTAATTCAGGCTACTTTTGTTACTAACTATTGTGGCCATCCCCCACATTTTTTTCTTGGTATATACTTGTTATTATGGTTAGGTTTTATGATGATGATGATTATTATTTAGATTTTTCTATTTATGAATTATCATTGTATCCATAATATGTGTGTGTGTGTGTGTGTTTGTTTTGTGTTTGGTTGTTGAAACAACAACAACAACAACAACATTAAATTTTCTCCCAGTTTGAATATGAATCCACAAAAACATACAACACACAAACAAACAGTGGCTTTGTGGTTGTTGACATTTTTGTTTTTGATTCTAGAATTAATGGATTTTCCATTGAATAGTAAACATTTGATGACATTTGTATCAGTCAATGATGAAAATAGGCATTGATTTTTGATTTGAAAGGTAAACATATTTTTGTGAATCAGAATTTTATTCTTTATCAATTTTGTTCATCATCATCGGAATCCATCCAAAAAAAAAAACCAAACCAAGCCAAGCCAAATGTGTTCATTCATTTGACCGTATGGTAGTAGGAAAAAAAACATGCCACAATGATGATGATGATGAGAATAAATGTTATGGTGGTTTAAAAAAACTTTTACATTAAAATTGTCATCATCATCATCATCATCATATTATCATCATGACAAACAAATGTAAATATATATGGAAAAAAAATGCCAAAGATTTTTGTCAGAATTGTCAATTCTAAAAATCAGAATTAAAAGAAATTATCCATA